ATATATCTTTGGCATAGCTCTGAAAATTTCTTTAGGTTGTTGAGTCAGGTACGTGTTTTTGGAAAAGATTTTTTATGCCCTTTGCTAAATGGGGGACTGGGAAGGTTGTTCGGGTTTAGATTCATGAAACTGCCTTCTCAGCTGTCTGTTTTAGTTACATGCTGGTTACAGCTCGTAGTGACCTTGTGAACAGCGGCTCTGAACCCTGCCCAGTCCTGTGCTTTCCGCTCCTTCTCCTCAGGGTTACCGCTTGATAGCCAGCTTCTCTGACTTCATAATCCCCCACAGCCAAACCACCACCATCAGTCTGCCCTCTGGTCACCCTCTGTTCGGCCTCCCAGGCTATAAAATTTTTCCCTTTGTTTTGTTGTGATTTTAGTGAAAGTTTTACAAATCAAACTTTTTGGGTTTTGATCATTCATTAGTTATAATTAATGAGTTACTTAATTACAATGTCTGATCAGCCTCTAATTGTTGTTGTATTTCCTTTACCCGAATTAAGAAATACATATTGTCACTTTCTTCGCTTGTTATCCGTGGTGAACGTCCAAGAATGATTTTGTTTGTATAATCCTTTCCTTGGCTTTTTACAATAGTGATCTTGTACAATCCTTGTCCTTATATCTCTCAGCGTAGCTCCTCTAGATCCTTCCATGCTGTGCAGTGGGGCATAGTGCTCCATTGCGTGTATATACCCAGTAGATTTTTTTACCCTGTCATCTGTTAATGCACATATAGGTTGTTTCCATCTCTTTGCTTTGTGAGAAATGCCGCCGTAAACAAGTGTGCTTGCATCTGTTGGCGCCTCTGCTCTGTGCCTTTAGAATGTATACCTAGTGGCGGGATGGCTGGCTCGGGCCTGGCTGCCTTCCACAGTGGCTGCCCCACTTTACATCTCCACCAGCTTTGTATGAGGACTCCAGTCTCTCCACACCCTCCCAGCCTTTGTTGTCCACTGTCCTGTTGACCTTTGTTACTGTTCCTGGGGTGAGATGACGTGTCATTGTTGTCTGAATTTTTCCTTTCTGATTTCCCATCTTGGTGGTAGCCTTGGTTCCCTTGGTCTCCTCCAGTTCACCTGCGGCAGTGGGTTTGGCTTTAAAGTCCTCAGTTGGTCCATTTCTGTCTTATTCTCTTTGGGACCTCTCTTCTCTGACTGCCTATAACTGGCCTCCTTTACTCAACTTAGGGGCTCTGGTGGCCTCAGCCTTTAGGGCACTTCCCTGTTGACCTGCGTGGCAGTTCGAATCCAGCCGCTCCAAGGGGAAAAAGACAAGCATTTCCTCCCATGTGATTTACAGCCTCTGAAAACCCACTGGCGGGTCAGCTGTGAGTCAGCACTGACCAGACGTTAGTGAGTGAGTGGGTCACTGAGCTTATCCATGTCTTTCCTATTGGCTCGTGCCTCTGTCCACGTGCCGTATCGCCAGGACGTTTTCATTCCATTGTATTTTTGGCTGGCTCAGTAGTATATGGAATAAAAGGAAGCAAGAAGTTTTCATGACCTTTAGTGCCAGCTGGTGTGTCCATTCAGGTTTTGAAGCCTCTTGTCCGAGGTGGTTTTTATACTGGAAGCAGTGTCTCTGACAGTTCGAATCCACCAGTGGCTCCTTGAGAGAAAGAGGAACAGTCTCCTCTTGTGGATTTAAAGCTTCTGAAAACCTGCTGGAGGGTCAGCTCTGAGTCAGTTCTGATTCCACAGCAATGAGTTTTGAGAATCTTACGCAGCTTAGTGTCTTGCATCACTGATGTGTCAAATGTGTTAATGGCTGGTTACCCAATGCAGACAGAGAGTGGGGTGGAGCTCCCCGATGAAAACAAGCTTGGAAGGAGGAGTGGCATTCACTTCCGTAATAGCTTGCCTCCGGAAACCCTATGAACCTGGAGAGAGGATGAGAGACACCCAAGCACTGAGGACTCTCCTTCATAGGGTTGCTGTGAGTCGCCTGCGACTCGATGGCACTTAACAACATAACAACAACAGTGTCTTCTAGGATTGTGTTCTTAGATGCAGTGTTATTCTTCAACATTGTGTATTATTGTGTGCATGTTCTGTAGTTTGTTTATCCATTTTGATTGTTTTTTATTATTGTAAATAGTGCTACCAGGAACTTGAAGGAGCTTTGGTGGCCTAGTGGCAAGAAACTGAACTGCAATTCTGAAGGCACGCAGTTCGAGGCTACCAGCTGCTCCATAGGAGAAAGATAGGCAGTCTCCTCCCACCAGATTAACTGCCTCTGAAAACCTGCCAGAGGGTCCGCTATGGCTTGGTTCTAACTCTCTGGTACACAACCACCCCCACCACCATGAAGTTGAGTGTGCACATATCTATTTGTGTACATCTTTTCTGTAAGGTCCATACCCAATAGTGAGTCGACTGGATTATGCGATGATTCTGTTTCCAGTTTTTCAAGGCTATGCCGTACTGTTTTCTGGATGGTTGCACTATTTTGCATTTTCCTACCAAGTCTGTCCACACCTTCTCAGCATTTATTTCCTTCCACTTAAATAGTTTTTGTTTTCTTAATTAGAGAATGTGGTTTAATCCTCGTATAAAATGCTCACAACTAATTGATGTTTCTTTCTTTGAACTTTTGTAGAGTCTGACGTGCCAGCAGATCTCCAGGTGTTGAAGGGACCCATACAGCAGCCGACCTTCCCCTTCGCAGTTGCAAACCAGCTGCTGCTTGTCTCTCTGCTGGAGCACCTGAGCCATGTGCACGAGCCAAACCCAGTCCGTTCAAGACAGGTGTTCAAATGTTAGTAAGAATGACGTCAGTGTGCTGAAAAACGAGGGAGAGGACAGTGTCATAGAAGTGCCGTGTGCTTTATTGCTGGGATCTCAAACTTCACGTTACATGTGTATAAGTGTTTTGGATAGTCTTCAGTTAGACAGAAGGATCCTTTAAGGCACTGAGATAGTGTTTGTTAGACAGGAGTGTCCTGTAAGGCATCTGTAGTCCTTGGATGCATGAGAGCCAGCATAACTCTGTGGCAGCTGGTTTTCTGAGGAGCCTCTATTGTCACGTCAGGGTATCCTTTCCTCTTGTGCACGGTCTGCACACCCGTCATGTTCTCTTGGTGTGTACCTTAGAACCTCCTGCTGTCCACTTGATTCCCACTTGGAGAGACCCTGTAGTTCATAAGGAACCAGGCTGCTAACTGAAAGGTTGGTAGTTCTTATCTGCCAGCCACTTTTTAGGAGAAAGATAGGCAGTCTCCTCCCATAAAGATGTACCATCTCAGAACGCGTCGCAGGGTCCCTGTAAGTCGGGACTGACTCGATGGCTGTGGTTTATACCGGGTGCCATCAGGGCAGCTCCCTCTCACAGCAACACCACTGGGAGGGAGTAGACTTACCGCTTCCCCTTTTAGGACCACAGCCTGGCAAGCAGTGATGCAGGTGTAAAGGTGCCCTCCTGACTGTGGCCATGTGCTGTTATTCTTCTTGATTATCTCCCTAGTTTTGAAAATTGTTACTTCTTGATGGCTGTTGTAATCTTGCTTTTCCATGTGCGTTTTGCAGTACTCTGTCAGACCTTTATCAAGATGGGGCTGCTGTCTTCGTTCACCTGCAGTGATGAATTTAGCTCACTTCGACTGCACCACAACAGAGCCATTACTCATTTAATGAGGTCAGCTAAAGAGAGCATTCGCCAGGTAAGTGCTGAAAGAAAACCCTTTATGTATTACAAAATGTGTTACAATTCAAAGAGCACGGTTTTTAAAACATTGTAAAATTCTAATTTTAAAACAATATATATGCTTACATAAAATAAATTGATTGTGTGGCTACTCAAAAATTGGTGGTTCGGACCCAGCCAGAGGTGTCACAGAAGAGGCCTGGTGCTCTGCTCCTGCCGGGAGAACCCATAGTGCCTTGCCCCACGCCTCAGGTCCCCAGAGTCCAGGTTGACTCGGTGGTGGCAGCAGCAACGTGCCTGCCTCACATTTAGGTCTGGGGTTAAAACAGTGAACATGGACAAAATCCTGTGCCCTCCCTGGGGGCTCCTCGTCTCGGGGCAGCTCGGTCGGTCAGTTGACACATCATCCACAAAGGCAGTGCTGGACTGTGTATTTCGGTGAGTAGTCACTGGGTCTTCAGAGCTTGTGCACAGCCATCAAAGATGCAGCCCCTCGTCTTTCTCTCTTGAAGCAAAGAATGAAGAAAGTCGTAGATGCTCGCAAACAGCTTGTTCAGAGGACCGATGGACCCCACAATCCCTGGCCTCTGTGGCCCCAAAAGCGGAACGAGGTGGTACTCGGCTTCTCCTGATCCTCCACCAGCAGGCCCTTGACAAAGCAGGAGAAGCTCTCGGTAGTGACAAAGGCCAGCCTTAGGGGTCTGATGCAGCCTAATGGAACCCCTGAGACTGGAACCCTCAGTCACGCGCTAAGCCTACAACCAAACTCATCCTTGTAGTTCAGCTTTCAGTCAATAAACAAGCCTCCAAGGGAGGGTGAAGGAGCGGCAGGTAGGAAGGAGGGGGACCTGAAGCCTTTGTCACGTGTATGTTTTTTTTGTAAAGTTTTTTTTTTTAAATTTTATTTTATTTTATTATTTTTGTGTGCGTGTACCGTCAAATCAGATCTGACTGGTACAGGAGGAGATGGCCCCTCCTTCCCCGGCAGAGCATCTGGTGGATTCGAACCGTGCACCTCTGGGATTGTAGTTGCAGTTTCTTGCCGCTAGGCCACACGTGTATGGGTTTTACCCACAGTCAGATGGGAAGCATTGCAGGATTTAAAATAAATGTGTTCCCATATTCTGGGCGGTGCTCACGAGGGAAGATGGGACAGTCTGGTTCCATTGAGGTTAGAGCTTTGGAACTCTCGTGGGGCATTCTGCTCTGTTATGTAGGGTAGCTGGTTGATTGGCATAACTTCCATTTGACAGGGTCATTCTGGCTGCGTTGCGGAGAGTAGATGAAGGGTGTGGGGCAGGAGCAGGGAGACCAGTTACAGTTCTTCAGGCAAAATGCGCGGTGGGTGGGATGGGGGTTGGAGGTGGAGGGGGGTGGGGGGAGTGGGCAGGCAGATGGAAGTGCAGCAGGTCTGGGGATGCTACTACAGGTTTGCTTTCAGACCACCGCAGTAAAGCAGGTTGCACAATAAAGCGAGGCACACAGGCTCGGTGCTTTTCCTGTCCATAGAAAAGTTAGGATTATCCTAGTCTGTACTCTCGTGTGTGCAGCAGTGTTGTGAAAATGTTTGAGATACTGAGAATTACCAACACATGATAGAGACAGGAAGCGAGCACATGCTGTTGGGAAAGTGATGCCCCTAGACCTTCTCGTCACACGGTCACTGCAAACCTTCAACTTGTCAAACATACATGAACACAGTGATGTGAAATACAGTGAAATTAGAGATTCTTGTAGTTATGTATATATTTTTTATATCTACTGAATGACTTCTTTGTTAAACTCTCAGAATCATCAAGGGGAAATAAGAATCTGTCTTCTTTACTAGTGATCTTTGGCTTAGAAAACTATTATTTTAAAAAACTAGTAAATTCTAAATAAAGCTATGGATATTTTTGTTTTTAGTATTGTTGATGCAATTGCTATTATTAACATGACATTACATGTTGATAAATGCCTTACTTCCTGTAACAGTTTAGAGTGGTTTTCAACATTAGCATTGTTTTTGTTTGGTTTTAGGATCCTTCTGAGGAGAATTCTCATATCAAGAAAATCAGGTATGTGTTAAAAACTTGCTTTGATTATCCAAAGAATAAACTACTTAAAAGAGATTAAGGGTTAAGAAAATACTAGTTTTGGCGTTAAAAATAATACAGTTAGTGTTAACAAAGCCCACACCAAACACACTGCCATCAATAACTCTCTACCCCTATTCAGTGTAGATGCCAAGAGGCCCCAGGACATTCAGAACTCATCTTAGTCTCTGTCACGGCCACAGCCCTGAATTTCAGACATACTTCATATACAATCTGTAAATGGTTCTGGGCCATTAAGAGATTTAAGTCCCTTTATTGCTTATTCAACAGCCAGCTGACTCAGTGAAGCGCAGCTGACTCCTTGCTGCCCCGGGGCTGTAAATGGAGGGGGAAGACATTGCCCATCATTTTCTCTCGGGGCCACCGGTAGATTCTAACCACCGCTGGTGTAGCATTGCAGCTCCCTGCTGACCGTGCCACCAGTACTCACCTGTCACCCCATACCTGTTAGCCACTCTTAGGGACTCCTGCTTTAACTATGTATACGAACTTTGTAAGTAAACCAGTATAAAATAAAAACCAAACAAAAAAAAAACCACCCCAACCCTTGATGATAACTTCTAATTAGAATATTAATTGCTGCTAATGTTCTTGAAGTTTGCCTAATATTTCTTTTTCCTGTCTTTATTATGTTATAGGTTCCCTTAGCAAATACCTACTTTGTAGAGACTGACACTTCCACTATAGCACATCCTTCCTTAATGATCACTATTTATTAAGATCCCAGCAAATGAGATTTAGGAGGCTGATAATTTAATGAATGTGAAAGCTTTAATTCTCTCCTGTCATATTAATGATTTGTTAAATGTTTCTGTTTCACTTTTAGAGCCAGAGAAATAGCCTTTGAAGCACAGACCTCACGTTACTTAAATGAGTTTGAAGAGCTTGCCATCTTAGGGAAAGGAGGCTATGGCAGAGTCTACAAGGTGGCCTTTTACGTTCTCATGTTGACCTGTTGTTTGAAGGAAATGTGTTTTAAGACTTTGCTTTCATTATCATTATCATTAGATGTACTCAAAGGGAAAAATGCTGGAAATTTGGCCTGTTTTCTCATTAGGAATGTTTCTTTACAGGGAAGAAGGAAGGTTTCTAAAGGTCAGCACTTTGAACCCATCCGCTCTTCCATGGGAGAGAGATGGGGCAGGTCGTTTCTGTAAAATGGATAGTTCTTGGAAGTCCTGTGAGGCACTTAGTCCTGTTTTATCCTAAAGGGTTGCTGAGAGTTGGGGTCAACTCAGTGGTAATGGATTTGACATGATTGATTTATTTCTTGATCATGTTGGCTGTTAGATGGATCCTGGAACCTTTGAATTGTTTGTTTTATTAAAAACTAGTTACTGAAAAAAAAAACTAAAAAAAACAAACACCTAGTTACTGGGAAAAGTTGTGCTGCTTTTGCCAAGAGCCCCAGCTGTCAAACCTAGACCTTCTAGGGGTCGGTTCAGAATTGTGTCATGGAAGGCTTCCAGTTTAGCTGAGTAGGGATGATGACGTTCTTGAACTTAATGAAAAAGACAGTATTTCAATTTTTCTTCTTTTATTTCAGTGAAATTTTACAGAACCAATTTGTTTCCTGCCCAGCTGTTCATACACATTTTGTTTTGCTGCACTGCTTGCAATCCCTGCAGTGTAGCAGCACTCGTCCTATTCCCTCCCTGTGTGTACTGTTTCCATTTGTGTGTCTCCCCACCCCCATGCTTTGTTTAAGGAGTTCCTACCTCCTGGATGCTGTTGTTCACTTTGTAGACCTGTTGTTCAGCTGTTAGTCATTCCTGAGTTCAGTTCTAGGCTTGGAGGGTGATTAAGGACCATAGTTTTATGGGAGGACATGTGTTTAGCTTGACTATCTCTCTGTATGGCTTGGATTGTCTCAGCTCAGATTCAAAGGACTGACTGTTCTTCATTTGGAATTTAATGGAATAAACTTTTGCTTTTCTCTCTCCTTTTTAGGTCAGGAATAAATTAGATGGCCAGTATTATGCCATTAAAAAAATCCTAATTAAGGGTGCAACTAAAACAGATTGCATGAAGGTATGATTATTTTTAAAATTATTTCTTTTTCTTCATACATTTTTCTTGTAGTTTGAATGACAGTTTATAGAGCACACTGTTTTCTGAAAATAACTTCTTTTGACTAGTTGAGTATTCAGGTGCTTTCAAAGAGTGCTGTGTGTAAATGTGTGTAAGTGGTAAACACCACCAGGTCTCAGATCTGCAGTACAGTCAAGTCCAGCAAACAGCAGAAGGAAATTCTTGCTTGCCTCTGCGTGTGTGTTTTGGCACACACTACCCCACATGTCAGAGCCAGTGCTGGGAAGAGGAATTTTTAGGTAAATTACAAGCACCACCATTTTATTGCACCTTGTTTTATTTGGCTTCACAGATACTGTGGGGTTTGTACAAGGTGGAGGCTTGCGGCAGGCCTGGGTTGGGGGAATCTGCGGTGTCCTTTGCCAGCAGCACGAGTGCACTTGGTGTCACACTTCAGTCACTCTCGCAGTGTCTCGAACTTTTCCATCCTGCTTCTGGGGTGTATTTGACAGACTGCAGTCAGTGGAAACGTTGCTTGTGTGTGTGCTTGAGAAACCAAGACTGCCTCCTAACTCTGTACTGTGGTGCCTGGAGTGGAGCCTGAAACACCTTGGAGTTAGGCCTGGATTGCCACACAGTGTAATTTGTTACAGACCTCACCAGCCCAGTTCAGGTCTGTTTCTTCCTGACGTGCTGTGTGGTCCTGGGCAGATGGTTTTGTCCTCTGAGCAGCTTCTGTCTCCCACTCTCATAGTGGTGGCGATGTCAGGGGTGCTGCTTAGCTTGGGGGTCCTTGAAAAATCAAATGAGTAAACCTAAAAGCATTTGAGTCTGTATGTTATTTGCTTGCTATAATAATTGCCATTTGTCTCTCACAACAGTAGTCCAATAACTTTAATACGGTTTAGATTTATTATTTTTTTTAAAGAGGAGTTTTTATTGCTATTTGCTCTGGAACGAACAATATTTGGTGCATGAACATGGAGTGTTTGGGTGGTCAGATGGCCATGTGTGTGATTGCTGGCTCAGAGGTTGGTGGTTTGAACCCAACTCAGTGAGGTGCCTTGGAAGACAGGCGGGTGATCTGTAGCGCGGAAAGTTCCTGGGGTGCAGTCCTCTGCACACATGGGGTCACAATGTGACCTGCAGATGCCTATTAGCACCTGTGAACATTTAACAGGCTGTCAGCCAAGGCCAGTTGTAAGTCCGTTTCCTTTGCAGGTCCTCCGGGAGGTGAAGATGCTGGCGGGTCTCCAGCATCCTCACATCATAGGCTACCACACTGCTTGGATAGAGCATGTCCACGTGACTCGACCCCATGGTGAGCCTCTTTCAGTGGTAGTGTTGGGGGTGGGATGAAGGCATTCACAGTCTACAGTCGGCCCCCTTTTATGTGGATCCCACTAGCCTACAGTGGTTTTAAGTCTTTTTTTTTTAAAAAAAAAAAAAGATGATTACTGCTTGGTGGAAATGATATGAAATTCATATGTCAGTGTCAGTAAACAGTGAGGTACTGGAACACAGCTCCCTGGCAGATCTCACTGGTTATAGCAGAGTTTCAAGGGGCCCACAAAGCCCAACATACTAGCTGTTTGGTCCTCTATTTACTGCATATTGTCACCAGGCCTCAGCATTTAGCTGACTGGAGGAAGGTGAGGCAGTCTGCATCCAGGACAGTATGAGCCCTGAGGGGCGGGGCTCTCCTGAGGGGACACTCTCCCACCCTGAGGGGCCCTGGGGGTTAGAATGACTTGGTTGAGGGTTTGGCTTATTCCTCATTGGTGTAGTTGAACAGTATGGTTCCCAAACCATGCCAGTTGTTTAAATACGCCTCTTGTCTCAGACTTGGCCACAAAGTCCCAACATTTTTAGGTGTGTCGTTCTACTTGATATGATTTGCATATTTTGATCTGCCTTTGACTGTCTTTGTTGGAAAATCAAGTGACCTCAAAGTTTCTCTGGTTTGTTTTTGTTCCACAGACAGAGTTTCTCTGCAGCTCCCCTCTCTGGAAATGCTCTCGGAAAGGTATGGAGACGAGTCTTGCATTTTGCATGTTTGTCATCAGCCCGTGTCACTTGCATTAGGTTTCCTTTGTCCTTGGCCTCTGGGAGCTTTACAGTTCAAACTGTAGAGATAGTTCCTCCTCTCAGATACTTCTATTATTATTATTCCATTCATTCATTGTTGCACTTTTCTCCCTGCCCCCCCTCCCCCCGGTTCATTCTTCTCTTTGAAAAGTAAAAGAAAAATTCTTTGTTTTACAGTCCCTCCCCCCAGGTCCTCTCCACTATGCAGCCTTCGTTGTGGACTCTCAGATATTCTTGTCAGTGTTTTATATGGATCCATTTATTATGTCTCTTTGGCTTTATATCAGAAAATTCATTGTTTGAAGCTAGGCCTGAGAGCCACAGCCCTGTGTTTTCTTCTAAGACTTCCACCCTTAGTGTTCAAAGTTTGTATTTGTTGTGTTTTGGAATCAGTCCTATGAGATCAGAAGGACTGTGATAAAGCTCAGAAGGCAGGAAGGGACAGGACAGGAGGACGAGTGGAAATGGGAAACACAGGGAGGGAGTGGGGAAAGAGCAGATCGAAGTCAGCCGTTGAACTAGAATGAGTGCACGGTGTTGGCTGGAGAACCGGCCTGTTCTTTCAGAAAAGGAGCTCTGCTGCTAACGTTGTTTGTGCTGCTTGTTACCTTTGTGTCTTCCTCTCCAGAGATGATCAGGGTGGTGCTAAAGGTGGCAGTAGCAGCTCATCCATTATCTTTGCGGAGTTAACCTCAGACAAAGAAAAGGCCTTTGGAGGATCTGCCCTTGAAAGTCAGCATAACAGCTTGGTGAACTACACGACCCATTTAGTCCGCAGAGCGGCCAGTGACTCGGAATCCTCATCCATTGAACTTCAGGGTGATGAGCTGCCCGCCAGCGAGCCCCAGCTGCCTCTCAGGCCTCAGCTCGACCTGGAGGAGAGTTTCACGTCCACTGAGGAGTCCTCTGAGGGAAACGTGAACGTGTTTGGGCAGCCGGAGGTAGGCGACTTTCCCCTAATCTACGAGTGTGACACTTCCTATGGTCACCGTGTCAAGGACTCTGATGATGTCCGGCCGGTCATGCGTATTAGGCTTGTGACCTTGATTAATGTCCCCACATTGAAACATTTTCCCCTCTTCCTTATATAACATAAGTACCTAACATAAGTACCAAAAAGCCGTTGTTCTTGTCTAAATTGCAGTGATTTTCCTGCTTTATAATTGGAGGCCAGCTTTCCTTAAGAGAAAATCTAGGGCTTCCTCTGTCTGTTGATAGCATGCTGTAAGGTGTGGCTTCACCCTTGACCTTCCAGGGGTCCTTCCCCCTTCTCTCTTTTCTTTTCTTTTTGATTTTAACTCTTCTGTGGCCTCTCTTTCACTAGCTCTGCCTGTTTGATTGCCTTAAAAACCTTTTTCACTCATTTTGTTAAAAAAAAAAAAAAAGGAGGCCATCAAGGACTAATATCCTCCCTTGCTGATAGGCAGTTCCACTGTTGTTGTCAGGGACCATCTGGTCGGCTCTGACTCCTCGTGTCTCCTGTGCAGTGAACGGAACACCGCCCGCCCACAGCAGCCTCGCCTTCTCTGCTGCGCTTGGGTGCAGGGTCAGTCCATCCTGTTGAAGGTTTTCCTCCTCACTGACCCTCCTTGATCACGGATGATGACTTTCACCAGCCCCTGCCCTTCCAGACACAGTCCTTGCTTCTAAGGAGCCTTCTGGCCACACGTCTTCCAAGACAGATTTGTTCCTTCTCAGTACCACACTCCAGCGGCATCAAGTCTCCAGTCTTAGTCATTTTCACATTTCTATGTGGCGATTAGAAATAGTGTGATTTAGGTCCTTCACACTGCAGTTATCAGGGTGCCATCCTGGTTTTTAGCATTTGAAGGATGACACCCTTGCTTTTTAGCACTTAGAGAGACTCTGCACCAGATTGATTTCTGACCACTGCTTCTGTGGGTATTGTTTGTGGACCCAAGTAAAAAAGAAATGTTAGACAACTTCACTCTTTTCTCCATTTATTGTGATGATGATTACTGCTCTGGTTGTAAGATTTTTGTTTTCTTTCTGTTGAGGTGAAATCTGTATTGAAAAGTATATAATCTTTACGCTTCATCAGTAAGTGCTTCAGGTCTTTGTTTTTTGCCGGCATGGTTGTGTCATCTGCACATCGCAGGTTTTTGATAAATTTTCCTTTATTCCTAATGCTGTTATTTGTCGTGCGGTCCAGCTTCTCAGATTGTTTGCTCAGCGTACGTGTTGTGTAGGCCTGGTCACACTGCTTTCCGGATTTGAAACCATGAAGTGACCCCTTGTTCTGTTTGAATGGCTGCTGCTTGGTCTGTGTATCGGTTTAGCACCAGCACACGTAAGTGCTCTGCGATTACTACTGTTCGCAGTTTGCAGTAACCCACACAATCCAGTAAGGACACAAATGACATCACACCACTGTCATCGCGTCAGTTCTGACTCGTAGCCACTTTGTTGGGTTTCTGAGGCTGTAAACACGTATAGTAGGAGACTGCTGGCCATTCTGCCATGGAGCAGCTGGTGGATTTGAGCTATTGACCTTTTAGTTAGCAACCTGGTACATTATATACCGTGCCACAGGGCTTCGTAAGTAATATCAGAAGTCCCACTGACTTACAGTTCAGTACTGGACACACCCCGTACTTGCAAACGTTCCACCTTTCACAACATGTGATGAAGTCACTGCTATGACCAGACCCTGTCTGCCTGGTGCACATAGTTCAGACAGGGAGAGAGCTGTGATGAGGGAGCAGTCTTCTTAAAAATCAGTTCTCAGACTACAACAGATGTGTCATTGAAATTTATTCTTCTTTTTACCTATTAAAATATATCATGAGTATTAAAAACAAATCAATTCTGTGGAAAACAATAAAGAACTGGATTTGAAACTGTCCAGGATACAGAGCTGCGTGACCTGACTGTGTATTGCTGCCGAGTGTGCTTGGCCTGTGGCACTGCTCCCCAGGGCTTTTCCGCCTGTCCCCTTCCCTGGCTGGGCTTTGGGGACAGGCCCGTGCCCGTCTTCTGTCTCAGAGGTTGCCTTGGAGGTGCCACGCGAGTGCTTGTTGACCCAGCGGGTAGGATGTCACCTGTGTGTCCTGCCCTGCAGATGCAGTACCACCTGATGCTCCACATCCAGATGCAGCTGTGCGAGCTCTCACTGTGGGACTGGATCACCATGCGGAACAGGCGGAGCCAGGAGTGCGTGGATGAGTCGTCCTGTGAGTACCGCACGTGCAGCCCCACCCACTCCAAGCTGGCAGAGACAGGCCTTTCCATCAGGAGGTAGTACAAGACCGATGTTGAAGCCCTCAAGCAGGACCAGGAGCTTCCATCCTCATGAGCAAGAGGGCTGAGTCAGGAAGTGCTTTAGAGGGTTTGCGCTGCACACAGGCCCACAGGCCAGGAATGTCGCTGCCCTTAGAACACCTCAGAATTAAAGAGAATGTCAGTTCCCTTTTCTGGAACAGAAAGTACAATTTATTGTAAAGTTTATCTTATATGTCCTCATCAGAGTAAATGTAGTGAGAGTAAAATTATGAATTCAGGAAATAATGAAAGAGTTGTTTTTGTTAGTCTATCCCAGTGTTCTGTGAACGAAGGTTGGGTTTGCGTCCCGGCGGTAATCTGCCTCAGCTTTGGGAACCGTGCGGTAATACTCCTTGTCTCACCGGGGAAATGTGGATGAGGCCTGTTGTGTAAGGTGCTTGTAAGGACTAAAACACTGAGGGAAACACCCAAAGCCCTGTTGTCAGTTCTGACTTGCAGTGATCCGCTCCTGAATTTTCAAGGCTGTAAATCGATACAGGAGCCTGCCCATCTTTGTCCCACAGGGCTGCCCATGGCCTTGAACTGCTCACTTGTCAGTTAGCAGCTTAACGCATTACACCACCAGGGCTCCTTCTGGATATACTGGTGTTTGTTCTTTATGTACCATCAACTTGGAACCAACTCATAGCTGATTGGGTAGGTTTTCAGAGGCTGGAAGTCACATGTGAGGAGATTGCCCATCGTTCTGTCAAGGAGCAGCTGGTGAACTCGAACCAGGTATCTTTAGGTTGGCAGTACAGCTTCTTACCACTAATTAGGCCACTAGAGTTACAGGTATTTCCAAGACAAACTAAAAGAAAGTTGTTGTATTGTTGTTGATTGCCTTCGAGTCAGGCACACCTCCTGGCAACCCTATGAACCCCCTCTACAACTATCGACATTTGTTTAGGCATGTTGTTTAGGAAGTGACTCAGGAAGTTGTTTAGAGGGTTTGTTTTCCAAGGAAGGTAGTTACTCTGAATACGTGTGTGCAAGTCAAAGTTTTAGTGACATATCCAACAACCCACAGGAGGTTGCCCTTGTTGATGTTAGGGACAGTCATGGTGGGGGTTCCAGGAAGTGGAACCGTTGTTTACAGCACACACCGAAGCACAGAAGATCCCCAGTTACCCACGAGCTCGTGTAAGAGGAGGCAGTCATCGTTCTCTGTAAGGAAGGGTTTGGCTGTGTGACAGAGTTGTCCTTAGGTACCATAGAGTTGAGTTCAGCTCATAGTGATCCCATGTCACACAGCTAGTTACATGCTTGGTTATTAAATTTTAAGGTTGTCGGTTCAAGGAACACCTCACGGTCTGCTCCCATAGACATCACAACCTGGAGAGCCCTGTGGGTGGGACGGACCCCACAGCACCTGCCATCATTGCTAGAAATTGAAATACCCCATGAGCACCTCATCACCATATTTAAAGCTACATTAACGATTATATGCTCACATACTTGCGTGAAAAAGGGAAATGAAATTTATTCTTTTTGCTTCAAGGTCCTTACATCATGGCCAGTGTTGCAACAAAAATTTTTCAAGAATTGGTGGAGGGTGTATTTTACATCCATAACGTGGGGATTATGCACAGAGATCTGAAGGTGAGTGTGGGAGGAGTGATGAGGGCAGGGGCACGTCCTCGGAGGGAGGACATGGTTCACTCGGACGAGCACACCCTCACTGGTGCACTTCTGAGGTGATTGTTCTTTTTGTAGACATCGCTGTTTCATTGGCTCAGAATAGGAAAACCTTAGATTGAACTAAAAAACAATACTCTTCGGGTATTTAAAAGTTCTCTTTGCAGTGTCAGTACTGCCATTCTGGTAGTATGAGTACCCTGGGTTTTAAGATTCATGATGTTTTTGTTAATTCCTATAGGAAAAAATTGATAGGAAAGATAGATGGAAATGGGAAACGGATTAGGAAAATGCTGTTACACTATGGAGATTGGAATTAATATCACAACACATGAGTGTGAATTGTGAAATGGAAAGCCAGTTTGCTCTCTACCTTTCATTCTTTTCATTTTAGTCACAATAAAATGGTAATTTGAAAAAAAATTGCTCTGGAGACTCATATGATTTTGAAGAGTAAAAGTTGTATCTGTTAATATAGACTGTAGAGGAAATTTAGCCTGAGAAATTAAACAACAACAAAAATAGACGTTTTTCTCTTCCCTAAATGAAAAGGTGTGTTTTCTGGTTTGAGGTTGAGACTAGAGTGTGGTTGTGGTTGACTATAGGGTGTGATTAGATTTGGCCTCATATTTAAAAAGGCTTTTGGGCCCTTGAGCCTGTGGCCCTCTGGCCTGCTTTTTGTGGATCTACTGAATAAAACAGCCTTGGAAGCAGGAGCGGCATCCACTTCCAAAAAAGCTTGCCTCTGGAAACTCTATGAACTTGGAGAAAAGATGAAAGTTTTGTGTTCAAGACTTTGATTCATAGGGTTGCTAGAGGTCGTCTCTGACTCTACAGCACTTAACAACAACAGCAAATGAAAAATAAAATTTATTAAGACACATTTGATCTGTGGGTTTAAAACCAACTTTCTGGGGTAATGACAGATTTATTTTACTCTTGTCCCCCAAAACCTGTGAGCACTAGAATTGTCAAAGAACACCTGATATTTAGTAAATCAGGAAAGAATGTGAACATTAGGGGGAGGGGAGAGGAATTGTTTTCTGACTGAAATCTTTGGAGCTCAGTTTACTGCAAACCCAGCCTGTGACACAGTGAGCCACATCGTGGTACACATTCCCAGTACTCAGGAAAGAGCAGAGTGTTACACGATGTGTAGTAAATAAATTCATGGTCCTTGAGAAAGGAATGATAAAACCACTCCGTAATTAAAGAATGAAGTGTCCTGTCCCACTAACATCCCCCAGGTAGGATGAACATGACACAACCAGAGCCGTCTCCCACCAGTGTTTTCATTAGCATTTCGATTGTGGGTTTTTAAGCTTACAATAGATTACAATAGCTCTTTGCCGTTCCAGGTACTAATATTTTAACCCTTTAAAGGGAAGAGTCAGGAGGAGAGGAAAATGTCAAATCCTTAAAATTTAACACCGGGTCCATGAAGGCCAAAGAAATACACTTTTTAAAAATTTTTATTTTATTTTATTATTTTTATGTGTACTGTCAAATCAGATCTGACTGCTACAGGAGGAGATTGCCCCCTCCTTCTCCAGCAGAGCATCTGGTGGCTTTGAACCGTGTACCTCTGGGATTGCAGTGCAGCGTCTTGCCACTAGGCCACCAGAGCTCCTTAGAAATACACTTTTTTTTTATTATTGTTGTTTTTGTGTGTCTGTGTACTGTCAAATCAGATCTGACTGGTACAGGAGGAGATTGTCCCTCCTTTCCCGGCAGAGCATCTGGTGGATTCAAACCATGGGCCTCTGGGACTGTAGTGCAGCTTCTTGCCACTAGGCCACCAGAGCTCCCCAGAAATACACTTTTAAAGCTCTAAACAGTTGCTGTTTTTTTTTTAAAAAAAGAAATAACACAAAAAACAGTTTGATGCCAGTTGCACTTTTTTTTTTAATTTACAATTATTTTTTTTGTTGGAAAAAAACATTGGGGGTACAAGGAGGCGAGGGTTGGGGGCAGAAGGGTGAGGATGGGCAGGGGTGCAGTTGCAGAGCTGCAGAAATTGGTGGGGGGAGCAGGTGAAGGAAATGAAAAGGATCCAGTGGGGACCAGATGCTACAGGAAAATGACAAGCATTTTCCAGTGGTGATTAAACCAACTGTCTTATTGATTTGGGAACTGGATGCCGACTCTCTGGCTTCTTCACACTGAACAGGGGCGTAGATGTGAAGGGGGAAAGGGAGGACACTTTATCACCTTACTGGTGATGTTGGGTTAAGGCTGCTTGCCTTCTTGTTCTGTTAGAAGATATTTTCTTGTCATTTGCCAGTTGCACTTTTCATCCCTGATAATTATTAAGAAAGAGGATTCTGTGGACTTCCGTGGCTGCAGGTTTAAGTGATGTATTCCTTCACTTTATTATGCTCCATGTGAACATTTATGGAGAACTTGGTTTCCGGCCCTTCATTTCTACAGGTTTTTACAGTTTTAAATACTGTCTCCTCATTTTCACAGCACTATCCCCAAGCCCTTCCTGTGATTCTCACATCTGTTTATCCTCTGCTCTGTGCCTTCCTGCTTCCTGAGCTCTCTCCCTGGGTATTGTTGTGATTGTGTTCTAAGGGCTGTGTACTTCCTGCTGGTACTGTCCACCTTGGGGGACGCCTAGTGTTGGCACAGAGGTGCGGCGAGCCTTGTGCTCGGCGGGTTGCTAAGGGTTCCATCCAGCTCTGTGAGGTTTCTTATTAAGCCTGGTCAGTTGTGTGAGTTTGTGTTTTGTTCCACATTTTCCCCCACTGTGATTTTTTTTTTAGTGGTCAGCAGAGTATTAATTTGCTTATTCCTCTGTTGTCAGAGGGTATACAGTTCTCGGAATACTTGGGAACAAAGGAGAGTCAGTATTGAAGTCATATTAATTTTTTGTAGTAGGTTTAAGAATCAGTAGTGTGTCTGTCTGGGGGCACAAGGTTCTTGGTCCCGTCTTTCCGAGTGCAGGCACAGCCAGAGGTTAGAGGGGGTGGTGTTGGGACCTGACACTGCCCGGCCCTGTGGCGAGGTTATTGCTATAGACGGAGTCCCACACCTTTGCCGGAAGTAGCTATTTTAGGCTCTGTTTCTGTTTCTCACTATAGATATTCCTGATGTGTGTTTTGCAGATGTCCTCAAGGGAGAGGGGCTTTGAGAGAGGGTTATTAGGGTCTCCCTCAAGAGGTGGAATTCGAGCTGCCTGATGCCCGCAGGGAGAACCCCTTGGCTGTTGGTCAGTCTCAGGGGGTAGGAGTGGTCCAGCAGCCTGGTGAGGAGGGCCACGTCCCGGATGTTGGCACCACGCTGCAGGTACGACTCCCCGTTCCTCGTTAGGATGTTAACACTGGCTTCAAACTGCAGCAGCAGGTTAATTACTGCCTCTCTGCCTCCAAAACACGCCTCGTGCATAGCGGTTTGGCCCTCGTGGTCTTGGGCGTTGACCTGGGTGCCGTGGAGTAGGAGCAGCCTGATGTAGCCCGTGCCCACCACCAGCAGGCAGCCGGCTTTGCTGGGCGCAGTGCACACAGCCAGCTTGAGAGCTGTGCTTCCCGTGGGGGACACTGTGCAGTTGACGTTGGCGCTGCCAGCCACCAGCGTCTCCATCATCTCACTGTTGAGCACGTCTGCAGGCACGTGCAGGGGTGTCATGTTGGACTCGTTGACGATGTTGACGTGGGCCCCGTTCTGGACCAGGACCAGAGCACTGGGTAGATCCCGTGGGTGATGGCCAGGTGCAGCGGGGAGTGCTGGCGGCCGTTGTGCACATGCGGTCACCTGCGCACCATGCTCGCCTAGCATGCGGACACATCAAATCAAATCTGACTGGTACAGGAGGAGATTGTCCCTCCTTCTCCAACAGAGCTTCTGGTGGATTTGAACCTGGTACCTCTAGGATTGCAGTGCAGCTTCTTGCCGCGAGGCCACCAGAGCTCGCCCATGCTAATTTTTTTTAATGCTTTATTTAAAACGAGTGCTTTGGTGAAAGCTGGCTGAGGCCTAGTTGGCATCAGCCAGTTCATGATTGTTTTGTGAGATTGATTACAGTCACCGTAACAGAATAGCACTCTTCCTGTTTCCTCTCTGTACTTCCAGTTTCCATTCAGCCTTTCTTTCTGAGTTTTATTCCTGGGCACATATTATCCATTTGATCTTCCTTGTTCTAAGGAGTGAGTGCCTCCCTGGTGCGACAGTTCACAGGTGGGACTGTTGTGTGCTTTGAGTGGGAACCGTCTTAGCTGATCCTCCGCCTGGTTTCAGGGGCAGTGACTGCACAGGAGGAGACTGCCTGTCTTTCTTCTGCAGAGCACTGGTGGATTCAGCTGAATGTCTTTGGGTTGGCAGCATAGCTCCTTGGTACTCAGAGACCAGATTTCTTGGATAAAAACTGAGACCCGGGGTGAGTTCAGTTCCTGAATAGAGGTTGAAGGAGGGCCATTTGCTCAGGGTCCCAGCGGTCCCCGGCAGCAGGCACCAGTTTAGATGGTGGAGACAGAAGAGGCCAGTTGCCATCAAGTGGCTGGTGACTCGTGGCAGCCCCGTGTGTGTCAGTCAGTCGTGCTCTGTGAGCTTCTGGGAGCTGGTTTTTAGAGACTATTCATCTGAGGAACCTCTGTGGGGACTTGAACCTGCAGCCTCTTTAGCACAGTGAAGTGTGCTGACTCAGGTGAGCAATGATGCTTTCCAGTGTGGACCCCTAGTGGATGGTCTTGAACACACAGCCCGTTTCTGGGGTTTGGAAATCTTATCGACCTAGTGGAGATAGTGTGGCTGCTCAAGGTCAATGACCATGGCTTGGGGCATTTTTCGATCTGGGACTCAGAATGTCATCTCTCAGCTGGCTCGGGTGGGTTCTTGTGTCATCCCCCAGAAAGGAGAGGACTTGGTTCATCTTGTGGTCCTTTGTAGCCTGTAAGCTGTGAGGAAGGGAGGAATCCAGACGTAACTGGAAAAGGTTACGGTGTGCATCTAGGTCGGGGGCACTGTGGGTTTCGAGGTGACGGCCTGAGGACAGGCTTACCTGACTTGTGGGTCAGCTCCGTGCTCTAACAGGCACAGCAGACTCTGGGCTTTGCGGTACTCTGCAGCCAGGTGGATGGGGACGATCAACTGTGGCTGCTGCTTCGCGGGAGAAACACCAGAACACGTGACCAGGAGCCCTGTTGTAGTTATTAGGTCTCATCCTGTCAGCGTGAGTGACCCGTGTCCAGCATGGCAGCCCCCGCCCAGCCCCGCCCCCTTCCCACACGGCTTGCTCCGCGCTCGAGCCATCGTTGAGGGTCTTCTCCTTTTGACTCACCCTCTGCCAGGAAGAGCCTCTCTCTCCAGTTACTGGAATGAGTGATCGTCCTCCTGGTAACTTGGCCAGTGTATGGAAAGCTCTCAGTTGTCAGAAATCACATTGGTGACATGTTGGCAATTCACAGGCACTCTGCTGGTGTCATGTGGGGGAGAGAGAGGCCGTCCCCTCCCTGTGAGCTGCGGGCCTCGGAAGCACAGTGACGCACACTCCGGGTCGGAGTCAGCGCAGGGGAGTGAGTTGTTCTGGCTTCGCAGATATGAAGAGTGTACTTACTATCCTGTTGCTTCAGCACTTTTTCTAGGAGGGAGATTAAAATTTTCCTTTTATTTTGTCTGTTTCCATTAACTCACAGAGTGTCGAGAGCTGGTGCTTGCGAATAGCTCCTGGCGTGAAATAACCACTATGGCTGATTGGTCACTGGGCAGTCACCTTCCCGGCAGGGGCGCCAAGAAGCCGGTGCTGGAGGCTGAGCCCTGCACAGGGCCGTGGGGTCGGCAGTAAGACGTGCACTGCCTGGGTTTCCGAGATAATGCTCCATGTGGCCTCTCTGTGATCAGCAGAGTTGTGCCAGTTCTTAAAACATACCTATCAAAAACAAAAAGCATACCTATCAGTGTTGGTTCTGCAGCCCGGCTGCAAGATAATGGGGAGAGGAGAAGGCAAAGGAAGGCGGGACAGCTGCCTTGTATAGGAAGAGCAATTAGAAAGTCAGTACGCAGTGTAGAAATTTGGAAAGTGGAGCTGTGTATCAGGGAGGGGTGGTGGGACCATGGGGCGGGATTCCATGCTTGGCATACGTGAGAAGATGGTGGTAAAGGCTTTTGCAGCCAGGCGGCACCTTCTAGTCTTTTCTCACATGCAGTGGTGTGTGGTGAGTGAGGGTGGGGTGGAGGCGGAGAAGGTGGGTGTGATTCAGCTGTCTGGTCAGGCCTCGGCCCGTGAGGTGTGGTGAGTGAGCACCTGTGAACTGGGGAGACCAAACAAGAATCCGGGCCTGTGACTGTGGTGCAGGTGAAGAATCCTCAGAATGTGCCATAGACGCCCAAACCCGTGTCTGCTTGGGGAACAGTGCAGCCAGCTTGCTCCTAGGAGGGCGGGTGGAGGAACTGCCCCCCACCCTTGGCCCCGTTTCCAGGAGGGCCGCACTCTGGAGGACGTTGTGCTCAGGGAGGTGGAGGCGAGCAGGAAGAGCCTCGCGAGGGGGTTGGCGCAGTGGCTGCAGCGGTGGCTCTGATGATGGCACAGGATGGTTCTGCACGCGGTCGTTCTGAGTCACAACCAGCTCGGCACACAGCGCCTGACAAGAGCAGCCGGGAGCTGGCGTTCTTTCCCAGACCCCGGGCAGCTTTTCTCAGCGGGCACCTGGCTCAGCAGTGGGTGGTAGCTGGTGGGGTTGGCCCGGATGGCCATGGGCTGGTTGACGGCCAGGACGGTCATGGGCTGGTTGTCGGGGTGCTTCCTCAGGAGCACCTCGATCATCGGGCAGTCCTCTCTCAAGATGGCTTTGGACAGCTTCACGTGAAGAGCTGCGGATGTGGTGGCTTCTGCTGGTGCAGCCCTGGCCCCTCGCCTGCTTGTGTTGCCCATAAGGAACTGAAGAGTGGGCACGTGGGAGGCCGGAGAAGTGCCAGAATGAACTGGCCACTTTGGTCCGCTTTGTGATTGAGGATTCCTTCCATTTAGTTCTAGAGCTTCTGTTCCTAGACCTGTTTTAAGGTTGCTTCCAAGACCTAACAGTGAACACACTTTTCTTTTACGGCAGAGCCCTGCTTTTCCGTGCGTGTGTATTTTGACTTACCCTTCAATTGCCCCCTGACCACATAATGCCAAATTTAAGGATACTTTTTGGGCCTGTCTAGTCAATCTCAAAAATATATCCAAATGGTCATCTTACACAGTGACTTCTGTCTTCTCCTCCAGTTCAGTGGTAGTTGAAACCGTTAAGTTTTAACCCACATCTGTTTGTAGTTTTTAGCAGGATCATGGCCCTCACTCCCGCTATCTCTCCCTAAAACAGATATAACTTTTCACTGGTGTTGACAAGTTCCAGTGAGGCGTGATTGTCTGGGGTGTGTAATTAGAGCAAAATGTGGACCTTTGCTGTGGTGCTGCCCTTGTGTCCATCAGCTCTGTTGGTGAGCTTCCCCAGCGTCGTGTGTTCACTTCTTGTCGTTGGATCTTATTTTGATAATTCCCACATTATCTCTTACATCCTCATAATGCACTTACATGCTTACAGACTTCAGGAGAGTAGAGCTGGAACTGTCATGTGAGTGAGAAACAGTTTTGTGTGACTCCTTTGATGGAGTCACTTGCTTCGTTGGGGTGTCTGGCGTTGAACCTGTGATATTGCCGTAGGCTGAATCTGAGCACTCTCTGAGCCGTAGAAATGACCAGGGCCCAAGCCCAAGGTGCTCGTGCATGAAGAAGCTCAAAACCATGCTATTACAAAGACTTGGAGGTAGGTAAAGCGGAAAGTGTCATGAGCCCTTGCATTTCCATGATTATGTAAAAGCAGCAATTAGGAACATAGATCTGTAGATGCATCAACTTTTTCCATTTCAAGTGCCACAGAGTAAATGCCAGAAATCGTGCCATTTTACCCCTAAAATCTTCCGTGGGCATTTTTAAAAATTAAAGGCATTTCTTTTATAACAATATTCTCATCTAACAAAACTAGCCATGTTTCCTTAGTGTTATGTAATAGCAAGTCTATTTTTAAATTTCCCCTGAATTCTAAAAGTTAGGTTCCCCCCAGGTTTGGGGGCAAATCAGGGAGAGAGTAAATCCATACTTGGTAGTGGGATTGCTAGATCTAATAGCTTTTTTATTCCCAACTTTCTCAGAGAGTGCCAGCCTGCTTTCTTTCCATAGTGTTCTCACCCTTTCCACCTTCCACCCGCAGGTGCACACAGATACCTTGTTAACATGTTGCTGCACACTTTTTATATTGACGACCGTGCTTAGAAATACATTTGCCGTCATTTGTTGCAACGTTAAGCTCCTCTGCTGAGTCTCGGACCTGAGAATTGCTGGTCAGGTGTTTTAAGTTTTGTCAGGGCTGCCTGCTCCTCAGTTGAAAACTCATCTTCACCAGGTTTTATTATCTTTCTTCTTTTTTGAGGGTAAAATAATGATTGATTTGTTAGAAAGCTACATTCCCAAAGGGATGATCTTCCCCCTGAAAGGAACTGCAGAGGAGAAGCCCTTATTATTTCTTTTAAGAAAACCAGGAATTGTGCTATTTCTTTTACAGCCCAGAAATATTTTTCTTCATGGCCCAGATCAGCAAGTGAAAATAGGAGACTTTGGCCTCGCATGCACAGACATTTTGCAGAAAAGCACAGATTGGACCAACAAAAATGGGAAGGGTACGTGCTTCTTTCTGTCCTCCCACTTTTCAAAAAAAGGAAAAGACAGGCTTCAATGTGTCAGTGTTTCAAGTTAGTCTTAAAAGTTTTAATAGCAGACTGGAGAGCATTATGCTAAGTGAACTAATTCAGTCCCATAAGGACAAATACGATATAAGACCATTATTGTAGAAATAGGATAATAACTAGTAAAATGTGTATGAGGATCCAAGTGGGAGAAGGGTGGGAACAGGGAGGGAAGGCTGGGGGAGCTAATCATAGGGTTGCACAGTGTGAAGGGTGGAGGGAACAGAGGGCAAAGAAACGGAGAGATCGCGTGAAAAACTATGTGTATGAACTTTGTAAGTAAACCAGTATAAAATGAAATTTTTTTTTTAAATTAAAATAAAAAAAAATTAATAGCAGAAATCAGACAGAATGGTGCTTGGTGTTCCTTTGGGAGCTAGTGTGTGTTGCTCATTCAAAATACTCTTTAGCGTTGATAATGTCAACAGTGCAGTTTAATATTTGGGTTTTCCAATTACAGGAACGCTGACACATACGTCCCGAGTGGGGACCAGCCTGTACGCGTCCCCCGAGCAGCTGGACGGGTCCGAGTACGATGCCAAGGTAGGTGTCCACTGTGTTTCCTTCTCTTCTCCCGAGACCTTTCCCAGCTCTGTCCTCCAGAGCCTCTGCTGTCCGGAGCAGTTTGGAGTGCATGCACATCCTGAGGTGGAAATCACGCTCTGTGAACCCTGTTTTCCCGCACCCGTTTGCTTTCTGAGTCTGCAGCCACTGACAGGTGTCCCAGTGTGTGTGAGAACCTGGACTTCTGTTCCTTGAACTTCCTCGCAGTGTCTTCCCCGACCCTGATCGCGTGTGCTGAGCTCTCCTTGACTGTGTATTGCCTTGGCCCTCTGTTAAGATCAGAACTCTGATGGTGGAGTCTGTAGGGGCTGCACCACTCACCCAAGGTTGGCGGGTTTGGAGGTTCTAAAGCACCAGCCCCTCCTCCGAGAAGGACAGGTAATCTCTTCCCTTGCCGTTCACAGCCTCTGAAAGGCTGGCGTGTCTGCTGTGAGACAGTTGTGCCTCAGCAGCGAGTCGCTCAGCTTAATACGTCTTCTGTCCGTTACTTTTTCGTCTGAGCTGATGTTGCAGTAATAACTGGTGCACAGAAGGCCAGTCCCTGCGGTGGAAGGGCCCCTGGTGGAGGTGTTGCTGTCGGTAAAGAGGACCCTCCAGGTCTTAGATCTGAACCGTTTTGGACAGTTTTGACAGTCCCTTGGACAGTTTACAATTTAGTTCTAAACTGGTGATTTTCGTTCTTAAGTTTCGGTAAATAAATATTACAGGGAAGCCTGACACTGTCCGAAATAGACTAGAGACAATTGACAACTTGTAAGGAGTTCAAGAAAACAAACCCATGGTGCCTGAAATGGCGCCAGCCTTCCTGGAAAGCTCATTCGTCACCCCCTCCCCTCCACAGTAACAGCCTGGCCCAGCTTCCAGCTTCTGCTGAATCAGCGTTTTAGTGATCGCAAAGAGCGTCTGGAATGGACCGTCCTGCCTTTAACACCCTATACCTACTGATGACCGTTCCCCCAAAAAATCATGTTAGGAAAAGTAGCAGCAGATTTCATGGAATGGGTATGTGAAACTACCAGAAAGACCCAGTTAGGCATGAGGCCAGAGGTGAGACTGAGGAAGGACCCAGAGGCCTGTCCCTCTCCCTGTGGACGGTGCTGGCAGCCACGGTGCGGACACACTGCTTTCCTGTCAGGGTCTGCCTGGACTCTGAGGTGTGGGGAGGACAGCCATGTGGTGCGGGCTAGCCCAGCCCGTGGATGTCCCATCTTGTGACATCCCCGGCAGTGGGCCTGGCTGGCACACTGGCCCTGTTGGTGGCCTTCAGCTGTGAAGACCAGGCCTCTTCCTGTTCAGAGGCTCGTGCACCAGATGGACGTGTCACTAACCTGTATGCGTGATCAAGTGAACTCTCCTCTTTTTACCTTTTTCCAGTCAGATATGTACAGCTTGGGAGTCATTCTGCTGGAGCTCTTTCAACCATTCGGAACAGAAATGGAACGAGCAGAGGTTTTAACAGGTCTAAGGACGGGTCAGATCCCAGAACCCCTCAGTAAAAGGTGGCCGGTTCAGGCCAAATACATCCAGCAGTTAACCAGAAAGAGCCCGTCCCAGCGGCCATCTGCCACCCAGCTGCTGCAGAGCGAACTTTTCCAGAACTCTGGAAATGTATGTATTTGCTTTTTTTTTTGTTTTTTGTTTGTATTTCTTTTTTAATGCTCAGAAAAACAGGAAGCTAAACTAGAATGTTTCAGTTAGGACCTATTTTCAAAGTTCTTTTGAAATAGTAAGTTTGATGCTGAAGGCATACAGTCCTGCCCACTGTTGTCTAGTCCTTTCTGACTTATAGTCACCCTAATAGGACAGAGAACTGCCCCGTGGGGTCCGGCAGCTGCCACAGCAGTCTCCACGGAGCAGTGGGTTTGAGTGGCTGAGCACTGCCCACTGTGCCACCAGGGCTCCTGGAGCAGACCCGCCGCTGAGTCTGCCCTGACCCTGACTCGTGCTGGTCCTCCGTCGGGTTTCAGCACGATGGCCGAAGACAGGGCCTCTTCCTCCCAGTGGGTGACTGATGCGTTCAGACTGCTGACTTTTCCGCTACCAGCCCTCCACCTAACCCACCACACCACCAGGGCTCCTTCCCGGGCCAGCAGTGCACTGTATCCTATCCAGTGAGCAGGGGTCCCCCTACCAACTCCCCACTCCAGAGATCCTAACCCAGGCTTCAGCTTCTGCCTGACTTTGCAGTCAGTGAAACAGCCTCAGTGTTCTCCATCTACAGAGGATGTAACTTTTTTCCCCTACATTTTTTTTAAAAAAAATATTTTGTATTGGCGTGCATTATTACTATTTTTAAAATTTTATTTATTGGTATTTTAACAAAAGTGTACAGAAAACTTGATTTCCATTCATTCATTGTTGCGTTTCCTTCCCACCCCTCCCGTTTGCTTTTCTCTTTAAAAAGATTTGCATTGTTGCAATAACTATTTTTTTAAAAAGTATAATTTACTGAAACTTTACACAGCAAATGAGAATTCCGTTTGGTAATTTTTTAAAAAAAATGTTCAGTGACATTAGTAACACTTTCTGGAGTCACCATCTGATGGTGGTCGTGTGGTTCCCTTTTCAGTGCTCCAGCTCCCATGTCCTGATCTCCACTTTTCTTTAGAGCATTTGTGGACCTTGGGCTCATGGGGATGGTGTTTCATTTAAAGTGTATTTCAGGGCGATAGTCTCCTGGCATCCTCCAGTCTTAACTGGTCCTAAACATCTATACCTTGTGGTAGTTATCTTCCAATAAAAATTGATTATACTAAGGAAGCTCTGGTGGCCTAGTGGTAAGAAGCTGCACTGCAATTCCAGAGATATATGGTTCAAATCCACCAGATGCTCTGCTGGAGAAGGAGGGCCAGTCTCCTCCTGTACCAGTCAGATCTGAGGGTACACACACACAAAATAATAATTAAATAAAAATACTATACTGAAGGCTCCTGGACCACACTCATCGTTGGGTGTGTGGTGTTCATTATCAGACCTGGAAAGCATGGCTTCATGTACACTTACAGTTTGTGGATGAGGGGTCCAGTGCAACCACAGTTAACACACACTGTGCTGATGGGGGTGTATGGCTGTCACTTTACCAGGTAACCCTTTAGTGGGTCACTCGAAAGGTCACAACTTGACTGGGTCTTAAAATTTTGTCTCTTTGTAGATTAATCTAACCCTACAGATGAAGGTAATAGAGCAAGAGAAAGAAATTGAAGCACTCAGGAAGCAGCTGAGCCTCCTCTCTCAGGACAGAGGGACTAAGGACACGTGACGTCCCGAGCACCGGGTCCGGCCCAAACGAGGCTGTAGAGAAACTATGACTGCGGCCGTTGTCCAAGCTAATCGTAAACTGGAATGTAAATTTTCAATATGTATTAGGGTGTAAATGGTGTAATGTTTAGTTGTGTGCAATCAGTCTGGTCAATATTTACCAAAACCAGACTGATTTTTTTCTGACTTAGCTTTCTTCTGATTTAGCATCTGGAGCTTTCTCTTGTTAGCTGTGGCTTCTAGTGGCCCAGGAACAGCAGACCATACGCTGCTCAGTCCTGCACCGTCCTCAGTCTCTGCTGCATGAGCTGTATCAGTGAGGGTCCTCTTTGTACCTGGGCCTCGGGCATCATCACCTTCAGGGACTGACAGCCGGAGTTAGAGAAAGCCTCCCCATCCTCACACCGCCTCGAGGGCATTCTGAGCACTCTGTCCAGGACAGATCTGTATTCTGTCAGTCCAGAGGACATTCAGTATGCTTTATACTGAATTATGTCAGTCCAAGGCATCAATTCTTCTTTGGACTTAGTCATTACTCAGCTTTCCCATGTGTATGAGGCTATGGAAAATACCATAGATTGAGCAAAGGACACCTTAGTCCTCAGACTGACATCCTTGCTCTTCCACACTTTAAAGCGATCTTTTCCAGCACCTGTGCCCGTTGTAATTCGTCATTGGACTCCCTGACTGCTGCTTCCATGGAACTTCACTGTGGATCCAAGTGCCGTAATCCCTGATGACGCCAGCCTTTTCTGAGGCTCACGATGCTGCTTACTCGTCAGCTGTGAGGGTTTTACGTTGAGCTATAATCCCTACTGAAGGCTGCAGTCTTTGATCGTCTTCAGGACGTGCCTCACATCTTCACGTCCAGCGTCCCAGGTTGTCCGTGTCATCTGCAACATATTGCAGGCACTGCACTGTTTTCCCTGCAGTCCAGCTTGTTTGGGGCAGTGTTAACACAGCGAAGACACCCATCTTTCAGGTCTCCACACATGTACTTCCCTTTGCTCTGCTGAGTGACCCTATCCTGAGCCAGTGACCACCGTCACACCAGGTTCCACAGCAAGACTTGCTGACAGCTGAATGGCGGCCTTGAGCCTTCACTCACTGCTGTCCCTCCCTATCCCTGAATTCTCTCCACTCTGCTCCTGTGCACCCAGTCTCTGACAGCACGCCCAGTTCTTCTCTAGACCCTGGCAGGATGTTTCCACCCCAGAGGTTGCACACTCACTGGACCATCTCGACAGCTACCCATCTATTTGACCCTGCTGGGCTTTCACACAGCCACCAGTGACCACAAAGACCCCGCTGGCTGGGTGACTCCTTGGTACCCAGTCTTTGGTTGGCTCCCCTCCCCTTTAAGATCCACCCATTCTGTCCTCACCATCCTTAGAACGCCACCATTCCCAAGCCAGGCCTTCAACGCTTGGCATTTCTTGCTCCCAAAATGATTTCTTCTTCCCCAACGATAAATATTTTGGCTATCACTGTTCCTGACTGCCTGTGCACTGTTTGCACTGAACCTTCTCCTGATTCCACTGACTCCGGGACCAACCCGGGTGTTCCTCAGGCAGCGAGTGGATGTGTTTGTTTTGGTAACCCTACCAGTCACCAGCTGCATGGTGTACGGCATGTGATTGTTGCATTTTTAATAAAACGAGAGCCATACATTCTGTGGTGTATTTATTGATGCCCGACAACTGGCCTTAAATAAAAAGAACATGTCCTTTACCAGGCGGCATGAGAGCAGCACCATTCTTAAAACCTAAACGCTTTCAGATCAGTGACTGGCATTCACTGAAGGAGCCTGAGGGCAGCGTTGAAGGCAGCCAGGTTCTCACAGGACTTGAGCCACCTCTGCACGTTGGCGGGCACTGTCCCGCTGGCACTCCCTGTCTGCTGGAGCACAGACCACAGCACCACGTCTGCCACGGAGAGTTCGTGCCCCACGAGCCAGGGGCTCTTCCCGAGGGCGGAGTTCATGGCTCGGAGCACGGCGGCCTTTTCTTTACTGCTGCCCTCTCTGAGCTGAAAGATAGCTGTGTCGACCCAGCTGTCTATGAGGGTCAGACTGACGGCATCGTGCTTCTGGCCAAAGAGAGAGAACAGGAACCGCGCGATGTTTCCTTCTCCTTCGATGGGGCACATCGTCTGGACGCTGAACTTCATCTGAGTGTTGGGCACTGGAAGGAAAAAGACGTACCGTGGGATGCCAAGAAGAGGCACTCCCCAGCCTGGGAGAAGTCCTCGGCACCTGACAAATCTGCTCATCTGAGAACATGAACGCAAGGCTGTACGCAAAAGGAATGGACAGGGCCGGGCTGGTTTACGATGGCAGTGGCAGGGGGGCAACCTGGCACCATCTTCCCAACCTCACCTGCTCACCTGGTGCATCTCAGCCACATTTTGGTGCTTTTCACAGTATTTCAAACCTTTTCATATTACTCTTGTATAACTGGATTACAAATCTAGTACAAACCTAACTTCTGTGCACTGCAAAACCACAAACTCCACCTGACAGGCTTTACTGTCTGCAATTGAACCAGGGTTCCAAGTTATGCAGGCACTTGATTTTGACAATTTTTTCATTGCTGCAATCACGTCCAATTTGACTGGTCCTCGATTTGGAAGCCAGAAGTCCCACCACCAGGATGGAACCTTTGTGTGGTGGGGACACTTGGACTTTACTGAATGGAAGTCACTAACTTGCCCTCCCCCTCCCCTGCACAAAACTGACCACTGTGAAAACTGGCTAACACACATACTGTCTCCTGCCACCTCTGACAGTAAATGTTAAAAATCAAGTCACATCCCTGTAACTCAGTTTGGAAAGTCCTTGGGCCTCCTTTCCTGGAATACTCAGAACCGCCCTCCGCTGCTTCCCTCTCCCCGATTTTAAAGACTTCTGAGAGGTCAGAGGGAGTCTGTGGGTTAAGATTCATCTGGGTTCCTCCTCTAAAGGACCCTCACGCTTTGTTAGATAGCGTGACCCAGCTCCTCTTACTACATTCAGGGCGTGCGTGCCATCACCGTCGTGGCGTGGGGCCCGGTGTTCTCACCATTCTTCCAGATCAGAGTGAAGCCCAGCTGGTACTCGTGACGGGCCTGCTTCTCGGTCTGTGCTCCGAAGCAGGTGAGGAGGTTTTCCGGCACATTCCTGACCGAGGAGTGTGTGTGGACGGTGGACAGGACCCGGTAGCGGTCACAGAGCAGCCCGTGCAGCACCAGCAGAGAGAGGGGCGGCTGGGCTGGGTTGGCGTTGATGACGATGTCCTTCAGCGCCCCGTAGCCCTGGGGAGGAGAGCAGAGCAGACGGTCTCCACACACATCTGAGCACCGGGCAAGGAGCTCGACCTCAGATCAGCGCCGCTGCCATGGCCCTGGTTCTGATCTCAGCGGCCCCGCAGGACACAGGTGCCCAAGGCCCCGAGCTTTGTCAGTCTTGCTGCTCTCACTCGTGGATGGCTGGACAGTTCTGCTCACTGACCTTTAGTTAGCAGCAGTTACTTTAACCTGGTGCCACCGGAGCTCTTAAGATCTCCACTAGAGTAGTTTCACTGAATCCTCAACTCCCACGAAGAGGAACTATACACAGGCAAGTCCCGGAAAAGCAAGGAGGCTTGTCTGTGGTAAGACTCAGGAGGGCAGCCCCCGTACCCCCTTCAGCCCTAAAGTGCTGTTCCTTAAGGACCAGAAATGGACTTGATGAGCAGACTGGAAACTAAGTACCTCTGAGACAAAACACGTGCCAGCATTCCTTTTCCCAGATCTTTCTAACACTGGGTGACCTGGTAAAATAACTGTCTACACCAGCTTGTGTTCACTATGCCATGTGTCCATGGACAGCCCTTGAAAAGGGTCTGCCTGGAGACATGGGGGACTCAGTATTAACAAGTGTCAAGCTTCCTTTTTTAGGTATACATCTTATTGCTATACTTGCCGTCTTTCTAATAAATGGAACTGACAGAAGATAATCAAGGTCAAATTCCTTGGCTTTCTGCACCAAGCCAGCCTGGCCTCTCCTGACTGTCCTCCTCCCAGGCCATGCTGGCTGTTTATAGTTCCCTGAGCCTCACTTGACACCATGCCTTCTAAGTTCATCCTCAGCTCTGTGTGCCCTGGGAGCCATCCCATCTCCCAAAGGTCACCATCATGGTGGCGCTGACGCATCCTCTGGACTGGCTCCCAGGGGGAGGACACCTGCCAGAGCCCTCAGTGCACAGACATGACCGGGGAGGAGGAGGAGGGGACAGGAAGAAGCAAACGATGCAGAAGGAGGGTATGTAAGGAAGGCAGTGGGAAGGGGGGGGCATCATAAACAGCTCGGGGCTGACGCTGGGGCACTTTCAGGTCTGTAGGGACCTCGAGGATCACCAGTTTTCTGAGCAGAGCACAAAGGGGATTCTGAGATCTACGCCTTCAAACTTTGCAACAAGATGTTCTGTGCATATCAGATTGTCCCAAGTGAGCTGAAGCCAAACAAAGGTGGCTGATGCAAGTTAACTGTAATACAGCAAACGGATTCAAGCAAAATATGTTCGTGGTACAAGGCTGCTGACTTTTTACAGTTCCTCATAAAGGATTAGACAGATTCCTACGTGTGGGCAGCGATGGCTCTGGAAGCCGAGGCCCTCTCCAAGGAGTCCAGCTGACCACTGAGCCTTCCCCTCGAAAGGCTCTTCTGAGCACTGTGAAAGTCTGTTTCTGCAGGGCTGGGCAGCTCTGGGCATGGTGCCCAGACTGGCCCAGGCTACGCTCAGCCTTGAACAATGGGAAGACAGGACCCTGCACTCGTCTCTGCCTGTGGTGGCCCCATGCCTGCCTCCACTGAGGCTCAGGAAGCCAGGAGGTGCTGGAGCTCCTGTCTGGTCTCACTGTGCTAAGGCACAATCAGTGAGAAAGAGAAACTCAACAATCCATTCATTTCCCATAATGGAAAAAGCTCAAGGCTTCTCTCCCACCAGCACCATGTTCAGCTCCAGCCTCCAGCCTGTCACACTGACACCTGCCAGCTCTCTGGTTCAAGAACTCACCTTCCCGAGTAACGAATTCAAGTCCACTGCGCTGGTCATCAGAGTGGAGGGCTCGTCTGCCTGGAGGATGTTGGTCACGTCCACATCTGCATCCGGTGTCTGGATCATCTTGGAAAGGCCGTCCACGGCAGCTTTCAGTTCGTACAGGCATTTTAAAATCTCATCTTGACGGGACTCAAGAGCCTGAAGTGATGGGTCAGCCTCTCCCTAAACAAACCAGCAGCAAAGTGTTCGTTCACTTGCTCTCCTGTCCAGGCTGTCTGTAACAGACATGCCACTATGCACTGCACTGGCTCCCCAGGGGAGGGCGTCTCATGGAGCCTCAGTGAGTGCAAGCATGTCCCAGGAGGCGTAGACAGAAGGACAGTAGTAACGGGAGTGTCAGAACCAACTCAGGGCGAGGTGCTGTACCCGAAGATCATCAACCAACTAGCCAAAACACTGAGGCCGCTGACCTGCTTACCCTCCAGCTGTAGTCCTTACAGGAGATTGCCCGCCCTTCTCCTGTGTAGTGGCTGGTGGATCTGAGCCATGGAACTGACAGTTAATAACACCAACATCCTATCACCAGTTCCAGAGCAATGTCTGGAAGGATGTTGAGACCTGTACCCCCAAATGCACTGCAAGGTGTAAAATGAATGGCATTTCTTTGCACATGAGTGAAACTGGTTTCAGCTGACTGATAAGAGCTGGCAGGTGCATCTTGATACAACGAATGGATTTCAAAACATGCTTAAGATAGGAGATTCTGGTTGGCTTGTGGTAAGTGCTCACAGAGCACAGGATTAGTGGAATTTTCATGCCACCTTATCCTACACACAGCAAGCCTGCCACCTTGAACAGACACAACACTTTGTGTCCCCCACAGCCTAAAGGTCCTGTCCACTGAGCTGCAGTTTTTAAAAAAACTGGAAAGTGAAAGCCACTTCAAAATGAAATTTTGAAATTAAATGAGTCCCAGTTCAGGTATGTAGTCTGAAATGGAAGGATGGGGGAAATAAGCAGAGAATGTTGTTCTCAACAGCACACTGATTCAGTTTGCTTAAACTGTGACAGAGGAAAAAAACACACCCCTAAACCCAGGGGTTCGGGGTGGGGATCGGGGCATCTACCCCAGTGAAGGAAACAGGAACACATCAAGAAGTCTCCTCTGGCTTGGAATTAACATCCACAGATGACTAGCTGCTCATATCATGTTTGACACTTATCTAAGAATCATCGAGAAACTTTTCACTGCTGAAATGTGTAACTGCAGAACTAAGGAACACTCAGGTCCTTCCCCCTATGTGGCAGGTCTGCTCATAACGCTTGGGCACGGCTGCAGCCACTGCCAGTCCATCTCTGAGGCTAGCCTTCACCGGACTGCTCTAACAGATCCCTTGTTGGCTTGCGGGACTGAGCCAGCAGCAGTTCCATTGCAGGGTGTGTTCCCTAAGCCTGACGTACTCCCGCTTACACAGTAACGTATCCACTGCTGAATATTCTTAAGAGCAAAATATGACGAGCTCTGGTAGCCTAGTGGCAAGAAGCTGCACTGCAATCCAAGAGGTGCACGGTTCAAATCCACTAGATGCTCTGCTGGAGAAGGAGGAACAATCTCCTTCTGTACCAGTCAGATCTGATTACACCCACCCACACACACACACACACACATAAAATAAAATTTTTTAAAAAAGCAAAATATGTAGAACCACCAAGGGTACCACCAGAACCATTAGACACGAGCCCCGCAGCTGTCAGGTTGATTCTGAGCGCGGGATTCTCTAAGGGAGGAAATCTTTACAGAAGATAACTTTCTCACAAGGCGGCTGGTGGGGTCCACCCGCCACTCTTCTGTTAGCAGCCCAATGCAAAGGAAATCGATTCATAGCACGTAGGAAAAAGTCCCAAACATGCTGGATGATCCCACTATCAAGGAACGAGCAAACTGATGTTCAGTGACGCAAACCTAGGCTGCAAAAATACCAGCGAGAATCATGGACCAAATCGCTATGGACGTCAGCGCTGTGATAACCCTTGGGGAAGCCGGGGAGGTAGGAGGTGTGGAGGGTGGGGCCCCTCCAAGGTGCTGACAGCGTTGTCTGGATCTGGGTGGTGGCTGAACTTGAGTGCACTTTATAATTTACCCTCAGAGTGCGCGATCGTGTTTCTAGGCGTGACGTTTCGTAGAAGAGTTTGATAGGGGTGATCAGGGGGGAAATAAGCCGCGGACCCGGGGCTCGGGAGGCTGGCGGCCGCGGCCTCCCGAGCCCGCGGGGACTGGAGTACAGGGATCGCGTGGCCGCGATCGGATCGCGGGGATCCCAGGGTGGAGATCGGGGGTGGGGTGGGGTGTTCCGGGTCGCGGCGCCTGCGCACTGGCTGGGGGGGAGTGCAGGGTGGAGGCCGCGCGGCGCGCTCTTACCTGCACGTGGCCCACGTCGGGCGCCGAGCCGCTGCTCCGGGCATGTACGTTAGGGAGCCGGTACATGCAGGTCGGAAGCTCTACATGGAGAGGTGCGCCGCCCCCGTGATAGGGCTTTACCTGGTACATCGGCATCACGGCTACCCAAAGGAAGAAGGTGGAGGGCGAGGGACACGAACGCACAGAAACCGTCAAAGGCCACGAAGGACCGGGGGCGCTCGGGAAAGCATCGTTCGCGAGCCTTCATTGGTTGGGATCCTTTTGATGTCATAGACACAACCAATCGGCGAAATGGGTGTGCGGGGAAGTGTGGCCGGCTCGCCCGGAAGGGGCGGGGCACGGCAGCTGAGACATCCAATGGGAGGACGGGGGCCGGGGCCGGGAGGCAGGGCTCCTGGGAGCGGCGGCGGCGGGAACTCCGAGGCTGTCCTGGGGGCTTGTCTGGGTCTGGATCCATGGAGCGGGCTGAGGGCTGCAGGTGAGCCGGGCTGTCATCTCCTTCCCGTTGCTTTGCTAAGGGACTTGCGCGTTCTGGCCGAGGCGCGGGGCCAGCTCGTGGCTCAGAGGCCCCGTTTGACACCTGCGGGAGGCGGAACTGCCCGAGATGCTTGATCGGCAACCCACCCGGCAGAACCGGACTGCGGAGCGCGCAGCCCGAGCGCGGGGTGAATGTCCTTACGTGCTGTCAAGTCGGAACCAGCTCACTGCGGACCCTCCAGCGGCTTTTCAGAGGCTGGAAATCACGAGGTCACGGGAGCTCCTTGACTTCTTTTTTAACGCTTACATAATTTCGAAAAATCTTTTTTGTTATATTCTGAGTGGAAATTAAAAAAGAGACAATAGATTTTCCACTGAACGACTCACTCACTGTTTTGTGACGTTGATTGCAGGCCTCACAGTGTAGTAGCACTCTTCCCGATCCCTCCCTGTGTTTCGCCTTTTCACTCCTCCTTTCCTACCCGTTCCTGCCTTCTGAGCTTTCTCCCTGGATAAATGCTGCCCCATTGACCTCTTATAGTTAATTACAGTATAGCCCACTCTCAGGAATAACTATGGGGTTACTGTTCGCCTAATAGGCTGGTCTGTCGTTTTGCCGAAAGTTGATTCAAGGATGAAGGATGATTCAATTCCAGGTTTTATCTATTTAGCTTTTAAAGTAATATTTTATTGTGAAGACTGGCACAGCAGTTGAGGTCACCACTGCACAGCCTCTACACTAGTTGTTCACTCTTCATTCTCGTTGTTTCCATTCCAGTGGTTTTGTTTCCGTTCATCCTTTCCCTGACCTCTTCTTGTATGTCTTTAATTGGAAGTAATTGTCGACCATTTGGTCTTATATAAATGTACTTACCTGTGATAGTAATTTTTGAGCCAATCTGTTATATTTAATTGTATGAATGGATTTCTTTTTAAGCCTGATACGTTTAAAAGCTACCATCACCTTTCTCCTCTTCCTTCCTCTTTTTCTGAGGTTTTTCCTTTGCTTCAAGGTACTTGTGAATTTGCATCGTTGCACCTTTTTAAAGAAATCCTGTGCTGCTGTATTTCTTTGAATAGATGGTGTTTTTCTGCCTAGTTGTTGGTTGCAATCAAGTCAGCTCAGATTCACAGTGATAATGCGAAACTCTGCCAGACCTGCAGCGTGCTCAGTCTCCGCTGTTCTTAAGCCCACCTTTGTCGCTGTTGCTTTCCCTGACCCTCTGCTTTTCCAAGCATGCTGCCCTTGTCCAGGGACTAGCCCTTCCTGATAATTTGTCTAGGGATGAGACCAAATCTCACCATCCTTGATTCTAAGGAGCACTCTGTAGTGCTCCCTAAACAGATTTGTTCACTCTTTGGCAGTCAGTGGTAGTACTCAATATTCTGAACCGACACCACGGTTCAAAAACATCAGTTCTTCATCTTCTTGGTAGCTAAACCCAAGCAACCCAGGGCACCAAGTCGAGTCCCAGTCGTAGCAGTCCTCTGTTGACTTTCTGAGGCTAACATCGTTGCAGGTAGAGAGCGCTCACCTTTCTTCCAAGGAGCAGCTAGCTAGTAGGTTTGAAGTGACTTCACATTTAATGGTAGCCCGCCTTCTATCAAAGGGTAGTGTAGTCTGTAGTGAGTCAAACAGCTAACCCAAAGCCTCTCCAGCAGTTTGAAGGAGGAGGATCTACAGTCTCCTTTCATAAAGATTTACAGTCTCAGAAACCTGTGGAGGGTTGAGATGAGTTGGAATCGACTTGCTGGCAGTAAGGAGCTGCTGGCAGTAAGGAGCCCTAGGGAACTCTGATGGTTTAGAGGTAAGCAATTGCTCTTTCAAACCAAAGGTATGTGGTTCAAATCCACCAGCTGCTCTGCGGGAGAAAGGTGGACAGTCTCCTCTTGTGTGATTAACAGCCTCTGAAAACCTGCTGAAGGGTCAGCTCTGAGTCAGTTCTGACTCAAGGGCACACAACAACCACACGGGCACAGTGTCAGCAGGACTCTTTAGTTTGAAGACTAACCCCAAACCAAACCTACTGTTGTCGAGTTGATTCCAACTTACTGCAACCCACAGTTCTACTCTGACTGGGACTGCCCCGGGGCATTTCCCAGACCATCTTTACGGACCTTGACTGCGACCTCTCTGTCCTTAAAGTGACTGGGAGGGTTGAACCTTTAGGTTAATAGCTGATTGCTTTAATTACTGTGCCACCATGGTTCCTTAGTTTGGCGGATATGCATTATAATTCTATGTTAAATGTCTGTTACTATATATTTGATGAAGCATTTCTTGACAGATGTTTGAGGATTGTGGAACATATATGTGCAGGTATCTGGGAAATGTATGTCAGTATAACAGATGAATAGATCTGCTGTCATGACCAAGGAGTCTTTTGCTTATTGTATAATGGGTTAGCCTGCCGACTCAAGGATTGGTGGTTTGAATGCAGCAGCTGCTGCTCTGTGGGAGAAAGATGAGCAGTCTCTGCCTGTAAAAATTCCCAGCCTTAGGGGAGCTCTGGTGGCCTAGTGGTAAGGAGCTGCAACTACAATCCCAGAGGCGCGAGGTTCAAATCCACCAGATGCTCTGCCGGGGAAGGAGGGACAATCTCCTCCTGTACCAGTCAGATCTGATTTGATGGTACGCTCACACAAAAATAATAAAATAAAAATGGAAAAAAAAATTAATATAAAAAAATTCCCAGCCTTGGGAACTCTGTCGATTGCTGTGAGTCAGAATTCACTTACTAACAACGGGTTTGGCTTGTTATGTTACCATTTGTTTCTTGTAACTGATTCTTTTAGCTCGGAGCTCGCCAAGGCCATCAAACCTATCGACCGGAAGTCAGTCCATCAGATCTGTTCTGGGCAGGTGGTCCTGAGTCTCAGCACAGCTGTGAAGGAGCTGGTGGAGAACAGTGTGGATGCTGGTGCCAGCAGCATTGGTAAGCCTTCCAGACACCAGAAGGACCGGCTAATGCCATCCCACCCAGGAAACATCTGTTAGTGTGTAAGACGGTCAAATGTTGAACCAACAAGTGATTGTTATTTTGACTTAAATTTAGTGTATATTATGTGTTTGCAAGGTCTCTGGGTGACACAGCTAGTGCTTGGCTACTAACCTAGAGGTTGACAGTTCAAACCTATCCAGCAGTCCCCAGGAAGAAAGAGCTGGCAGTCTGTTTCCATAAAGATTAAGCCAAACCCACTGCCCTCAACTTCTGACCCGTGGTGACTCCATTGGGTGACTGCTGCATAAGCCGTTATGGGAGGAGATTAACATCTTTCTCTTGTGGAATGGCTGGTAGGTTTCAACTGGCGACCCTCTCTTAGCAACTTGACGCACAATGCCCTTCACTACAGCTAGGAAACCCTAGGGGGTGCTTCTGCCCTGGCACACACGGCTTCCTGTGAGCTGGAGTTGACTTAATTATAGCAGCTTTGGTTTTGGTTTTTACATTACTATCTAACTAAGACGCTCTAGTGATCTAGTGGTAAGGAACTGTGCTGACAATCAAAAGGCATGTGGTTCGACTCTACCTACTGCTCTTTGAGATAAAGGTGGACTGGTGGATGGTCTCCTCCTCTCATGTAATTTGCTGCCTCTTAAAACTCACTGGAATGCCATCCATGGGTTGGTTCTGACTTGATGTCCATAACAACATAAGGATCTAACTGCTGCTGTTGTTGGTCCTCAAGTCAGGTCCAAATCAGATCAACCCCAGCAAACACTGTAAAACTGCCCCAAAGGATGTCCTCCCCTGAACGCTTTGCTGGAGCGGGTGCCACGCCTTTTCTCTTGAAGAGTGGCAGGTGGATTAGAACCTCTGACTTGTCTGTCAATCTTTTAGTCAGTTCATTATCAGAGCTCATTAGTATTTATCACAATAGCAGTTAACTTTTATCTTGCTATTACTGCTTTGTACCAGGCAGACACTGTGCCAAGAACCATGTATGGAATTTTATTGTTGTGTACCTTAGAGTTGGAAGTGACCCATAGCTGACCCTTCGGCAGGTTTTTGGAGGCAGTTAATCACATGGGAAGAGACTGCCCGTCCTTTTCTTGCAGAGAAGCTGGTGGCCTCAAACCACCTGCCTTTGGGATTGCAGCACAGCTTCTTGCCAGTAGGCCACCAGAGCTCCCTCTGGTATACAGAATAGCTCATTTAATCTACAAAATAACCTTATGAAATAGGAATAATAACAGTCTTTTTCTGGGGAGCTCTGGTGGCCTAGTGGCAAGGAACTGCAACTACAATCCCAGAGGCGCACAGTTCAAATCCACCAGATGCTCTGCTGGGGAAGGAGGGACAATCTCCTCCTGTACCAGTCAGATCTGATTTGACAATACACGCACACAAAAATAAAATAAAAAAAATTGAAAAAAAAACCAAAACAAAACAGTCTTTTTCTGCATATTATAGATGAAGAAATCAAGGCATAATAAATTTACTTTTTTCCCATTTTAACGTTATGTCATTTACAGATAAAAGATTTGAACAATAATAATCTCTATTAGGAATTTCAGGAGCTCCAGTAGCCTAGTGGGGAAAGAGTTGCACTGCTGACCCAAAAACATCACCTCTCTGATGGTTTGAATCCACCAGCTGCTCCTCAGGAGAAAGATGGGCAGTTTCCTCCTGTGTGATTCACGGCCTCTGAAAACCTGTGTGGAGGTCAGCTATGAGTTGGTTCTGACCCAGTGACATGCAGTATTAGTGACGTTAGGAGTTTCTCAAGAACCTTGATTGAAGAGACTAGCTTCTTTGATATCAGACTGTGTTCGATGTCTTCCATTCAACAAAAATAAAAATAAAATTGTCTTTTTCTGGGTTCTAGTTAATAGGAATTTTAAAAAGAAAATCTTGTATCAAATGATAATAATACATATAAATAAACATAGTTATGGCTTATATTTACCCTGAATTACTTATACAGATATCACTGTAAAGTTTGTGAGTAGTTGTGGATCATTTCTTTCAGAAATAGTATTTCCCCCTTTTTTAGATCTAAGGCTTAAAGACTATGGTGTGGATCTCATTGAAGTTTCAGACAATGGATGTGGGGTAGAGGAAGAAAACTTTGAAGGCTTAAGTAAGTTGGGTTTCTAAATCGTGTTTAAAATATTTTAGCAGAATGTCTCAATTATGTTTTTTTAAATTTTGTTTCATTGAAAATATCCACAGCAATTCAATAGTTATGCATATTCCATTTATTGATGTTGAGCCATTTGTTGCTGTTACATGCTGTCGAGTCAGAACTGACTCATAGCTGAGCCTCCAGGGGCTTTTTTTTTTTTAATTATATTTTATTAATTTTCATAAACATTTACAGAGATTTTGGGCTTCCACTCATTCATTGTTACACTATTCTCTCTACCCTCCTCCCAGTTTGTTCTTGTCCAAATGCCACAGTGCTTGTCAAAGCCAGTTCTGATTAATCTTCTTTGTCAGTGTGTCCTTTGCCATTCCCTATCACTCCTCCCTGAGAGAGACTTCACCCTGAGTCATAAGGAAAAGGGGACGGCAAATTCTCTTAGCTACTTCCTGCTGAAAAGGGACGCTGTGGGTTTCAGGGTGAAGATCTTCTCTCACTACTCTAAAGGGCCCCTTTGGCAGTAGGAAACACATAGACTATTACTCCAGGGGCTTTTGAGAGGCAGTAAATTGGATGGCAGGAGATTGCCCATCCTTCTTCCTCAGAGGAAATAGCTGAATTTGAACCAGGTACTTTGAATCAAGGGCTGGCAGTGCAGCTCCAAACCCATTAAGCCACCAGAACTCTACTGACTGGTTTCTTCCTCAGTAACAAAAACGTATTGCCATCTGAGGATGCTGTCTGATCTTTTGAGTTGCCATCATCAATTTGATGCCGTATAAATCTTAAAAGAGCATGGTGCTCAAAGCAGACCTTTTTTAGCCAGTTAAACAAAACCTTTGCTCAGTTTTAAGGTAAGGGATATTTTTGGTTTAAGATATAAAGATTATTTTTTAGAGCCATAGTTTAAATAGCCTCCTTGGCTCCAGAAAATCTGGATTCTATGAGAATTTTAAATTCTGTTCTATAGTTTTACCCTTTTGATCAGTGTTCTTCTATAGGTGCTTTGGTAAAATGTTTTAGTAGTAGTTTCTGAGTATCATCCACCTCTCATCTCATGGCGAAGGAGGCAGTTGTTGTTGGGAGCAATTAGCCATGTATTGCATATCCTCCTAGTCCGGATTCTCGTTCGTCCATTGTTTCAGGGGAAAAGAAACCATTATCCGTGCCTTAGCTCACTGCTTACAGACTTTTAATACTCCAAGCACTTTTCAAAAACCTAGAAGGTAAACATACTATTAGAGCAGTGAGCAGATGTCTCATAAAACATGACCATAAACCTCTGAACCACGCAGTCAAGTCTCCGTGATGACCTTTGGCCGTGCGTAAGCAGCCTCGGCAGCTACCCTTTTAAAACATCTTTGTTGTAAATTTATTTACTGCACAGCTTTGCCAGTTCATTTTTTTACAAGCGTACAGTTTATTGACGGCATTATCCTAAGTGATCGTGCGGCCTTCCCCTTTTCCGCTGTCATTTTCCCAGTCCGTTCCTCCCATTCCCATCTCCCTCCAGCCCCCAGTAACCACTAGTACACTGTGTTCTCTGCACGGTTGTTTTTCCTTGGCTGTTTTGTACAAATGAGGTCATACACCATTTGTCCTTGTGTGATTGACTTGTTTCGCTCAGCGTACTGTCTTTAGGCTCCAGCATACCGTGGCGTTTATCTGGACTTCATTTCCCCTCTTGGCAGAGCCTGTGTATGCGCCCCACCTTTCCGTGTGTGTAGGGACCGTCATTTGTTTAGCCAGCATCTGTTGGCCAGCCTTGAGTTTGCTTCCACCTTTTGGCTATTGGATACACATCCCTTTTTAAGTCTCTGTAATTCTTTTGGATCATACATAGTCTGTTTTTAGTATTTGAGGAACCACCTCACTTTTCCCTAATATCTGTACCATTTTGCATTCCTACCAGCCATGGATGAGTTTCGATTTCTCCATACCCTTCCTAACATCAGTTATTTTTCAGATTTTTTTTGCTTTTCAAATACTAGCCATCCTGGTGGGAGTAAACTGTATGTCATTGTGGTTTGGTTTGGTTTGTCGCTCTGACGGCTGACGATACTGAGTGTCCTCCTGTGATTGGTGGCTGTTTGACTGTCCTGTTCAGTGAAATATCTGTTCAAATCCTTTGCCGGTTTAATGATTTCATTTCTTGTCTTTTTGTTGTAATGTTGTCAAAGTTTTCATTCTTTTTCAGTTAATGTCTTTATTGTGGGGTATCTCAACGATTAAAACTTGTCATAGAATATAAAAGGAGTCCCGATGTTGCAGTGGTGAAGGAGTTCTAAACTACAGGTCAGCAGTTCGATCCCACGAGTCTTTCCCTGGGAGAAGGCTGAGGCAGTCTGGTGCTGCAGAAATTCACAGCTGGAAACCCTGTGAGGCAGTTCGACTCTGCCCCACTGCTCTGACGTAATCTACTTGGAGGCAGTAGTCTTGGTCTTTGTGGCAAACACAGCATTTTAAATAAGTTACTTTGAGTGGTAGTCGAATGTGTCTGTCTGTTGCTGGATGATTCCGTGGCCTTGTTTTCCTCTCTCTTTCAGCTTTGAAGCATCATACTTCTAAGATCCAAGAGTTTACTGATCTGACTCACGTGGAAACGTTTGGCTTCCGGGGGGAAGCGCTTAGCTCACTTTGTGCACTCAGGTGACGAATGTTCGACCCACTGACTTGATCCTCCCCAAAGCCCCTCTGAAAATGGGGAAGTGTGGCTGGCGTCACCAATGTCACAAGTTTCCATCTGAATTGTCTAAACTTGTGAATTTGGTTTCACCTTTCTTCTGAGCTCTATGCATATAGCAGTGTGTGGTGGGGGGTAGGGTGGATGGGTGTGTGTATGAAAAAAAGAAATAGAAATGTTAGCCTTATTTTGAAATGGCCATTTTTTCAGTTTTGAAATAAGTTATACTAGGACCCACCCCGCTGAGTTGGTGACCTTCCATTGGGTTTTGAGGCTGTAAATCTTAAAGAAGCTACAGCCCCCTCTCCCGTCCACAGAGTGGCTGGCGGGTGCGACCTTTAGCAGCCCACCGTGGAACGTGCTAGGCCACGTTGTTGTTCTTATAAACCAGCTAGTCCACCAGGACTCATAGCCACAGTGGACAACCCTGACCTTGACCTGCCCGAGGGTGGTGTGCTCCACCACTAACCAGAATCCGTCCAAGAGATGCCTTCAAAGAGAGGCCTGGTGATACATTTGTGAAAAATCAGGCATGGGGAGCCCTGCTGAGCCCAGTTCTGCCCCGACTCACGGGGCTGCCGGGAGTCACAGTCAACACGGTGATGGCTGGCTTTTGTACCATTGGTTTTAGTTTCCATTTTCAGAAAAAAAATTAATTCTTTTCATTTATAGGACAGGTTCTAAATTTTTTATGACTCTTACTTTACACACATAACTAAAAAAATCTTTGAATCCTTTCTAAAATTTTTGTTAGAATAATAATAATGAAACTGGGAAATCCTTGTGAATTTATACATTTTGAGAACCTTTATTGTTTTGCTATTGAATCAGGGAAAAAAATTTTTCCCAGTCAAAACAAAGCGTTTCCAGAATGTTCTGTTTCTAGTCAGTCAGTGCTAGTCTCTAGGTTTTATGATGGCTTTTTGCACATTTAGATCCCGTCAGTCATTTCAGAAGGATCATCTTTTTTTTTCTTGGCGAGTTTGGAGGGAAAGGGAAGGGGAGGCTGTGAGGCTGGGGAGGTGGCCGCCTGTTAGCTTCTAATGGAATGTCCCCCACCTGCACTTTTCTTCCAGTGACGTGTCCATTTCTACCTGCCATACATCGGCCAAAGTTGGAACTCGCCTGGTATTTGATCACAGCGGGAAAATTGTTCAAAAAACCCCTTACCCACGGCCCAAGGGGACCACAGTGAGCGTGCAGCAGCTGTTTTACACACTACCTGTGCGCCATAAGGAATTTCAGAAGAACATTAAAAAGGTACAGTTAATCCTGAACTCCAGCTGACAGGATGGACACACACAGTGATGGCGCCACAAAAGCCAATTGCCCGAGAGCCTCTTCTGTGGGTTTTTGAGAAGTGTTCCTTCCCATCAGAGCCTTAACTTTAGGGTGATTGGGCCTTTTCTTTTTTTAAAGAATCATCAGCTTGTATTATTGAAGAGGCCCTGGGCAGCTCACTTGCTCCATGCAGTGCATTTCTTGACTGCTGCTCCCATAGGAACTGATTGTGACTCAACATAAAAAGAAATCCTTAGCAACCTCAGTCTTTTCTCCACTTACCAACATATTATGTGTTGGTCCATGTGTGAAGATTTTGTTTTCTTAATGTTGGCGTTGAATCCAGACTGAAGACTGTCTTTGACCTTCTTCACAGAAGTTGGCTGTGTTTTTTTTAAAAGGGAAGTTTTCTAAGTGTTTTCAGTCCTCTTTACTTTCTGAAAGCAAGTGTGTCATTTGCATATCACAGGTTGCTAATGAACTGAATGTTATACGTTTAACCATGTTATTCTTGTAAGATTTGAAGTACAGTTGAGTAGTCTTATATTTGTGTCTTTTCAACAGGAGTATGCCAAAATGGTCCAGGTCTTGCAGGCTTACTGTATCATCTCAACAGGCATTCGTTTAAATTGCACCAACCAGATGGGCCAGGGCAAGCGGCAGCCTGTGGTTTGCACCAGCGGAAACGCCAGCATGAAAGAGAACATTGGCTCTGTGTTTGGGCAGAAGCAGGTACCAGTGGGCAGTTATGGAAAAGCCGCTCGCTTTGGTGGCTGTCGCGAGTTTTTCTTTCCTGTCCTTTCCAAGCAGTGATACTTGGAGGATAAAACCCAAGACTTGATTTCTGTAATGTACTCATAACAAAAGTTACTTAGCTTTTCAAAGCTGACCGTTTTCAGTCTTAGTCTTCCAGAAACAAAATAGCCTCCTTTCACTTTTGATCTATTTAAAAAAAAATCCTCCTTTTTACTTTTGATCCGAAAAACCATAACGTATTTTTTGCCAAGTAGTGATGATAACTAAATAGAAACCCAAATGTTTCATGTTTTTAATTTTTGAAAATTACTGTCATTTAAAATGATTAAGGCAGTTCTCAAGATTGTTTTGAGTTTCTTTGTTTTCTTGTGTGTATCACATCTCTAAGAGAGAAAGTACAGAGTCCCCCTCGTCCTTCCTGAAGTTGGACCCTCTCCGTCTTTGCCAGGAGATAACAGTGCATCTTGGTGTCTTTCAGCTGCAGAGCCTCCTTCCTTTTGTCCAGCTGCCCCCGAGTGAATCTGTCTGTGAAGAGTACGGACTGCGCCACCCTGAAGCATTGCCAAATCTGTTCTGGTAAGCGGCTTACTGCCAAGAAACTTCTAGTCTAGCATTTTTATCTCAAAATAGTGATTTTAAAGTTTACTGTTTCTTTCTCCCATTATAGAACTATTACTGTGGAGAAGGAGGGTTTGTGGAATGTTGTCAGTTACATCACTTTGTTCATAGACACTCTGGGTAGTTGGTACATTTCTGGGGTGGCATATCTGGAAGGGAGCCCTGGTAGCAGAGTGGTTAAAGCACTTGATTTGACCTTCCTAGCCCCTCCAAGAGAGAATGAGGCAGTCTGCTTCCTCTCTCTTTACAGCCTGGGCTTCTCGGCCTTTTGGCTAAGATCAAGTGTAGTATCTATTTACAGCCTGGGAAGCTGCATAGGGTTGCTGTGAGTCTGAGTTAACTTGAAGGCAGTGGGTTTGGTTTTGGGGTTTTACCCCAGATTTAATCTTTAGTAAATGTTGTGTTTAGTGAACATCTCGAGCATCTTTTAAATTCTTTTTCAAACATTGTAATGTTTTGTTTTATTGGGGTCTGGCAGAAGTCAATAGAAAATGTGTTTCTTTTTGTTGGTACTTCACCAAAGACCAGGCAAGTGTTAGTACTTTTAATGTGAGGAAAACTGAAGTGTCCTGTGAGCAGACGTGGCCCTGACACTGTCCCTGTTCTTACCCTCCTTGTGTTAATTGGAGGGTTTGTTCATTAGGAGATGGGCACGCCTGGTGTGTATTTTATGTGGAATAAGCACTTTCCCAGCGCTTGGAAGGAGCCCTGCTGACTCTGTTGTGAAGAGCTTGGCTGCGAACCATAACTTTGGCAGTTTGGACTCACAGCCTCTGTACAGGAGAAAGACCCCCTGTGGTCTGCTCCCATAAGGGCATTATAGCCAGAAAAAAAATCTCACGGGCAATTCCATTCTGTCTCGACATCTCTGTGATCAAAACTCGACCGAGTGGCACCCAGCAACCACAAGCAGCATGTTGGTGGATGGAAGTCTAACTGAGCATCCTTGGAAAGAGCGGGCCGAGCAGGCAGCAATCCCCAGGGCAGCCTGGGCTCCCTGGACAGCGGTGGGCAGCAGGAAGCTTCTGAGGGCATGAGCTGGGCTGAGACGGAGGACTGAGCGGCCAGTGACAGGAGAGCTGGAGCAACGCAGTTCTGAGCCCTCTGCACTGTCAGGAGGGCAACTGCTGACTGAGAAGTGTAGAACATTCTAGAAGGAAACGCTAGGGATTTGGTGGCTACGGGCTTGGCTGTGGTTTGAATCCATCGTGTGCTATGAGGAAGGAAAAGAAAGATGATAGCTCTGGTCATCTTTATGGACAATTGCCATTCATAGATGGCTTAGAGAATTCTGGAGAGGTTGGGTTCTTTTTATGGTTCTTCAGAATGGACCACAGATGCAGATGATAAAAATCTTAGAACCAGGGCAGCTCTGGTGGCCTAGTGGTAAGGAGCTGAAACTACAATCCTAGAGGCGCATGGTTCGAATCCACCAGATGCTCTGCTGGGGAATGAGGGACATTCTCCTCCTGTACCAGTCAGATCTGATTTGACAGTACACGCACACAAAAATAATAAAATAAAAATTTAAAAAAATTATTTAATTAAAAAAAAATCTTAGAACAGTTAGTTTCCAAATGGGGTCTAGTAAGTTCATTTTGATATAAGCTGAATCCTTCCCCATGTTTTTTCTGTTTTATTATTGTTACTTTCTGTTATGAGTATTTTTATGATTTGTAACATTGAGCATGAGTGAGTGAATATCTGAGAATGGCAGCATCAGGAAATTATGCATTGCAACTTTGTACGTACTATGTATTACCAACAACAAGATGTATCAGTAAGAAAAAGGTGGATCTAAGAGTCATTTGAGTACCTCCTGGTAGGTTAGGGATGACATGTAAATGTTAGCTAAACGTTAGATAAGTAGGTGTTTCATTCAGCTTTTTATTCTACTTAATTCAGAGAGTGCCATGTGTGTTTCTACTCCTACCCTTATCATATTAACATTGAATAGTATTTCAGGTTTCATTTCAAACTGTACTCATGGTGTCGGAAGGAGTTCAACTGAGAGACAGTTTTTCTTTATCAACCGGAGACCCTGTGACCCAGCAAAGGTACCTAAAAAAATTTGAGTGTTGTAATAGGTTTTGTTTTGGTTTTTTATGCCTTAAACTTTTTATTTCTCTTAACATGTTACTGTGCTTTAGGTGAAAGTTAGTTATATATGTTAGAAACATAGCAGATTAGTTTTCCACTCAGTAATTCCTACACAGATTGATGTAAAGTCTCATGCAGGCACTCCCCCCTCTTCCTCCCGGGGTTCCGTTTGTCCAGCCCACTTTTCCCTTCCTGCCGCTTTTCATCTTTAGGTTCTACACCAGCATTACTCTTTCACTCTCATATAATTGATTGTCCTACAGAGCACATTGCCCCTGGGTATTACTGTTTATTTTATAGACTTGTCTGTTGACGGGCTGAAAGTTGGCCTCGAGGACCGTCTTCAGTCTCAGTTTAGAATGTTGTCTTAGGGTAATTATCTCAGCTGTCTTGTGCTGCTGTACACAGATACACAGGTGGGTGGCTCTAATAAACAGACACTGTGCCCTTGTAGTTCAGAAGGTTTAAGTGTCAATTCAGAATGCTGACTGTAGGGGATAGTTTCTCACCCTGTTGGCTCTAGGGGGAGCTTTGTCTCCTTTCAGCATCTATAGACTCGGTGTCCCTGGAGATCTTATGTTTTACCTTTAGGCTGCCCCTGAGTCTAGAAGATTCTCAGCATAGGGATCCCAGGTCCAAAGGATGTGCTCTGTTTCCAGCACTTCTTTCTTGTTAGTACCGCATTCCCCTTGATCTCTGCTTGTTTAATCTCTTTTCTGTCTCAGAAGAGATTGACTCAGGACATAATATAACCCTGTAGAGTGTATCCCTCCTCTCTAACAAGACTGTCTCGAATCCCAAGACATTACCATCCTACCCAAACCAACACTGTGGAGTTGATTCCAGCTCCCACTTCCAAAGCTCTAAATCTTGATGGAAGGGCATCACCTCATCTTCCTCCTGGAGAACTGCTGGTGGCTTCAAACAGTGGACCCTTTGATTAGCAGCCCAGCATGTAACTAACTGTGCCTCCAGGCCTCCTCAGTGACATCGTGCTGTTGTCAGGTGCTGCTGATTTAGCTTCAACTCAGCAACCCTTGGCACAGCCGAGCACAGCCCTGCCGATTACCGTCCTCACAGTCTCTGCCGTGCCCAAGCCCGTGGTTGGGGTCACGGTTTCAGTCAGCCTCCTTGAAGCTGACCCTCTGCTTTTCTAAGCTTGGTGTCCTTCCCCAGGACTGGCTCTTCTGGATAACATGCCCAAAGCATGTGAGATGAAGTTTCACCGTCCTTGCCTCCAAGGAAACCCTGGTGGAGCTTCCTTCCAGACAGACTTCTTTGTTGTTTTGGCAGTACGGAGGATATTCAGTATTTTTCTCCAACTCTGCAATTAAAAGACAGCAATTTTTTGGTCAAACTTTCAGATGCATAAGAAGCAAGTGAAAATACCTTGATGTGGATCAGGTGCACTTTAGCCTTTAAAGTGATCTTGTTGCTCTTGAGCACTTTGGGGAGGACCTTGACGCAGATTTTCCCAGTACAACGTGTCTTTTGATTGCTTTTACCATGAGTGTTGACTGAGGTCCAGGTAAAATGAAACGAGACCTTCAGTCTTTTCTTCATCTCATGAGGTTGCGGTTATTAACTCTCAGCTGCTAACTGAAAGGTTGACAGTTTGAACTTGCTAGCTGCCCTGCAGGATAAAAGACCAGATGATCAACTCCAATAAAGAGGACAGCCTAGAAAGGCCTGTGGGGTAGTTCTGCCCTGTCAGGTGGACTTCTGTGAACCAGAATCAACTTGATGGCCTTGGGGTTTAAGACTCTTTAAAAATGTTTCTCTTTGGTGTTTCTTAAAATACCATGTTGTTACAGCTTTGGGGAAAATGTGCATTTCCTCTTTTCCACTCTTTGTTTTTTGCATAGGTTTCCAGACTTGTGAATGAGGTCTATCACATGTATAATCGACACCAGTATCCGTTTGTTGTTCTTAACGTTGCTGTTGATTCAGGTGAGTCCCACTGAGCTTGTAGTAAAAGTGGTGATTTACTTCTCAAGTGCTGTGACTGGAGAGACTTGTGTAACCATTTCTAGGGGACCAATTTTACTGTTGATATGAACTTTTCTGCTTCGTATTATTGGAAAGAGTGCTAGCTTTATTACTAGGTACTAGGAAAATATAAGTGTCTTTTTAGTTGACTGATTGATTTTTTTCATATAAATCAGAAGAGAGAGGAGAAAGATGCCATGAGAGTGTGTGAGCCTAGAATTTCCTCTCTGATTTTGAAATGAAGTTATTTTCATAGAGCCATTTCTCCTCTGATTATAAGATTACGATTGTTCATTAGCTGTAAATATCAGAATTCTGGTCTCTCGACACCTAGGGTTTGGTCGACGCATAGCTGTCCCTTGTCAATGTTGCACTTTGATGGTACCTCACAAGGACTGCGTTTTTCTCAGGTTCAAGGTGTATGACAGTCCTGCGTCCAGCAGGTCTCTCTGTGCCATTTTTCCAGCAGCCCATGCTTGCTTTGGGTCTCTGTGCCACATTTTGGGAATTCTCACATTTGCGGCTTTTTCCTAAGCTGTTGTATGTGGACTGTTTACAGTACAGTATAAATAAAATTTTATGTGCAGTGGGAAACCAAAAAAATCTCTGTGATTTTCTGTATTGAGATTTTCCCTTTGAAGTGGTCTGAACTTGAGCCTGCAGTGTCTCTGATGTCTGCCATAGGTTTAAGTACGTACGTGCACACCTTAAATAAACACACGCATCCCCATGTGCTTTGAAGTGAGAAAATAATTTTGAGCTATTTTTTTAAATCAAGTTCTTTACCTTAAACATGAGCATTCTCTTTTTACTCTGTTATTAAAAATGAGTCAGAAACATTTTGATAGCTGCACTGTATTTGAGTATGCAATATTAACAGGTTGATTTTTATAATTCATTGATTTTTAGATATATACATTTTTAGTTGATTGTGTTCTTCTTGTAATTAAATCAATGTATCTGGTTATCTCCTTAAGGTAAGTTCCTGGTTGAATTATTGGATCATCAATATGATAATTTTCCAGACTTCTGTATTACATTCAACCCATGTTGTCCCAACTTACACATACACCAACTGAGTGCTAAATAGTATAATTTTTATATTATGTTTTAAGTGAATGCTTATAGAGCACGTTGGTTTTCCACCTGTAATACTATTTCCATTCATAAATATTTTACAGCATTGGTTTCTGTACCCACATTGCAACCACATCTTCATTCTGTGCACCTTTCTCTCTTTCTTAAATTCCTTTAGTGATGCTATAATTTTATAGTTTTTAAACCAAATTTAGGAGGGATCGCTGGTATTCTGTTTTAGCTTGCAGTTATCCTTGGGTTTTGTTTTTATTTTGCCATTCGCTCATTCAAATCCTCATGTATTTTATCCATTTGAAAACATGTTATTTTTTTCTTTTTATTTGAAAGCCCATATTTATGATTTATGGATATTACTCTGACTCCTGTTGGTTTTTAATATATTACTTATCTTAAGTACATGTGGAAAATTTCTTTTCTGGATTTAAACATAATATTCTCTTTTGTTTTTGGCCTTAGAATGTGTTGATATCAATGTTACCCCGGATAAAAGACAAATTTTACTACAAGAAGAAAAACTTTTGTTGGCAATTTTAAAGACTTCTTTGATAGGAATGTTTGATAAGAATGTAAACAAACTTGACGTCAGCCAGCAGCCACTGTTGCATATTGGAGGTGAGAAAAAAACACACATCTCTAAACAACTTCTAAGACATATAGTTGTTATGATACTTGGCTTATTATTTTTCCCCACAGGGAACAGAACTCTTCTTTTGGAGTGAGATGATGTGTCATACTAGACGGTATTAGCAAATAAAGTCATCTGTTTAAAAAGAGAAGTCATAGAGCAATCGGTCCCTCTTTGCCTGGAGGAACAGAAGGAGAGAGAAGAACTCCAGCTACCATTACTGAACATTTAGATCAATGATTCTGTAGATGAACCCTGGTACAGAGAGGGGGGAATGAAGAACAAAATATACCATTATTATGGAGTTCAGACATTCTTGAGCTTTTGAAGCTAGATGTACCCTTCAACCTTTTGTCCTGAGATCTCTTGTAAACCTTAAAATCTTAAACTAAAAATATCTTCTGATGTCTCTAAATCAAATGCAGTGAAACCTGATAGAGATTATGATGTGATTGCCTTATTTCTCTGAATCTCACAAATGTTCTTCCTTTGATACAGTGCAGTCTTACCACTATTTTGTCTCCTGTTTAGTGGAAAATACTGTTTCTGTTACCTGACAGGTTTCTGTCTTACACAGGCTCTGGCTCACAGGTTTCACTGTAATACTTTAGCGTAATAATGAATGAATGCCTGCCTTAAGCAGCCTGTTCTTTTAAAGAACTCGACATGGTAGCAAATTGACAACAGCAGCTGGAAAGGTTAGAGAAGGAGCTTCTGAGCCGTGGATTCGTGGTGATGGGGAGATGCAATTTGGAAAGGGGCCGTGAGGATGGCTGTGCATTTCGAAGGACTCAGTGTCACTGAATTAAAAACTCTGGGGTTGGTGTATACTTTGTATATTCTTAGAAACCACAAAATAAAATATTTTATTATTATTATTATTTTATTATTATTTTGTGTGTGTACCGTCAAATCGGATCTGACTGGTACAGGAGGAGATTGCCCCTCCTTCTCTGGCAGAGCATCTGGTGGATTCGAACCACCTATCTCTGGGATTGTAGTGCAGCTTCTTGCCACTAGGTCACCTGAGCTCCCCTAAAATAAAATCTTTTTACAGAAAAGATTTAAATTAAAACAAAGCTACAGTTATTAGAATGGGGAAAAAAATGGAAAGAACCGCCAAAAAGAGGCGCACAGATGATGGTTCCTTAGCTTCCAGGCTGTTGACAGGACGTGACAGTTAAGCAGTGCACAGTGACTGAATTCTTTAACTCACTTGGCCTTTGTTTTATCATATGTTTACTTTGTGGTTACTGTGTGGATTTATAATTACTGCTTTATTAATTTATTTATTAGTTTAGTCAGAAAAAATGAAAATTACAAACAGAAAATATGTTTGTGTTGTTAGTTGGTGTGGAGGAGAACTGCCTCAGAGAGTTTTCTACCCTATAAACTTGGTTTTTTTAAGAAACAAACAAAAAAAATCTTATATCGCTGATATATACACTAGAGCTAGGACTGCTGGATTCTAAATTATTTTTATTTCTAGCTTTTTGAGGAAGCACCACTAGACAGAATCTTTATAGGAGCAGATCACCAGTTCTGTCTCTGAAAGAAGCCAGAGTGGGTTTGAACTGTTAACCTTTTGGTTAGCAGCCGAGCGCCTAACTGTTGCTCTTCTTGTATTTACCTGTGCTCTTACCTTTTCTGTGGTCTCTGTTCCACGCTGGTCAGTCCCTCACCCCCCTGTTCACGTGTGTCTCCTCAGGAGGCATCATGAAAACTCGCTCAGCAGAGATGGAGACGCCACTGCCAGGAACGCCGGAGAAGACAGCTTTGTTCCAGACTCGGGGAGCTGAGAAACGGGCGGTGACCATCTCCAGACTGAGAGAGGCCTTCTCCCTTCACAGCCCAGCAGAGCACCGGCCACAGAGCCCGAGAATGCCAGAGCCGAGTCGGGGTGATCCCAGACCAAAGACAAGCATGTCAGACAGCCAGCACCCCCAGACGCCTGGCTCCAGCAGGGGCACGTGTGGCCCTTGGGAAGCAGGTGCACATCCAGCCCCGGGTCCTTGTGACAGCAACGACACGATGGAGGTGGACAAGCACTCGGGGCTCAGCAGCACCTCGGCAGGCTCCGAGGTGGGAGACAGAACCCCAGAAATGGGCAGCCACTTGAGCAGCGACCAGACAGTCAGCTCCCCAGATGATGGCGTTTCACAGGAAAAGGCAGCATCTTGTCAGAAACTTCCAGAAAGGGACAGTCCTCTTTCAGACGTGGACCACGCAGTCCAGGAAGCCACGAAGGATAAACATAGGCTTCCACCTCAGCCCTCGCCCCTCTCTGCTCCAGACAGAAAGCGTTGTAGGAAGGAAGTCCCTAACATTCCTCGCAGGGTGATGACCCCAAGGGACAGTCCGGCGGCGTCGCTGGTGGACGTTGCTGTTGAGATCAGCAGGAGGGTGGTTCCTCTCCGCTTCTCCATGTGCTCGCTCGCGAGGCGAGTGCGGCAGCTGTGTCAGCGCGAACCGAGCAGGGAAGACAGGCGGGGCTACAGGAGGTTCCGGGCCAAGATCTGCCCCGGCGAGAACCAGGCCGCAGAAGATGAGCTGAGGAAGGAGATCAGGTAGAGCCGGCGATCCTGCCCGTCCCTGCCTGCTTCTCCTTGGAGGGGCCGAGGACCGAGCCCCACCACTCGGTGCTGCTGCGCTGGGGGGTGCAGTGAGCTAGGAAGGGTCTGCACCCGAGTGCTGAGTCAGCCAGCATCTATGGATTACACCCGGGAGCCCCGTGGGGCTGTTCCTCATCCCACAGGCCTGGCCTGCGTCGGGCTGACTTGTCGCCTGGGTTCGGTTTAGGGGCTCGGGCCTCTTTTGCTGTCATTGTTGCTCTGCCCTGTGAGACTCTGTGCTCACATGTGACCCCGATGTGGCACCAGTTCTCATGGCCCCACAGGTCAGTCTTCCACGCACCTCAGAGGACACTACACAGAATGGACCGACCGACCCACGCTCCTCCTCCTATTCTCATATAACCTTCTCCTTTCTGAGGTTCTGATCTTAACAGCAGTTCACAGTTCCTCAGCCACAGAGAGAGAGAACTGGAGTTCTGCTCCACGCTGTGACATGGTGACCTTGACACCGGGGTCTCTCTCTCTGTCGTCCGGTTAGGGCTGACCCACAGCTGAGCCTCTTGGGGTTTTCTGAGGTGATAGATCTTAAGGGAGGAGATTGTCCACCTCTCCTGTGGAGCCCCCCACCATGGCGGCTTGCCCTTTGATGTAGCAACATGAATCCCCACAGACCGGAGCTCCCTAGGACACCCCGGTGCTGAGAGAAGCAGACCAGTCCCAAAAAGACAAATCCCGCCTGAGTCCAGTTATGGGAGGTATCCCGGTCAGGCAGGCGCATGGGGACACGATTCATGGTGTGTCCTTGGTGCTGGAGGTCACACTGGCCGCTGCTGACCAGAAGCCCATGTGCTTTGGTGGTTTGAATCTGCCAGCCTCTCCTTGGGAGGACGGTGGGCAGTCTTTCCCCATCACTGTTTACAGCCTCTGAAGCCCAGTGAAGGTCACAGCTGAGTGAGGAACTGGGGGAGTGCGGGAATGGGGGTTACTGCTTAGGGGTCGGGCGCCTCCGAATGCTGTCAGTGAGTGATCTTACACCTGAGTTGTACATTTTAAAACAAAAAGGCCACTTTTATGTTGTACTTATTTTAAAAAAATGGTTTAAAAAACCCAGAGCCTGTGGCCAGCCTCCCGAGAATCTGATCTCATAGGCGTGGGGCAGGGCCCAGGCATCTGCATTTTGAGGAGTCCACAACCTCGGGGCTCACTATGAGAGACCCTCATTCACGGCTGTTGTTCTTATGAGATGGAGTGTTTGCAGCTCCCCAGAGAAACTCATTTGAAGTTGATGATTGGGCAGTAACCAGAGCGACCCAGGTGGTGTTTCTCTGCTCTTGATTTTCAACCATCCTTGCTTCAGATTACAGCTACGTTTGTCACGTTACTGCATGTTGCTGCAAGCTCCATTGTTTAAGCCAGGTGCCCGGTGTTGGGTTCACAGTGGAGATTTATTTGTGAAAATTCAGAAGCAGCCCTGGGTCTTGGGCAGCACCACGTCTTCCCCAGGTGCCCAGAGCACGTGCAGATGGGTTCCGGGAGCGTGGAGCCAGCACCTGTGAGCCAGGGAGCTTGATGGTGTCAGGGCTGAGCCTTTAGCTGCTAACTAAAAGGTGGATGGTTCAGACCCATTCAGCGGATCTGCAAGAGGACGAGCTGATCATTGCCCCCTGGGAAGATTGCAGCCTAGGAAACCCCCTGGATCATCTCTGCTCTGTCACATGGTATCACCGAGTCAGGGTCACTGAGTCAGGCTCAACTGGACAGCACCCGACATCATCAGCCTGCTGTCCTGCCTCTTGGCTCCACATCCACCTGCCATGTCTAGTGGAGGTGGACAGGACATCTGTCCCCACCATCCAAGCAGTTCCCACTTGGAGTGACCTCGTAAGACAGGTCAGAACTGCCCCGAGAGTTCCGAGGCTGTAAATCGCTATAGACACAGACTGGCTACTTTATCTTTTCCCCCATGGAGCAGCTGGTGACTTCATCCACTGACTTTGATTAGCAGCCAAGCCCTTAAGCACTGTGTCACCAGGGTCCTTAATGGAAGTGGGAAGTCGTAACCACTGGCACGCAGAGGCATCGTGGTTTCGCCCTGTCTCCTGTGCTGATAGTGATGCTGTGCCCTGAAATAGATGCCCTGGGAGAAGCTGCCACCTTTGTCCGGAGAGGACAGTGACCACAGGGCTGTGCAGCGGAATGGACATCCTGTGTGCACAGATGGAGACCGAGTGCTGGCCTGCTCACTGGCCTCGTGACCACTTTGACACTGTAGACACAGGGGTGAAGCTCAGTTGGTCATCAGTCTTCCAAAACGTGGTTGTGTGGCTTGGGGACATCCCCCTCTGTGACACAGTGTCGGCCTCTTGTAGGGACTCTGCTGTACTCTCGGTTAGGGGCATTCTGAAGCCACCCCCTAGAACACCCAGTGGGGGCTTCTGACTCATTGCCCAGCCTCCATGCTCGGACTGGCAGATTCTAGAAGGCCCAAAGGCCCACGGGTGTTCTTTGACACTGTGGGTGGGACTTTGTGTGTTTATAGCTTGTCTACCAAAATAAGAAATGTACAGAGGAGATTCCACTCCAGCAGATTTAGCTAATAGAACTGCCCCACGCATGACTGGTTTATGTCTGGGAAGGTTTGTTTGGCTGTTCGTTCACTGAATTGGAAGCAGCTCAAATGTTCTTCCGCAGAAAGTTGGCCAAACACACTGTGGTCTAATGAGTTCCTCTGTGGCTGCTTGAAAGAATGACATAGCTCTCTTCATATGAATCTGAAAATGACAAGGTGGCATTAAGTGACAAAAGGAGAATGGTGGTGTCGGCTGAGGAAAAAGAATAAAGAAAGAGATGGGACACCAAGAATGGAGGCAAAACAGAGCATAAAGGCAGGGGGAGAACAGCTAGAAAACTGAAGCTGAAACGCTCATCCCAGCTTCCCTGTGACTTTATTGAAAATTGCCAGGGAGCAAATCACAAAGAGAATTCTATGCAACTGGAGCCAAGCTCTTTCTATTGAAAACCTTATACTTGACTCAGGAGGGAGGGGTCAGCAAATACAGTCCAAGAACTGTGAAAACACCTGAAGGTGTGCCTTGCCGCTTAACCCCTGTGACCTGTCTTGGGGACTTCCTGCTTGTACCTGCACCTCACTCATATCCTGATAGAGCATTAGGTGTCTCATTGATATTTAATTTGAAATTTGGCTTCCTACAGAATGGTGTGAGAAATGTGGTTCCATTTTATTTTCTTTGATTAATTATATAGTAATACTTTATTATGATTTTGGTGAAGGCTGGTACAACAGTTAAGTTTCTGTTCAACAGTTTCTGCATACGTCAGTCGGTGGCAGGTGCATTCTTCATGTGTGATCATATTCCATGTTTTCTTTCTGATGCTTCTGTTTCCATTAATCTGGTTTCCTCCCCCTCCTCTCATCCTTATCTTTGGTTTAAAAGAATTATTGACTGTATTCAGTTTCTTTTCTTATTTTTAATGTGCAGACAAAAGTCTGAAAAGATCCACACCAATTTGTGTAAATAGCAGTCTTAATAGGTGCCCTCCAGTGGTTTATCCTGTGAAGCTGCTGGGTGGATTTGAACCACCAACCTTTCAGTTAATCAAAAAAGTTAGATGAAGTGAGTGACTAATTCTGCCCTTGGAAAGAAGGGCTTTTAGGGACATTCTCTAGTTTAAGCTACCATCTGGATTCTTGGTTGTCTTCCATTTTGTAATTCGCAGATTAGTCTTTTCACAATGTCACAAAGCTTGTATATTCTCTTCCTGCAGTAAAACCATGTTTGCAGAAATGGAAATCATTGGGCAGTTCAACCTGGGATTTATCATCACCAAGCTGAACGCGGATATCTTCATAGTGGACCAGCACGCCACCGATGAGAAGTACAACTTCGAGATGCTACAGCAGCACACAGTCCTGCAGGGCCAGAGGCTTATTGCGTGAGTGACCAGGAGACCTCACGTCCCATAACGTGCGTGTGTGCGCGCGTGTGTGCGCGCGTGCGAGTCTGCGTGTGTTCATATGTGTGTGTATAGTAGGCCTTGTTTTACTATTTAGCAGCATTATATTCCAACAGCATATTTTTACATCTTTTCACATGGGTAACAGTTAAACTGAAAAAACAAACAAGAGTTCATGCCTGTTGTCACTAAGTTGGTCCTTATGCACTGCAGCGCTAGAGGACGGATGGGAAGTGCCCGCTAGTGCCCAGGGCTGTCATCCGTATCTGGTGGCACTAACTTTAATGACCACTGCACTACCAAGGCTAATAGCCGTGATAGGCGCAGCTTATGGCACGATTATGTATCAGAATGAGCCTTGGGGTAGTGGGCTAAGTGTGGGGGCGGCTAACTGAAAGATCTGAGGTTCAAACCCACCAGCATCTCCTCAGGAGAAAGATGAGGCAGTGTGCGTCCGTAACAATTTACCTCAGAACTCCCAGAAGGCAGTTCTGCTCTGTCCTCTACAGGTGCTGAGTTGAAATCAGCTCGACAGTCTTTACATAACAAACCTTATAGCAGTTATGCAGAACAGATTATTCAGAAGGCTGGAAGTGTGTCGTCAGGATTGGTGGAAGATCTATCAACAATCTGCCTTATGCAGATGACACAACCCTGCTCATTGAAACTGGGGAGGACCTGAAGTGCCTGCTGCAGAGGGTCAAGGACTGCAGCCTTCAATATGGATTGAGTCTCAGTAAGAAGACAAAGATTCTCACCACTGAACCAATTCGCAGCATCAGGATGGATGGTGAAGAGATTGAGATTGTTCACAGCTTTAGGTTGCTTGGCTCCACAGTCAACACTCTTGGCACCAGCAGCCAGGAAATTAAAAGACATATTGCGATGGGAAAGTCTATTGTTAGGGACCTCTCCAAAGTACTGAAGAGTGATGGTGAGGGGAGCTCTGGTGGCCTAGTGGCAAGAAGCTGCAACTACAATCCCAGAGGTGCACGGTTCGAATCCACCAGATGCTCTGCCGGGGAAGGAGGGGCAATCTCCTCATATACCAGTCAGATCTGAAGAGTGATGGTGTCACTCTGGAGACTAAGGTGCGTCTGATACAGGCTATGGTCTTTGCAATCACTTGTTATGCATCAGAGATCTGGACAATGACAAGGGAGAACAGAAGGAGAATTGATGCCTTTGAGCTGTGGTGCTGGTGAAGAGTTGAGGGCACTGTGGACTGCTCAGAAAACAGATTCATCCTTGAGAGGGTTAAAGCAGGCTGCTCCCTGGAGGCAAGGATTCTGAGGTTCCATCTGACATACTTTGGGCATGTTATAAGGAGGGACCAGTCTTTGGAGAGGGACATCATGCTTGGGAGGGTGGAGGGACAGCGCAGGAGGGGAAGGCCCTCTATGAGGTGGATTGATTCAGTGACTGGGGTAATCGGAATGGGTGTATCGGAGACAGTGTGATTGGCACAGGACAGAGCAGAGTTTAGGGTTGTTGTCTATGTACAAGCACATAACAACAACCATCTCTTGACCAGAAAATCTTTTTGATCAGAATAATTTTTTAAAAAGTTATTTGTGTTTTTGACTTATAAACACCCCCATTCAGCAATTTCTCTGTAACTCGGTGACAGCAGGCACGTTCTTCCGGCTCAGCAATGGGGCTCACCCCCTGAGTGTTTCCTCACTCTTTTTATTTTTTTTTTTTTTTACTCTGAGGCCAGCCCCTGTGCCTGAGGCCCTTGTTCCCTAAGGTCCCTGTCCTCTGAGGGCCCTGTCCCCTGGTGTCCCTATCTAATCTTTCCAATTGCTCTTGTCAAGTTGATGTCATCTTCAAAGAGCCTAATGCTCAAGGCAGACCTTTTTCACTAGTTAAGCTAAACTGTTAGTTTTAGGCCGACTTCAGAGAATATTTTTGATTTGGAGTTTATAGATTATTTCAGGAGTTCATCCAATCTTCATGGATCTAGGAAGTCTAGATTCCATGAGAACTTGAGGTTTTCTTTACCCCTTTCCTTGACCAGTGTCACAATTTACAAAGAGCAGAGATGCCACTGCCTGGAACACTTCCCTCTCCCTCCTGACCTGACTCCCACTCCCCTGTAGGCCTCAGGCCACTCCCTGAGCCCTTCCCTGGCCCCACCCCACTTGCTGTGAAGGCACTATGTGTCTTTTCTTTCTGACCCTCACTGGAGCTTGAGTCTTTCTTCCCCCTGGGTCCACTTGTTCCTTCGGCCAGAGACCCATGGGTGTTTGTTCACCATCACATCACCCCCAGCAGCAGCATGTGTCTCAGGAAATTCTCAGTACACCCAGGGAGGGCTTTCTGGGTGTGCCAGCAGTGACCATGCTGGACTGAAGAACAGAGGTTGAAGGTTCAAGTCCACCCAGAGATGCCTCAGATGAAAGGCCTGGCCATCTACTTCCAGAAAAAACAGGCCTTGAGAAACCATATGTGTTTTAAAATACCTGCAACTCAGTGACAGTACCAAGATTTGTGTGATGTGTGATAGAGCTGAAAAAAATGATAACGTGACTAGGAAACTTAAGAGATGAGTAGGAGAAGCCCACTGCCTCGGAGTCGGCTCTGACCATCGAGTTTCTGCAGTCTTTCTTTTATTATTTTTGTGTGTGTACTGTCAAATCAGATCTGAACGGTACAGAAGGAGATTGTCCCTCCTTCAGCAGAGAATCTGGTGGATTCAAACAGTGCGCCTCTGGGATTGCAGCGCAGCTTCCTGCCACTAGAGCTCCCCTACTGAGGCTTCAATTTTAACAGGAGGAAACTGCCCACCTTTCTCCCATGGAACAGCTGGCGGATTGGAACCGCTCACCTCTTGGTTAGCACAGCTCCTAACACAGTTAAGTAGGACACACATCCTCCAGAGCAGTGTTCTCCCCGTAACCTCCACGGGGTCGCTGGGAGTTAGAATTGACTCAGCAACCATGATGGGTCCAAGTTCAGGAGAGGTGCGAGGATGGACGCAGACAGAGGACGGCCCAGGAGCGTAAAACCAGGACTGTTTACTCTGCTTTCAAACGCCTGAAGTGGCTGAGCTTAACTGTAAAATTGCCTTTATTGTGAGGAGGAAACATCCTATTTTTTTATGTTATTACAAGGAGAGGCTCAGAAACTAACTGCAGTGCAGTGGGGAGAGACGGCAGGAAGAAGTGTTTTGCAGCCACTTTTTAAATCTACAGGAAGATCCAGAAAGTGACTGGCGACACGTTGCTTACTCCCAAGGTTATCAGGCTTCTGCTCAGCTTTGGCTTTGCAGAGGAACGTTTGACACCAACATGAGCTGACTCTTCTGTTTTTCAGACCCCAGACGCTCAATCTGACTGCCGTCAATGAGGCTGTTCTGATCGAAAACCTGGAAATTTTCAGAAAGAATGGTTTTGACTTCATAATTGATGAAGATGGTACGTTAGTCGTGAAAACCCCCCGCTGTGGGTGACCTTCCCTCTGACTTCCAGGCTGCGAATCTTTCTCAGGAAATTGCCGTCTTTCTACCGCAGACATGAATCTTTCTGGGGAAACTGCCCATCGTTTCACCTCGGAATAATTGGTAGATTTGAACTGCCAACCTTTTGATTAGAAATCCAACACATAAAGAGCGACACCACCGAAGTGGTTATTCATTAAGGTTTACTGAGTCATGATTTTCTCTGGGTCACAGAGCTTAGTATTTATAAGACGTGAAAGAGGTTTCCCTCCACAAAAGCCCATTTTACTTCTGCCTTCCATAGTTTTCACAATTAGCCCTAAGATGAAACGCACCTTTTTTAATAGACTTTGAAGAACAATTTTGGTTTTAGGAAGTACAGAACACCCCCAAGTACCCTTTCCTCTGCACCCGTTTTTCTGTTTGCATTTTCCTAACAATGTAATGTTCCCTTCTTAGCTCCGGTCACTGAGAGAGCCAAGTTGATTTCCTTGCCAACCAGTAAAAACTGGACCTTCGGCCCCGAGGACATAGACGAGCTGATTTTCATGCTCAGCGACTGCCCAGGCGTCATGTGCCGCCCTTCCCGAGTCCGGCAGATGTTCGCCTCCCGGGCCTGCCGGAAGTCTGTAAGTAGAGGGAGAGGAGGGTCTCCTCCCGTGGGCCAGTCCACACGGGGTTTCAGCTCAGCTCCGGATCTGGTCAGCTTATCAAGTGTCACAAAGAGAAAACCTAAGCAGACCAGCCACCAGTTAGACTGAGTCGGTGTGACCCCAGGTGTGGCAGAGTCAGGCACCCAGCATTTTGAGGCTCATCGCCAGCCCGTTCTTCCAGAGTGCCTCAAGGTGCCTCAGCTCACCAGCCAAGTGCTCAGCCCTCATCACCCAGGCTCTCCACTAAGAGCTACACCCCCTCTTGTCAGTTAAGCTCTGACTCCTAGGGACCCCCTCGGGGGTTCCTTGGCTGTAGACCGTTCCCAGAGTGGACTGCTCATCTGTCTCCCTCTGAGCAGCTGGTGGATTCAGACTGCTGACCTCTGGCTAGCATCCCAGCCTGGAGCAGTCTGTGACCCGAGCGCCCAAAGTGCCAAGGGGTGTTGTAGACAGAACCACATATGGTGTGTGTGACCTAGTGACGCAAAGTGTTGACCTGTAACCTCTAACGCGCATTCACTGACATCTCCCTCCATCTCATAGGCAGCGTTCTGCCTCTGCCGTCTGCCTGTCCTAACACAACTCACCATTTGCTCATGGAATCTGTGTGTGCGGCTGCTTGAACAAAGTGCCACCACCTGGGGCCTTAGCACAGCCGCGGCGTGTTCTCTCCAGCTCTGGGGCCAGAATTCCCTCCCACCTCCGAGTGGCTCCGACAGTCCCGTGGCGTTCCTTCTCGTGGGCGGTTTTCACTCTTCACAACATAAAGTCAGGAAGAGACTTAACTTCTTTCAGGTTGCTCATGTTGGATTGGTTCTGCCCTGTGATTACTCCCCGTGTGTGGCGTGAAACTCTGTGCTCCACGAGGTTGGCAAAGCTGTGGCCACTCAGAAGCAGACTGCCCGAGCTGCCTTCCACGGTGGTGCTGGCTGGGCGCAAACTGCTCATCTCTGGCCAATAGTTCAGTAGTTGCTTGGAAACACTTTTGAGTTGCTCTCTTGCTCAGCCTTGTTTCGGAGAAAGTGCTTTTGAAGAGTTACCTGTCAGAGTAAGAATCCGTGCACAGCAGCCAGCTGTGTAGCTGTAAACTTTTGTGTCTCGCTCAGGTGATGGTTGGGACGGCTCTCAACGCCAGTGAGATGAAGAAGCTAATCACCCACATGGGCGAGATGGACCACCCCTGGAACTGCCCCCACGGGAGGCCCACCATGAGGCACATCGCCAACCTGGACCTGCTGACCCCAGGCTGACCTCCCTTCTCACGGGCCAGGCCTGCAGCCTTCCGCTTGGAGAGGTGGCGCTTGATCCCAGCTGTTTTCGTTTCACGATCACTTTGCTACTTAAAACAAGAAATAGCCAGGTACCAGATCTGTTTTAAAATAATCATGAGGAACTTTCCACACCTGGTGGGATGTTGCTTGAACTGTTTTTCTATTGTGCATTTGAGAGAGAAAGAGGGTGAGTATGTGTCTAGAGTGTGTATAATCAAGAACTTGTGAAATTGGCAAGACGTTGGAATGTTCCCTGGGCATCTGCTCAGAGCGATGTCATTTCATCTCAGTATTCAGCTCTTCAAGATGATTACATTTACATTGCTTTTATTTCAGACTTAAAATTATGATCCTTTAAGGTTCATGGTTCTCAAACCAGCTGTGCATTGCGTTTTTAAAATGTAAGCATCCAGAAACTCGGGGGCCACACTGCTTCCAGGGGAGACAGCTGGTTGGGCCCTGCACACCGTGTGTAACCCTTGCCCAGTGCAGCCATGGACAAAGCCCCCAGCTAGCAGGGAAATAAAAGCCAGGATTCCTTGTAACCTCAGTGCTGGTCTGCGTTCTTTGTGTGAGCCTGTTGCCACCATTGTCAGCCCCAACTCAGTGACCCCTCGCAGTGTGACACAATTGCTCCACTGGGGTTTCTAGATTGCAGTCTTTACAGAAGAAGCCCTGGTGGCACCGTGGTCAAAGAATCCAGCTGGTAACGGAAAGGCCAGTGATTTGAATCCACAGGTGATCCAGTCTGCACCCCTCATGGCCTTGGAAACCCCCTAGCACGTCTCCTCAGCCTGCAGCGTTGATCGTGGTTGGAATCGATTCACTGGCAGTGCAGGCTGATTTGTTTGGAATGTCCACGTCGCCAGGTCTTTCCTCAGCACAGCCACCGTGAACTCTGGCCTTCAGGTTAGCTGTCAGGTACCTGCCTCTCCAGGACGGCATTCTGATCGTGGGCCCCGCATGGTGCTGTATGTATCTCCACGGTGTCCCCTTGTGCTCCGCGTGGGGATGGACAGGTGCTGTCTGTGGGATCCAAAAAGTGGCTGGGGAGATAGTGACTGCAGGTGTGCCCCCTGTCCTCACTGCCCAGACCAGAGACCTCCGGGGAAGAGACTTCCATCCCCAAACTTAGAATTACTTCACTGTAACCAGACAGGAAAGTAATAATTGCAGGCATGTCCCCAGATAATGGGCATCCACTCCCCTACCCCGGCCCCCAAAGACCAGCAGTGCAATAAAGGAAGACTTACATGTTCCCAGCGCAGAGAGGTTGTGCTTACATTCATTCAACTGGGTCATTAAGGAGCCCTGGTGGTGCAATGTGTGACGTGTTGGACCGCTAACCTTGTCAGATGGCACCCACCCCTGACTCCTTGGCTGGGTCCCATAAAGATTCAGCCTTGGAGGCCCACTGAGTGCCTCTGGGAGCCTGAATTGACTTAGCGGCTGGGGGTTTGGTTTGCTTTGATAGTCCATTAAGTGGACAGGGTTGGTAGATGCTTCTGAGCTGACTTCGATTCAGAGCATACAACAGTGTTAAGTTTGAACTACGTGAGAATAACCAGAATAGGACCCAGAGACATGAAAGTGAGCACGTACTGTCAGGGAGGGAAAAGACGGCAGTGAAGGGACTTCAGCTGGTTAAAGCAGTGTCTGAGGATTGAAGCGAGGCCCGCCTGCACTGCCCATCTTGCCCCTAACCACCTCGGGCTCTGTGCTGCTGACTGTCGCCCAGGCCCCCTTTGATAACACAGGAACCCCACAGGCTGGCAGAACAAGGATCCCAACGTGGCTGAGTTCTGATCCGCACCCCTGTGAGAACTTTGCCGTAATTGGCAGAGGGCTCTGCAGGTGCATTAAGTTAAGGCCCACGTGACGGTCCAGGTGGGCCTCGTGTAGCCACAAGGTTCTTAAAGGTGGGTCTCGGGCAGCCAGGCTGGGGAGGCTTTGCGGATGGAGGATCGGGTGCTGACCACGGACACCAGGCCTGTAATGTTGGCACTAGCAGGTTCGCCTGGAGGACCAGGCCTGTGGGCCCTGCGGCAGCTGCCACGTGTGGCTGTTACCTCCAGCCGGTTCCAGCAGCAGGGGGAATGCAGGGTCTGAACGTGACCTGTTCTAGGTGAGGAGAGTCAGAGAGCTGCCCTGCGGTAGGGAGGCTGGGGTTTGGTAGGCTGGGCTGCTCCCTCGCCTACACCAGGGTCCCCCTCTTTCCTCTCAGTCTTCTGGACCCTTTTTTGGCTGGTTATTTTGGCTTGGGCTAGCCCTGAACCACTGCATCAGGGCTCTTAGGAGGGGGCCTCCAGAAGCGTGGACCGTGGTCCATGGAGGGGAGGAACCAGGGATGCTGCGGCCCCTTAAAGAGAGGGCGATGGGTGGTGGGCCCTTACGGGCCACTTTTCAACTGCATGGTTGGGTCTGTACGGATTTCAGGGGAGCTCAGGGTGGGAGACGCGGACCACCGGCCCTATTAAAGGCGGAGCATGAATGTGACTGGTGGCAGTTCCCCTGCAAGCGGGGGGCGGCCCCGTGGGTCGCGGCCCCTTTAAGAGCAAGGCTTGGGCGGGGTTAGCGGCTAGAAGCCGGGCTTGGGCGGGGCGCCGCGGCCTGTTTGAAACGGGCGGTTGTACTGGTGTGGGGCGAGGAGGGCGGCGGGCCCTTTAAGAGCGTGGTGCGGCCGCGCGTGCGCTGCCCGTGGTTGCCGGGCGACCGGACGCGGCCAGCGCAGCGCCGCCTCCGCCAGGTTTTCCTGAAGCCCGGGATCCGGTGAGCACCCTGTGCCGACTGATGCGCTAGCGCCCTGAAACCGGAGTGAGGAGAGGGGGTGTCTAGGAAAGGGGGGACCTTGGAAGGGGAGAGCGGCGGTGCCGGAGTCTTTGAGGGATCATTTCTAAAGTCCGTTAATAGGAAAGTTTCTCTGTGTAGACCACGGAGCACCGCCTCTATAGGGGTGGGACGGAGAAGTCACAGAAACTAAGGGCTTTGGTTTAGATTTCACTGATGGAAACCGGAAAGTCTTGACTGAGTTCTTAGTGAAGGCAGTTTGGGCATCAGCGCCAGGAAAGAGCCGGGGACTGTCAAGGGTCAGCGCACAGGGGGCTGTCCACCGGGTGGGCGGAGGAGGGTGTGCACTGTAGGCGGGGATGCCCGGAGTGGACCCACCCTGTCTTCACCCCAGATGGCCTTCGGGGCCGGGAGTCTGCGCCTTTGGAGCTCTGGGCTGTGTGTCCTTGGGCAGATTGTCCATCGTTTCTTGGCCGGGGGATACTGTATTCAAGAGCGGGCTGCAGGAGTTAAAGGTAAAAAGCAGGAATAGGAGTTGAACTAGTTCCTCCATTCACGGAGCGCTGGCTGTGCGTTCTTTCTAGCACTTGGTGGATTTTTCTGTGCATTATTTAATGGTTTTACCGAGACAAGGAGACGTGGAGGTGCCGTGGTTAAAAATGTTTGGCTTTCGGCGAGCTCTGGTGGCCTAGTGGCAAGACGCTGCACTGCAGCCCCATAGGTGCACGGTTCGAATCCTCCAGATGCTCTGCTGAAGGAGTAACAATCTCCTCCTGTACCAGTCAGATCTGGTACACACATAAAAAAAAAAAAAATTAAAAAAAGTTTGGCTTTAAAAAACAAGGTTGGGGCTCCAATCTACCAGTGGCCCCTTCGGGAGCAGGGTGAGACAAGTATGCTTTGGTCAAGATAGACTCAAAAATGTAGGGACTAGTTTTTCTCTGAGTTACTCGGTCACTGTGCATAGGAATAAACAACAGGGCAGTAGGTGGATTTGATATCTGAAACAGGAGGAGATGAACTTGCTCAGGGCATCTGCAGGTACATGCTGGTCCGGCACTATCCCTGTGCCTTGTAGATTGTGGTCCAGAGGATCTCCTTGGCTAACTTTTGGAAGGTGATTGCCAGGCCTTTGTTCCTACTCTTAGTCTGGAAGTTCAGCTAAAATCTTCTCAGAGTTGTACCCAAGGCTCCACCGACCGACCTGTGACGGCTGCACGTGAATGGTATTGATGGAGGGGGGATAATAGGAGCAACTGAAACAAAATGAAAATTGTGTTTTTTACTTAGTTCATGTTTTAGAAAGAGAATGGCAGTGGCATTGTGTTGAAAGCCCACAGATTAGTAAATGAAAAGTGTCAAATACTTAAAGCATTTTAAAAAATTTTAGATGGCATGACAATGATCTGGAACGAGAGGTGCATTGCAAAGGGACCGAGGGAAGGAGAAGGGAGGGAGAGGGAGGAAAAGGTGCAACAATTAATGAATTTTTAAATAAAAAGTTAACATTTTTTTAGACAACATTCATCAATGAAACAAGCCACTGCTCTGCAAAGGAATCATTTGACGTAAACGCCAAGTCTCCCAGAGGCAATGGTGAAGGAAAAGAAAAAGTCCGAGAAAAAGGCGGGGGACAAGTCGGTCCGCTCCCCCTCCTCCACCAATGAATATCCAGAGTTTTCCAAACAAGATGGCAGCGTGGTCCGGCAGGATGTGACCCTGACTGCTGCCCGCAAGGTGGAGAAGCGGCTCAATGAGGCGAGCCCCAGGAGAGAGTCCAAGAGAGATGAGCCGCCCAGTGAAGACACCACGCAGTACGAAGAGCCGGTCCTGACCAAGCTCATCGTGGAAAGGTGAATTCCAGCCCTCCCAGCGGGCACCCCTCTTCCTCTCAACTTCGTGTTGTGCTTTGCCTGACAGTTAAGAGGGCACATTGTCTTCCCATTCAACAGTCCTCACACGTTTTGCTTTACGGCATCAGTTACGGTCACTAAGTTGCAGCAGCACTCTTCCCGCTTCCTCCATGTGTGTACCATTTCTCTTCATCCTTCTTGTATACTCCTTCCTGCCTTTGCTATTTTCTCCTTAAACAAATGCTTCCGTTTGATCTTGTTTGGCTGATTGTTCCAGGGCCAAGTCAGTCATTTTTGGGAAATTTTACTTTTCTTCAAAGATTTGAAGGCTATTTAAAAAAAAAAAATTAAAACACACACATACACACCCACCACTACTGACCAAAAAAGCAAACCATTGAGTCTACTCCGGTTTGTGGTGACTTGTCTGAGTAGAACTGGGTGGGCTTCATAAGGTTTCCAGTGGCTGATTTTCTGGAAGCAGAATGCCGCGCCTTGCACCCGTGGCACCTCTTGGTGGGCTGGAACTTCGTGTTTCTCTCAGCAAGCACCTGAGGATGTTCACTGTTGTTCAGTGATGCAGACCGCACCCCAAGGAAACTCCCTTACATCAGATCAGGGCTGTGACCTGACAAGGGTGCTGCAGCCCACCCTCATCCTCCTCCAACTGCTGGGCCTGTCACATTGCAGCCCAAGGATGATTACATCATCGTACAGCTTTCAAATAGCGTCATATAACTGACAAATCACTGGAGGTCATGGCCCAGGCCAGTTCTGGGGCAGGAGCGGGGACACAGTTCAGTCTGTGACAGTGGCTCATCCTGACAGTCTATACCCCAGGGCCACTTGTTTACCTCGGGTCCCACCATCTGATGGTCTTACGCAAACTCGCACATGATCTGGAATTGTGTTATTTACTCTCTTGCTTATGCCTCCCCTCTGTGGACTGGAAACTCCTGGGCAGGGGGATCATTCCACCGTGTCCTAGCCTGTCCACAGCTGTTTCTTCAGGACTCAGGAGGCCAACTCCCCTTCCCCACTGATCATGGGAGATGTCTGTGGACTAAACGAGTGAGATAATGCTTGTATCCTCAGGAGACCCTGTCTGCGTTGTAACCCAGGAGGCCTGTCATTATCATCTGTGAACTCTCACTTTTTCTCTCTGTAGGTACGAAGGGGAGAAAGTCCGTGGACTGTACGAGGGTGAGGGCTTCGCAGTCTTCCAGGGAGGATGTGTGTACCACGTGAGTTTTATGTCTGGTCAGCTGAAAGCTTTCAGTTGACTTCTTTGATAACCATTGAATCTTCAAAATATGTTGGAAATGCTTTGTGCTGATTCTACTTGGAACCTTGACTACTGCATGATTGACCCTGTCAGCCTGTGGGAGGTACAGTCCCCCCTAAATGTCCCACCCCTGGGCTTTAGTGGGATGCCTGTAGCCATTCCTGGTGCATGCTGCCATCTGGTGGGCACCCGTGTACCTGCACAAGTCACAAGAAAGGGTCCTCATCCCAGCAACCACAGCACCAGAGACCTTTTGGGACAAGTGTATCCCACTAATTGTGTCAAAACTCATTATTACCTCAAACTGGTTTAATAAAAAAATTCCAAGTAGACAGTAATATGGTGTTAAAAGAATTAAGGTAGAAATATGGTTCAGTAAAACCGAGTGGGTATGTCTGGTGGCAAAACAAGGGCTCAGGAACTAGGACGCAACTATTAGAGGATTGGGTGTTCAAACCCACTGAGATGCACCTTGCAGTGGAGACCTGCAGATCAGCTTCACAAGGTCACAGGCTTGGGGGCCTACAGGCGGTTCTGTTCTGCGCACCTGAGGGTGCCTTACAGCTCCTTACATCAGTGGATGTGTGTTTTAACTGTATTGGGAGCCCTGAGTGATACTAACGGTTAATGGGCTGCAAGGCTGCTGAAGAGGTTCAAGTTCAGCGAGGCACCTCAGAAGAGAGTCCTGGCATTCTAGTAAAACGAGCCATTAGAGTCTGCAGAACTTGGTTCCACCTTCACCCTCGGGGAGGCCCTGCGAGTCGGTCAGCCCGCCGGCAGCATTCTTTCAGGGTTCCGTCTAGCGAGGAAAGACGGGCAGGAAAGGGCACGGCCCAGCGGTAACCATCTGTATCTCCCCTCTGCTTCTCAGGGCATGTTTTCAGAAGGGCTCATGCACGGACACGGGGTGTATGTTTGGGCTGACAAATTGAAATATGAGGTAAGTCGCTAACAAGTCGCGGTTCCACTCTGCCATTGTGAGAATTGATGGCAGATCCCCTATGTAGTGCCCTGTTTGCCTTGACAAATGAGTCACACCCTCAGAAGCGCAGTGCAGCTCAGCTGAGACTTGGGTTTCCCCCCACGCCAATGAGGGGCTTTTTCAAGCTGCAAAAAAAGTAACTTGGTGGCGAGCTCTGGTGGCCTAGTGGCAAGAAGCTGCACTGCAATCCCGGAGATGAGCGGTTCAAATCCACCAGATGCTTTGCTGGGTAAGTAGGGACTGTCTCCTCCTGTACCAGTCAGATGTGATTTGATGATGGTACACACACATGAAAAATAATAAAAATTTAAATGGGAAAGTAACTCGTAGTTAAATAGATCCTGTGTACTTACTGACTGAATATTCTAGAATATTCTGGTCACATGTATACGTTTAGCTGCTCCTGCAGCTTGAATCCAGAACACACACATTTATGCTAGAAGAAATGCAGCCTGGATGGCCCTTAGGAGCGAGGTGGTTGAGACTTGGTCTTACATGCTTTGGGAATGTTCCCAGTAGTGACTTGTCCCTGGCGAAGGGAGTCAAGTTTGGAGAAGCAGAGGGTCAGCAAGAAGACCGGTGAAATGGACGGACACGTGGCTGCAACAGGGGGCCCCGACACAGCAGTGGCTGTGAATATGAGGAGCTGGCAGGGGTTTTTGACTGGGTGGCACCTAACCGCATCCACCTTTACAGAACCTTCTGCCTCAGTTACCTTTGAGCAGCTGGTGGATTTGAACCACTGATCTTTTGGTTAGCAACTAGGTGTTTTCCCTCTTGGACCACCAGGGGGCGGTATAATGGGATGTAAACTGGGCTGCTGTCAACTCGATTCTGATTGGTGGCGCCTCCAGGGGTTTCTGAGGCTGGAGTTCTCCAGGGGCGACTGCCTGGTTTGCTCTGAAAAGTGGCTGGTGGTTTCCAGCTGCGAGACTGGAAACTTATTTTTGGCTAGTAGCAAAAGTTAGCACACTGTCACCTTGATAATAATACAGAGGGAGTCAGAGAAAGGTCATATACATGGGTGGATATGGTTTGAGTTCCCATTTTTAAAGGTACAGAAGCCTGCATAATGAACTACTTGTGTTTCTAAAAAGGAGTAAGAATTGGTTAAATTGTGGTATACCCACACCGCAGGGTGTTAGTACCTCACAGTATAGAGAACAAATTGTCACAGTACAAATGACAGGGAACCTTAAATGCTGCTTATTACATGTAAGAAAGGCGCTCTGGTGGCACAGTGCTTAAAATGCCTGTAAACAAAGCTAAGATGCTCGGTTGTCTGCCCGCCCCAGGGTCAGTGGTCCGAGCCCACCAACCACTCCACAGGAGAAGGATGAGGGGGTCTGCTCCCGTAAAGGTGGTGGCTGGGGACTCCTGCGGGTCAGCTCTGCTCTGTGCTTCAGGGTGACCTGGAACTGATGCGATGGCGGTGGGAGTGGGCTGTGAAGGACGCCAAGCAGAACAGAACCCTGTGCTCTGTGATCCCAGCTCTGTGACTGGTGTTCTGGAGAAGGCAGAACCACCGAGAGTGAAAGGATCGGGGTCCCAAGAGCTTAAAGGGGAGGGGCAGGTGGAGCCCAGGACTCCAGGCTGGGAAGCTGGCCTGCCCGACCCTGTCAGGTGGACACAGGGCCTCAGGCATCTGTCCAGTGAACGGAAACTGCTGTTTACACCAACCCGGACAGCCTGCGCCCTGCCGGAGAGTCCGTTCCACATCATGACCCCGCGGTGGGCTTTGAAGCCGATGTCGGTCTTTACAGGAGCACCAGCTGGTGGCTTCATGCTATGTGGGTCTTTGTTCTGGAAAGTAATCTTACTACATTTCCTAAGGTGTAGGCTTTCTAACATTGCTTGATTGTGTGTGTGTGTGTAGACACACACACTGACTATTGTTGTTGGGTACTGTCAAGATGGAGCTGACCCTCTAGTGGGTTTTCAGAGGCAATGCTTGCTTGGGAGAAGATTGCCCATCTTCTGGTGGATTTGAACCAAATACCTTTGTGTTGGCAATACAGTTCCTTACCAATAAGCCACCAGAGCTCCCTAGATCCATCCATCCATCCGTCTTGCAATGTTTTATTGTTTTGGCTTTCAGTGTGTGTGTGTGTGTGGTTTCTGCTGGAGAGTGACTGGTGGTTTCGAACCACGTATCTTTCAGTTAGGAACCTGACATGTTTCACACTCGGCCCTGGGGCTCCTGTCTGTCTTGATTGGTGCTGGAACAGTATCAGCCCATGCGTCGACACAAACGGGCGGTACTGACGCAGGACGTTGACAGGAGAGAACCTTGTAGCGGGGGCGGGGGGGTAGAGCTCTCCGCACTTTCTGCACTTTTTTTTTCTTTAAACTCAGGCCCAAAAACCATAGTCTAAACTCTGGTGGTGCAGTGGTTAAAACGCACAGCTGCTAACACAAAGGTCAGTGGCTCGGACCCCCCAGGAACTCAGCAGGCAGCTTCTGTAACGGTGGGTGATAGGCCAGCTCTTAGCGACCCCGAGTCTGTGGGAACAGAACCCTGCCTGATCCCGTGCCGTCCTCACAGTCGCTGCTGTTGACAGCCCGTTGAGGTGGCCCCTGCCTGCCTGTCTTGCTGAGCGTCCCTCTGTCCCACTGGCCCTCTGCTGCCGACTCTGGGGCATCTCTGCTGTCGTTTTGCGGCTCTGTGGCAGCCCATTTGCTGTGTTTGCTGCAGTTCTGACACCCGCTGCGCTCACCAGCTGCTCTGTGGGAAAGATGTGCCCGTCTGCTTCTGGAAGGATTCACAGCCTTGGCAGCCTGATGGGGCCCTTCTGTGTCCTGCAGGGTGACCGTGGGATGGAATAGACTTGATGGCAGTGGATTGTTGGGGTGTTTTTTAAATACATCATTTTATGTAATACACACATATTTAATGCATGGCTTCTGGAGCCAAATTGCTGTCCAAAGGGATCAGGCCAGTGTCTGCTTCTACCCACAAATGCAGGTGGGCCTGGGGGCTGTTGTGAAAACAGACTGGGCAGAGCTGCCAACTCCATGGTGACCCTCAGGGTTCGTGAGGACATCCGAGACCCCTCCCATCCAGTCAGGGGTGCAGTGTGAGAGGCACATGAAAGGAGCAGAGACTGTCTGGGCTAATGGGCAGCTGCACTGCCCTGCGAGTCGTCCTCTCAGTGGACACTCAGGGCCCAGCAGAGTGGGCCCCTCAGTGGTGCCCACCACCAAGTGTCAGCCTCAGTCCACTGCGTTGACTGACTCTTAGGGGAATGCTAGGTCTGGCTAATGTCAGAATCTTCTGGAAGGACCTTTGAACCACGGCCATCAAGTCGACCCCACACTTGTCAGCGTCAGACCCCCAGGTCTTTCTCCTGGGGTGCCTGGTGGACCCGAACCACATATCTTGGGGTTAATCAGGTGAACGGTTTGGCTACCTGCATACCTGGGGACCCCCAAGGGAACTTCGGGTCCTAGAGCATTAGCCTCCTGAGGGGGAAGTTTGATAGCCTGTGTGTAGTTTACTGGACCGGCAGTCACAGGGCCCCCCTCACTCCTTGGTGCTTGGGGCTCCCTCACCTGACCCAGCCTGGGGTCTACACAGCGGAGGAGGTTGGGATGTAAGTGAGGAAGGGAGACTTGGAGCCACATGTGAGTCTGCTGTCCTCACAGAGGAAGGCCTGGAACGGCCTGGGAGTCCACCCAGGGTTAGGCACCTTGCGGTTCCCCGTCTCTGCAGGGGGACTTCGTGAAGAACATCCCCATGAACCACGGCATCTACACGTGGCCAGACGGCAGCACCTACAAGGGGCAGGTGGTCAACGGCATGCGCAACGGCTTCGGCATGTTCAAGTGCAGCACCCTGCCCGTGTCCTACATCGGCCACTGGAGTGACGGCCAGAGGCACGGCAAGGTGCGACACAGGTGACCCCAGAGGGAAGCAGTCCACCGCTTCTGCAAAGAGGACGAGAGGCTCCGAGGGGGACCCGGGGCATGAGGGCGAGGCCGGCAGGAACATCAGTAACGGGTAACACAGGTTCAACTGAGGGGGTGCCGTGTTGGAGGGGGTGGTTAGAATGTCACTAGAGAGGGGGACAGAGCTGCACAAAGGTGACAGGCAGCAGGCTGTTCCCCTGCACAAGCCTGTGGGCTCAGCACTAACAAGCCCGGACCCACAGGAGAGGCAGACGGAGAAGACAGAAATACGGGGAAGGGAGGGGATGCCCTCTCCCCAAGCATCAGCCGTTAAAAGCTGTCTAATGGAACTTGCACAAACCCTCACTGGTCAAATTGAGTTTCCGTCCGACAGTTGGTGTATGCGTTTCCTCATGGTGATGGCAAGCCTCATAGTGTAACAGCACCTTCCCGCTCTGCCCTGTTTTCTGTTTTCATTCATCCTCCTTGCCTGCCCCTCCTACCTTCTGAGCTTTTCCTGGGGCAGAGGCTGCCCTTCTGGTTTTGCCTGAGCTTCTGTGCTAAGGAGAGCATCCCTCCCTGGTGCTACTGATGACCTTAAAGACCCCTCTCATGTTGTTTTGGCCCCAGGGATGAGTCACAGCTGACCCTCGTAAGTTCAAGCTCTACACCTAAAAAGCTTGCACTTCATGAGGCTTGTTTTTTAAAGGGTGTATTATCTGCTCAGGGCTCCATCTACTACAATGAGGACGGCACCTCCTGGTACGAGGGCGACTGGGAGAACAACATCAGGAAGGGCTGGGGGATACGATGGTAGGTGCATGCGCGGCCACGTTGTGGGGGTGTGTATGGAGACCCTGATGATTTCAGGGTGCAGGGCAGGAGATAAAGGGAACAGACGCCTTGCACGAGCTGAGTCAGATATTTGCGTTAACCCACCAAATGTGCATGATTGTTGGAACAGCTCACTGAACGTTTAGGAAAGCGCCGCATTACAGGGTGTCTCGTCCTGCTCTTCAGCTTTATAGTCTACACAGAAACGGCCTTGGTTCTGCGCAGTAGCCCTGTGTGCTTTCTGAATGTTGGCACATTGCCTTGATTTGATGGTGTCTCCCCTCCCTCCTTCCCTCCCTCCTTCCCTCCCTCCTTCCCTCCCTCCTTCCCTCCCTCCTTCCCTCCCTCCTTCCCTCCCTCCTCCTCTCCTCCTCTCCCCTCTCAATGAGTTAGGTTGATACAGGGAATAATTTGCCCAAGTCTATCAGATGATGAGGATGGCACAGAATAGGTTCATAGCTGTGGTTCATAGGGTAACAATGAGTTATACTTGACAGCACATATATATATTATAGACATTATATATACTATATACACATTATATATTATATATTATATATTTGATATATGCATGTGTGTATGTTTATGTACCTATATGTATATCTATCTAAGTTAGATATATAGATAACAGGTGGCTTAGTGGTAAAAAAGTGCACTGTTTATACAAAGTACAGGGTTCAAATCTACCAGCAGAAAGATGATACAATTTCCTATGCAATTTACCACCTTTGAAAACTCATTAGGGGTTCAGCTATGAGTTGGTTCCGACTCCACAGCACCACCACCTCCACCACTACACCACCACCACTACTACTTCCTCCTCTACCACGACCATCTCCTCCTCCTGCACCATGTCCACACCAGCACCATCTCCTCCGCCGCCGCCACCACCACCACCACCAACCAGCACCACCACCAACCAGCACCACAAGTATATATACACATATATACATGCTTTTTTACAATGATACTTTGTTTTGGGGTTCCTTGATCTATGTGTGTGTGTGGTGTTTGGTTGAAAGTTTACAGAGCAAATATCTTTTCCATTCAACAACTGATACTGTTTCATGACATTGGTTTTAGATTGAGTTGTTGAAATCAAATATTCTAAAGATGAGAATATTTCAGGGTCAAACGAGAACTAATCAACAGTTTTATGGGGAATTACTGAAGAGTGATTGGAAGGAGTCCCTCTTGCCCACTCTCTCCCAGGATGAAAGAGCCAGTTTTCTAATGTGATTTTGATGTTGCCCCTAAAGGTGATTAGTTTTACAACCATTGGATTCAAACACAGAAGGTTGTATGGACCAAAGCGTTCAATTTCTTTCTTTTTTCCAAGATTTCTGTAAGACAGTAACTTTTTTTGGAAGTTCACTGAAAGTTGACAGAGCAAACTGGCCTTCCATTCCACTGTTCACACACACGATGTAATGCTTTGGGACATTGACTGCAGTCCCCACCTTTGTAACAGCACTCTTCCCGCTCCCCTCCTCGGCCCTCCCTGCCTTCTGAGCCATCTCCTTGCCCACACGCTGCCCCTTTGATCTTGTGCACACCTCCCTGCTGTCACTGGTTCCCTGACAGTCCTGTCTGAGGTTTGGCTGAAAGCTGGGTCACAGCGGGTTGGCTTCCTTACTCAGGGGCTTAGGGAGCAGGTTCTGACGTGGACGTGGCACACACAGTGGCTGATTCTCTAACATCTGTGTTTTGTTCTAGTTACAAGTCTGGAAACATCTACGAAGGCCAGTGGGAGGACAACATGCGCCACGGGGAGGGGAGAATGAGGTGGCTGACCACCAACGAGGAGTACACCGGGCAGTGGGAGAAGGGCGTCCAGGTACCGTGAGCTGGGCCCACACTGTCAGACCAGGGGCCCAGGCTGCATGCTGCCGCGTGGTCAGCTGCCGCTTTGCTGGCCCTCACCCATGATGACCTGCCAGACACCAAATGACTGTGTTCTGGTCTAAAGAGCCCTGAGGTATCAGGCATCTGATGTGGCTTATACATCGATCTGGTCATTGGCAGCCAGGGTCAACTCACATGACCGCTCTGTTGCTGTTGTGAAATGCTCATTCAGAACTGACCCCTAGCTCACCCTCCAGGGGTTTTCAGAGGCAGTAAATCCCACAGGAGGAGAGTGTCCATCCTTCTCCCATGGAGCAGCTGGTGGATTTGAACCACAAACCTTTGTATGTCAGTGCAGCTCCTTACCTCATAATAGCTCTCACAGCCCATTTATAGATTTCTTCAGGGATTTTCTGCACAAAGGCACCTGTTTTAGTGTACTTCACAGGGACTGTGTTTTTGACGAATTGAAGGTTTGTGGCAATCCTGGGAGCAGATTCGTTTCCTGTTCAACAGTTCGTGCTCTTTTGGGTTCATACCATTGATTGTGGTCCCTGCCATGGAGCAGCCCTCATCGCGCTCCCTCTGTGTTTCCTGTTTGCACTTCTCCTCATTTCTCCCCCTTCCTGGTCTCTGCGCTTTCTCCTCACTTTCCACACATCATCTGCCTTGTGGTTGATGGTGCTAGGGGGTAAACGCCTCCCTGGTGGAGTCATTGGCCTTGCACACCTGCCTGGTGTTTGGCTGGACGCTGAGAGGGGATGACCTCCAGCAGTGAAGGATGACCACAGGCCACAGTGTTGGGGAGACCTCTTAGGGATTTTTAAACAAGTTGGTTTCGAGCATTTCCTGTGGCAGTTTGCTTTCCTTCCAGAATGGCGTTGGAAAGTACACATGGTTTCTCAAGCGAATCCCCAACTCCCAGTATCCTTTGAGAAACGAATACGTTGGCGACTTCGTCAATGGGAGCCGGCATGGCCACGGGAAGTTTTACTACGCCAGCGGGGCCGTGTATGAAGGAGAGTGGGTTTCCAATAAGAAGCACGGCAAGGTGAGCCCAGCCCGCGGCCCTGGCAGAGCCCCGAAACCCGGGGCAGACGTGCTGTGCCCGCCACGCACAGGCCACCGCACTGATTGAAGATGCTTCTCTGGAATAACTCCCAGCAGGTCCTCATTTCCCTGCGTGTTTTCAGGTGGCTTAATTAGCAGGCATTACTTTTGGGCACAAGAATGTGGGAAAGTAGGCCAACAAAGCTGTCCTTTGAGGAAGTACAGCCGGAGCCCTGCGTTGAGCTGAGGACGGCAAGACAAGGTCTCCCCTCCTTCAGGCGCGTTGCCACGAGCAGGGAGCAGGAGCCAGTCCCGGAGGACAGCAGGCGTGGAAGGAGGGTCGGTGGGAGGAGAAAGACCCCGGAGAGGGGCTGACGCAGTGCCTGCAGCTGTGGGCGCCAGCACGGCGGAGACAGGATGGCTCCGGGCAGGCAGGGTCTGGATTTGCTGCACGGGAGGCTGTGCGTGAACGGAGTGACTAGACGGCACCTGCCTGTTAAGAGCAGTACACGCACGCATACTTACGTACGTGTGTGTGTGCGCGTGAGTGTGCTCTGCTGGCAGTCTGTAGCCTGTTGCACAGCTAAGCACACCACACACAGACACACACAGTCTATAGCCTATTGCACAGCTAACACCCACACACACACACACACACACGTGTGCATCTGACAGCAGTGCTGCCCCATCAGGCTTCCAAGGCTGGGAATCTTGACGGAAGCAGACAGCCTCATCTTTCTCTCATGGAATGGCTGGTGGTTTCAAACCACTAACCTTTTGGTTACCAGTCAAGCACTGTGACCACCAAGCCTCCAGGATTACACACACAGGGAAAGCGCAGACGCCACCTGACTCGCTCCTCAGAGATACCGGCCTGAGTGAGGTGGTCCCACCGAGGATGGTCAGGGCTGCCCTTCTTCCAAGGTGCCACTGGGTGGACTCGATCCTCCACGTTCCCAGTTAGGAGCGGAGTGTCTTAACTACTGCACCACACAGGGTCTGGCGTGGATTACACTCGCTGTGTGATGTCAAGTGCCGTCTAGTCGGCTGCAACATGTAGCAAGCCTGTGGATGACAGAAGGGGAGGCTCCCTGGCCCTGCCCCGGCCTGTCTGCTATGCAGGAGCCCATAGTTTTAGCCACTGCGTCATCCGTCTCTGAGCGTCTTCCTCTTTTTCTGTGGCCTCTACCTTCCTCCTCAAGCATAATGTCCTCCTCCAGGGACCAGTTCCTCTCGCTCACATGGCCCGTGTCTGTGAGGCAAGGTCTCCCCCGCTTCTTCTAAGGAGCACGCGGGCCGCCCTGCCCCTAAGACCGCTTGTCTCTCCTGGCGGTCAGTGGATGTTCCGTATTCTTTTCCAGCCAACGCGGGGAGGTGCTGGATCAGAGGCAGAGAGACGAAGACAGAGGGAATGGACAGGGACATGACCATTTCCTGCGGGTCTACCTGCCGCCCTCTTAGCAGTGGTTTTCCAGGATGACTTTCCCGACCACGGCTTCCTGCCCGCAGGGCCGGCTGACTTTCAAGACCGGGCGTGTGTATGAAGGCCTGTTCTGCAATGACGAGATAGTGGAGCCCTCAGAGTTCGAAGGGGAGTCAAGGACCAGCTCGGACCAGAGTCCAGGGAGCTCCCCCAGGAGCAACTGTGGCTCCTGTCTCACCGCTGGTAGGTGGGAGCTGCCTCTCAGCGGAAACCAAGGTGCCCCGATGTTCAGAAGCAGGGGTGCCCCGTGCACACATTCTTAGTAGTTGTGGTTTGGTGCCTGCGGGTCAGCTCAGACTCACATGGGGTCGTCCCCATGACCGACCCTGCTGAGCCCTGTGCCAGCCTCACCAGCTCCGAGTTATTCTGACCCCATACCCGCCCCTGCCCGGACCTCATCAGCTCTGACCTGCCCCTGCCCGGACCTCCGCCCCTTGGACTTAAGCTGACCTCATGCCCGCCCCGCTAGTTCTGACCCACTGTGACCCCATGCCCACCTGCCCGGTCCTCACCTGCTCTGGAGTGCGTGTGCCCAGGGCCACGGTCACTGTCTTTGAGGGTTTTTCTCTTCCTCACAGGCTTTCTGTCTTCTCTGTTCCTTTTGAGTCGGCACCAATTCTTAACTGACTGCCCCGCGGGCTTCCGAGGCCGTCAGTGGCGTGGGAGATGCCTGCACACCTCCAAGGAGCTGCTGGTGGCCTCAAACCCCAGCGTTGCTGCCTGTGGACTTTATCACCCCCCACCCCCTTTGTTGTTGTTAGGTGCTTGTCTGTCCTGCGCTGTCCTACACTCCCTGAAACACTAGAGCCCATTGCAGCAGTCACCGTGTCAGTCCACCTGGTTGAGGGCTGACCCTCCACCTTTTCCAGTATCATGTTCCTCTCCAAGGAATGGCACCTCCCAGCAACATGCCAAGTATGTGAGGCTAAGCTTTATCATTTTTGCCTCCAAGGAGCGCTCTGACTGCATCCTCTCCAAGACATACCTGTTCTCTTGGCCGTCCATGGGATGTTCAGGGCTCTTCTTCAGCACCACAGCTCAAAGGCATCGATTCTTCTATCATACTTATTCATTATCTAGCTCTCAGGTGCATAGCAAGTGATCAGAAAAACCATGGCCTGAATCAGATGCAGCTTATTAGTCCTCAAACTGACATCCTTGGTCCTCAATCATTTGGGGAGGTCCCTAACTGCAGACTTTCCCAGTGCAGTACATCTCCTGATTTCCTGACTGCTGGTACCAGAAGTGTTTGCTGGTTGTGGATCCAAGGAAGATGAAGCTGTTGACAGTCTGTCTTGTCTCCATCTATGATGATGTTGCCTGGAATAGAGAGAGAAGAAACACAGGGAAACAGTTGGTTCCAAGTGTGAACGGCTCTGTTGACACCGAGTGCAGTCTTGATGGCGTGGCAGCACTCTCCCCAGTTACTCCCGGTGTTTCCCATTCACCCTGCTTTCTTTTTCTTCCAGCCTTCTGCGTTCTGTTCTGGGCAGTTGCTGCCCCTCTGATTTCTCAGGGTTGACTGATGTTACGAGTACATGTTGACCGTTACAATTCTGTTTATTGCTTGAGCAGAGGTTGAGTCATAGGGGCGAGTTGAGTTCAAGCTCCCGGTGATGAAGGGCCATGTTCTCAGGGTTCCACCAGCCTCTACCAGCCCACGAAGCCTGGTCTGTGATCGGGTTCTGAGTCTTCCTGCCCGTCTCTCTCCCATCTCCCCAGGACCCTGTCTTGATCCTGCTCAGAGTGGTCTGCCGTGGTCCTGCTTCTGGCATAGGCGGCTTTTTTATAGTCTCGATCACAAGATTATTTTGTAGAAGCAGGATTTCACGACAGTATTTCGTGGAAAGCCATTATTTTCAGTGTTGCTTGTAATGATTCCACGTATCTGCCTTTGTTTTCTGGAGTAAGAGCTGAAAAAGTTTCAGTGGTGGCTTGTTGCTCTGGTTTTATCACAGTTATTCTGTATATTCAACTTCCTTTGCCAGAAATTATACGAATGCTTGATGGCAGCGAGAGTAACTCTGTGCTGGGGACAAGCATTGAACTGGACCTTGATCTGTTGCTGTCCAGGTACCCTGAGAAGGACCGGATGGAAGAAAAGAAGCAGGTGAGAACCATTTGTGCTGTGATGAGCCTTGACCTTGAAGCATTACATTGTCGTTAGGTGCTATCGGGGTGACCGCAGCTCACGGTGACCCTATAACCGGAAGACTGGAAGACATAAACTTATCCTGTCCTCACCACTGCTGCAGTCACTGTCAGGCCATCTGTTTAACAGTCTTCCTTTCACTGATCCCCTTCTTTTTTCTCGGCATGTCCCTCCAAGGTCCAGCCCCTCCTAACAATACACCCACGTTCTAGGAGACATGTTGCACCAGCCTTGTCTCCAAGGAGCAGCCCGGCTTCACTTCCACCAAGACACATTTGTCTGTGCTTTTGCCAGTCCGTGGAGACGCAGGACTCTTCCCCCAGCACAAGGCGAAGGCATCAGTTCTTTTTGAATCTTCCTTAGTCACTGTACAACATTCAGACGCACATGAAATAACTGAAAATACCATGGCGTGGATCAGATACACCTTAGTTTCCAAACTGACATCCTTGGCTTATTAGCACTTTAAAAGACGCTCTTGACAGCTGATTGCCCCCAGTGCAGTCTTTGGACTTCTTAACTGGGCTACCCTTTCTTGACTTTCTGATCCACACAGATCAGACAAAAGAATAAAGAAACCAATCCCCACAGAGACCTGATCTTAGTGTTTTTCCAACAAAGGCCCTGGGGGCACAGTGACTAAGTGCTTGGTGGTTTGGGGTTTTTTTAATGTTTCTTGGGTTTATTTTTTAATTTTATATATGAGTGTGTGTGTACTGTCGAATTGGATCTGACTGGCACAAGAAATTGTCCCTCCTCCTCCAGCAGAGCATCTGGTGGATTCGAATTGTCTACCTCTGGGATTGCAGTGCAGCTTCTTGCCACTAGGCCACCAGAGCTCGCCATTGCTTGGTGTTTTATGTTCCCATTCTTGTTTTACTCTTTATGCATCACTGGATTCAGTTTACTGCTGTTTTCAGGCCCGGTTCATGAATGTGGATCCACAGGGTTTCTGGTCCCGTGAGGCTGTCGCCTCATGTGGCAGCGTGAGCAGATGGGACACTATGACTCAGGCGCAGGCTTGGCTGGCCCGGGGGTGGACGGGCAGCCTCAGCTGTGAGTGGACAGTCTGATGGGCGGGCTTTCACTGACTCAGGCGCAGGCTTGGCCGGCCCGGGGGTGGACGGGCAGCCTCAGCTGTTGAGGGGATGGTCTAATGGGTAGGTTTTACCGTGACTCAGGCATGAGCTTGGCCAACCTAGGAGCCAGATGGGCAACCTGGCCATGAGCGGATGGTTTGATGGACACTGTGGCTCAGACGTGGGATTGGCAGACCTGGGCACCAATGGGCAGCCTCGGCTCTGAGTAGATGGTCCAATGGGTAGGTTTTCACTGTGATGCAGGTGTGGGCTTGGTGGGCAGCCTCGGCCGTGAGCGGATGGTCTGATGGACACTATGGCTCAGGCACGGGCTTGGCCAACCTGGGGGCTGGACGGGTAGCCTCGGCCGTGAGCGTACTTTGCATCTGGTGGTTGGAGGTGAAAACTGTCACTTCGACGCGCTGTCTCACGTGGTCTGATGACGGTGTCTCCTTTGCTGCTGTCCTCGCAGGTGAGACGCAGACGTGTGTGGGCTTCTTTTCAGGTGGAATTTGCTGTCCTGAGAAACATCACAGAGCTCAGGAGGATCTACAGCTTCTACAGCAGCCTGGGCTGCGAACAGTCTCTGGACAACACCTTTCTCATGACCAGGCTTTACTTCTGGAGGTTCCTCAAAGACTGCAGATTTCACCACCACAAACTCACGCTTGCTGACATGGACCGGCTACTCAGCGGTGAGAATCCTGTGGCTGAAGGGTCCGTTACGGACTAGAGGCTGCCCATCCTTCTCCCGGGAGGATCAAGGGCTGTGGACGCAAACCCCAGACCCGCTTTGTGGCTGGGATTCCGGTTCAGTGGCCACGTAGGATGGAGCAGAACTGCCCCGTTGGGTTTCCGAGGCTGTAAGTCTCCACAGAAGCAGACGGCCTCGTCTCTCTCCTAGAGAGCTGCTAGTCGGTTCAAACCTTTGACCTTTGGTTAGCAGCCAAGTGCTTTAACCACTGGCCTCCTTTCTCACATCTTTGTGAGAAAGCCAAACCCACCACTGCCGAGTCTTCCACCTCCTAGCAACCTAGCAGGGGGGCGTAGAACTCCCCAGGATTTCTGGGGCTGCAGGTCATGACTGAAGCGACTGCCCACCTTTCTCCAAGGAGTGGCAGGTGAGTTTGAACCACTGACCTTTCAGGTAGCAGCCCAACACTTAATCCACTGTTCCACCAGGCTGCCAAGTATGAGTCCTTTAATAACCCAGCCCAGCTGTGTCGGGGGATCAGGGAATGTCAATGCTGGGGGAGGTGATCCTGAAATGAGCCTGTCGTGGTCTTGTTACGGTGTAGTTACAAAGAAATGGCATCAGGAAATATGAGGCCTCTGCGTGTCAGAGGACAGCTGTGTCCCAGGGGCTGTCACTGGCTGATTTTCCACAAGTGGACCACCAGGCCTTTCTTCCAAGGCACTTCTAGGTGGACTGGAACCTCTCACCTTTTCACTGAGCGGCAGAGACTGTACCACCCAGAGATGCCCATGAAATAACAGGTGACAGCAGACGCCCACCCACCAAACTGAGCCTGCTGCCATCACCTTTAATTTGACTCACAGCAGCCCCTCAGTCAGGGTTAGCAAAGAACATTCCAGAGCCAAAGCCAGCTGACCACTTATTGTCTATAAATAAAGTTTTATTAGAACACAGCCATGCCCATTGGTTTATGTGTGTGTGGTTCCTTCTGCCGCAGAGCTGAACGGCTGTGACAGGTCCAGAAAATTTACCTACCTGTGACTGATGGTAAAAGAGAACCGTGGCTCACTGGTTAAAGTGCTTGTCTGCCAACCTAAAGGTTGGTGGCTCGAAGCCACCAAACACTCTGCAGGAGAGAGATGAGAGAGGCTGCTTCCATGAAGATGTACAGCCTGGGAGATCCTACGGGGCACTGCACTCTGTCCGCGGGGCTGCTCTGAGTCAGAATCAATTTGACAGCAGTTCTAGAGTTTAAAAATGCGGTGTTAGAGGACAGAAGCAGAGGATCTGGAGGGCCCGGGGCAGTCTAGAACAGCGTTGTAGGGCCCGGGGCAGTCTAGAACAGCGTTGGAGGGCCCGGGGCAGTCTAGAACAGCGTTGGAGGGCCCGGGGCAGTCTAGAACAGCGTTGGAGGGCCTGGAGCAGTCCACGGTGGTGCGTGGCTTACTGGATGAGTAAAGTGTTAGGAAAAAGTATTCATTTACCACAAAAGTGTTTGGAATGGACATAAAATTTGTTTTGAATTAGAACACTAATCAATTTGTGGTTTAAATTTTTTTCAATGAAAGAGACTTTGAGAGCCCAGGGCCATGGGGCTTAGAAGGCGGCCACCTGTAAGAGGCAAGGGAGCCAGTGAAGAGGGGGCTCTTACTCAACCTCCTTGGGGCACAGGTTGTGGGTGCACCCACACTTCTTGTGGCACTTGACAGCACGGCGGGGCGCAGGCAGGCAGAACATTTGGGCAGAACATCTTGCCACAGTTCTGGCTCTGGGTGAACTGGTGCAGGAAGGCCCAGTAATGCCACCATGCAGACGCAGCACCAGATGCAGGGGGTTCTTTCTGGACGTTGTAGTCAGAGTGGACGGCCATCCTCTGCCCACAAATACCAGGCGCTGCTGGTCAGGGAGGACGCCCTCCTTGACTTGGATTTTGACTTTGACATTCTCGATGGTGTCACTGGGTTTAACCTCAAGAATGAGGGTCTTTCTGTTCAGGATCTCGGCAGAGATCTGCACCTCTGGGCCTGCCGCTTGGCCACCTCGTTGAACGGTTCATTGAGATGCAGCAGCTCAAGGTGGGCTTTGGTTTCTCACACCGGCAGAGACCTTCTGCAGGGTAGTTTTCAGAGGAAGCTCATGTGTGGTTCATGTATTCTCTAGGGAAAAAAGTACTCTGAGAATTGGTCACTTGAACTCTGCTGGGAGAAAATAAAAGTCTAGAAAACAGGCAACTTCTCCACTTTTCTTATTTTAGCCAACAGTGCCAGCTCAGTAGAAGAAATCCATTCTCCATTTACGACAATACTGCTGAGACACTTTCTGAATTATATCCTGCAGCTGGCTTACCACATCCACCACAAGGAATACCAGTAAGTGCAATTTCTGGAACCATCTGAGTTACTGCTCACGGTAATGGAGGAGGGCAGAGCTAACTGGTATTGTACTTAGAATGTCATCTGCTTTCATTTTTACATACTCTTCAGTAATTGTGAGTTGAGTGAATGTTGGCTTTCTTTTCAGTCACCCTGTGTTATGATGTCAGTTCCAACAGGCACAGCATAGCAGCACTCTTCCTGCTCCCTCCCTATGATTCTCATTTCCCTTCATCCTTCTCTCCTTTCCCTTCTTGCCTCTGAGATTTGGCCCTGAGAAAATGCCGCCCTTCTAGCCTCATAAGGTGGGCTGTTCCACAGCGTGCGGGCCTCCGTAGTGGTGTTCATTTATTTGTTCTTTGGATGAAAACTGAGCTGAGGGGTGAGTTGAGTTCCAGGCTCACAGGGTGACGCATCTTACAATTTCCCCAACCTCCGTGAGAGCTGCATGTTTATATACTCTTGACATGAATGACCAGAGACCCAAGTTTCCGGACCTGCTGACCCCCACGCTGTGAGGTGACAGGCTCCGTCTCCGAGTTCCCTTCTGAGCAGAGTTCACTTTCAGAACTGCAACTAGCTCGAGGGGTTTAAATTCAGAAATCAGGAAGCCAGTGCCGTCCTGACAGTGACCACACAGACACCCTGTGGGTCAGAGAGCTGCCCGGTGGGCTCCCAAGGCTGTGGTCTCGGTGGGAGCCGACTGCCTCATCTCCCTTCCAAGCAGCAGCTGAGAGGTTCAAACCACCACTCTTTCAAGTGCTTTAACCATCGTGCTACCAGATAGTCACAATCCACTCTTCCTCCTTAGGCCAGAATGTGCTTATTCAGAGCAAAATTAATTTTGTCTTTTTCTTTTTTAAAAAAAACAACAGCGGGCGAGCTCTGGTGGCCTAGTGGTGGGAAGCTGCACTGCAATCCCAGAGGTGCACGGTTCAAATCCACCAGATGCTCTGCTGAAAAAGGAACAATTTCTTCCTGTACCAGTCATATCTGATTTGACTGTACACACACACAAACAAGAAAATTAAAAAAAAATTAAGATACTTCTAAGAAAAACCCTCAAACTTTTTATTTGAAATACTTTTTCTATCTATGGGGGGGGTGTTGCCATGGCAGCTCAGGGTCCTGCCTACCCATCACCCAGCTTCCCCCAAGTTCCCATCTTCCGTAAACACGTGCACTTGCCAGGGTGAAGGGTCCCAGAGTTCTGGTGGCATCGGCTGCAGGAGCTGCACTAACCCACAGGCCCTGCCTCTCTGATGGTTCAAACCCACCAGCTGCTCTGAGGGAGAAAGATGGGCAATCTCCTCCCACGTGGTTTAACGGCCTCGGAGACCCAGCAGGTCAGCAGAGGCAGTTCCCCCTGGAGGGCAGTGATGGTGGGGACTGCTGCAGCAGCATCGGCGGACTTACAGTGGCTTTCCTGTCCCCTGGTCACACCCTGTCGAGTGTTGCCTTGTCCAGTCTGATAGTTTCTGGGATCGTTTCTGGAATCTTCTGTATCTCTCATGGTCTGTCCCTGTATGACATGTTTTGATTTACTGGTGGTCTCTCTCTGTTACGGGTTTCGGGGACTAGGTGGGACGTGAATCTGCCCCTCATGACGTATTCACTAGTACGTTGTGTCCACGTGTGTCATTAGGGATGGTAACTAGAGCTGTCTGGTTCAAGTGCTCTGAGCCAGGCCTCTCTACCGCACCCCGTGCCGACTCCCAGTGGCCCCCTCGACAGGGGAGATTTGTTCCCTAGCATTTGCGTGTCATCTTCCTGGAAAATGCCTCATCGTTCTCACAGAGCAGCTAGTGAGTTTGAACCTGTGGCCTTTCTGTTAGCGGCTGAGCACTTAACCACGCTGGAGTGCGCTCTACCAGAAAGGCCTTTTTTAAAAGCTGTCTGCTTGTCTGTAGATGTCCGTTCAGCACGCCCAGCCCACAGTGGAGGGGAGGCGATGACGTCCTGTCTCCACGAGGGAGGAGTAATTCCTGTTTCTTTGTCGTCACAGAAACAGGAGCCCGTCGCTTTTCCTGTGCTTCACGAAACTGATGACCGAGAACATTCACCCGAACGCCTGTCAGGTGAGAGGTGAGTACAGACACGCCGGGTGGGGTTCGGCGCACTGTGTCTCACTGTGTCTGGGTGAAGTGTACCCAGCAGGTTGCCATCTGACACATGTCCAGTGACGATGGGCAGTTTCCACAGCGTGCCTAGTGTCCTGTCTAGTGCCCAGTTCCTCCGGCTTCTCACCCCGTTTCAGTCACTGTTGATCTGCTCCCGTTGAGTTACATTTTTGTGGAGTCTGTGCTCCTGGGTGACCGCCTTGGTTTTCCATACCAGCGATGACCTCACTGCATCACAGCGTGATGGTCCTGTCGGTCTGGACCTTTTCAGAATTGTAGTTCCACGTGTTCCTCCCTTTCTATTCGGGTCCCTCTGTCGCCTTCATCCTGATGGCTGGTAGTGAGAGCCAGCCACTGTCTAGTGCTTCCAGTCTCCGGGTAGTCGAGGCCGAGGCTCAAGTCGGCTGTCGGCCAGTTTCATCTGAGAGTTTCATCCTTCCTCTTTGGTCCTGATGAGGACAGACTAATGGCTGGGCCTCAGGTGGCAGTTCACGGGCCCTGAAGAGCCCACATGCCTTACACTTCTCTGGGATGTAGAAGGTGGGGTTTGTGTTACCAGCTGCCTGTCCCATGAGACTAATGGTTTAAGCCTTCACACCCGGAAAACTATTCTTGCAATGTGTTCAGTTATGTCTGTCACTGTGTCTTCTGTGTGTGTGTGTGTGTGTGTGTGTGTGTGCGCGCGCGCGCGCGCACATATCTGTAAAGTACATGCAGATACCTGTATCTGTGCACAGATCTGTATGCTTCTGTACCTACCGTTATACCTGCACAGACATGAGACCATGTTACCAGATTATAGATTCTGTTGAGGTCTGGGTGAAAGGTCGCATGGGAAGCTGGTTTTCCAGTGAGCCGTATTTGATGGTATCCATCCATTTCCCCAGTGTAACCATGCTCTCCCACTTCCTGTGATGCCCATTTCCGTTCATCCTAGTCCCCACTGCTTTCTAGGCTTTGTCTGTGGGTATGTGCTGCCCTTTTGATCATATGTGGGTGCCTGCCTCCCGGTGTTACTGTTCACTTAAAGGCTTACTGTTTGGCTGAAAGTTGAACTGTGGAGTGAGTTCCAGGTTCAGTGACTGAGGGTCATAGCCCTGGGGGTTCCACCAGTCCCTGTTGGACCCGTAAGCCTGGCCATTTTTTTCCATCCTGTCCTTCAGGACTTTGTGCTCTGTTCCCCTCAGGGTGGTCAGCAGTGGTAGTGGGGCACCATCCAGGTCTTCTGGTCTCAGGGCGGGAAGGTTGGGGCCCACCTGGTCCGTTAGCCCTCTGGACTGCTGCTTTGCTTTTCTCTTCTCTGTTCCGGTGGGGATTGATTTTTTTTTCCCCCCCACCCTGGTGGTTTCAGGCAACTTGTTCAGTGAGCAGCAGCGGACCCTCTATGCGATGAACTACATCGACAAGTGCTGGGAGATTTACACCGTTTACTGCAGACCGAGCACCCTGCCGCCCGGGGAGCCAACCATGAAGATGAGGCACTTCCTCTGGATGTTCAAAGTAATCGCTTCAGTTTGACACGGGTTTTAAGTTCACAAACATTTTGACGTGCAGACGATGAGGTGAAAGGCCTGGTGTGAATCCCACAGCTACTGAACAGTCAGTAGGGGTCTCTGGGTATAAGAAAGGGAAATGAGAGAGTAACTCACGTGGTCTGACAACGTCCAGGTGGTCCCTGGTGATGCAATTCAACTCAGACTTTCTCACTACATTCTGTTTCTGAGCCGTTTTTCTCCTCTGGAACAACCTTTTTCCCCTCTAGTATAAACTTGTGGAAGGAGGAGTGGCATCCACTTCCGTAATATCTTGCCTCCAGAAACCTATGAACCTGGAGAGAGGATGAAAGGCACCCAAGCGTTGAGGACTCTCCTTCATAGGGTCGCTATGAGTCGCCTGCGACTCGACGGCACTTAGCCACCACCACCAACAGCATAAACTCAGGGTTTTGAAAAAAAATTTTCATTCATTGTTGCACATTTTCTTCCCTTCCCCACTCCTTGGTCCCCTCCCCTAGTCCACTTTGCAATGCACCTGTTTTTTAATAAAAGATCTTTACTTGCCTGGTAGAAATGCAAAACTGGTTGATGAAGAAAATAAGTAAAAGTCTAATCTGTTGTAGAGGTGGCTAATGCTGGACGCTTGTCAACAGCAGTGAGCTTTGAACTGAACTTCCACCAAGGGCAGCTGTGTCACTGGCCCCCTCGGTCAGCTGCATCCACAGCCCCCTGGCAGAGCAGCCCGAGGCACAGCAGGGATTGGCGGCAGGGCCAGCTGGCCTTGCTTGGGGTGCACAGGGACGCAGGCATCGTGCAGCCATGTGATCTTCCGGAAGCCTTTCAGGATCGGGTGTGTGTTCTCGAAGGCCTCGTAGACCTCCGCTCTGACTTGAGCGCCTGTTACTACAACTTTTCCAGAAACGACGAGGAGGAGGGTCCTGGACTTGATCATCCTGTGAATTAAACCTGGGAACAGCTCTGGCTCATCGTGCACGCGAGGCCTTCTTAGGCGGATGGGGAATTTCACGTCACAGCTTCCTGCTTTCTGGATCTTGAAGCCCAAGAGCTTGGCTGGGAAGCCCAGCTTCTGCACAACCCTGGCGAACTTCCTTGTTGCTAGTCAGGACCGCGCTTCCCTCTTGGCTCCAGTGCAGACCATATTCCCGGAGCTGACGGACGGCACTGTGGTCCGCGGCTCCCTTATTCTCGAGATCACAGCAGCAAGCCGCTTGGGGTTACACTCGGCATTCTTTAGGGTATATTCCCAGTAGTGGAATTGCTGGGTCAAATGGCATTTATATTTCCAACTTTTTGAGAAAGCAAAGCACCAGACCGCCTTCCATAGTGGCTATACTATTGTGAGCTCACTGGTCTCAGCAAGCGTTTGTTGTTTGCTGCTCTGTTGAGCTTCACTGCTATTGCTGGACATGATCCCTCTGATAGCTAGCGATCGTGAACATTTCTTCATGTGTGTGTCCGCCATCTGAATGTCGCCTTTGGTGAAGTGTGTATCCATAGCCTGTGCCCATTTTATGACTGAGTTGTTTACCTATTTCTTGTTGAGGTGCCGGAGTATTTTTAGACGTAAGTCCCTTAGCAGATATGTCATTACCAAATATTTTCCCCAGTTCATGGGTTTCCTTCTTACTGGTTGGAGAAGTTTTTGTTGTGCACAGGGATTTGATACTTAAAAGGTTCCATTTATCTATTTTATTCTCTCCTGGTTGTTAGATTCAGTGAAGAATTTTTATGATGGCAGCTTTAAAATACAGAAAATTCTTTTTTTTCACCTTGATGTTTGTTTAGGATTTTTTTTTCTTTTCATTCCACTGATAAATTTTTCGCCTGAGTTTCATGAATTGAAATAAGGGAATAGAAGGAGAAAGGAAGAGGAGCTCTGGTGGCCTAGTGGTAAGGAGCCACAACTACAATCCCAGAGGCGCACGGTTCAAATCCACCAGATGCTCTGCCGGGGAAGGAGGGACAATCTCCTCCTGTACCAGTCAGATCTGATTTGACGGCACACACACACAAAAATAATTAAAAAAAAAAGGAGAAAGGAAACATCTCAGAAAAAAAAGAACCAAATGGAAATCTGAGAATTCTAAATAGAATAACATAAATACAAACTCAACAAGTGGGCTTGACAGCAGAATGGTGGGGACAGAGGACACAGTGAAAACAGTAGCCAAACTTGGCAGTAGAAGACCATCTGAAGAAGAGGAAGAAGAGCGTTAGGGACCTTGGGACAAAAAGAGGTCACCTTGTGTCACTGTTGTCCCTGTGGGAGAGAAGACAGGAGGTGAGGCTGAAAGAGGACACAGACAAGGGCAGACCAAAGACAAGCCTGAGGGAAGCTGACTATCAAATTGAATAATAGTAGACCAAATGCTGTTTCGGGAAATGAGGGAAGCTGGATACAAACTGAAGGCCACCTTGTGGCATTGGGCGTTCCCTAGGAGTTAACATTGTTCTTAGTTTGTGTCAAATGAACCCCTCCTTCTTGAGATTAGCATAAAGAGGAACTTGGCCTTATCTGTAAAAGACTTCACCATTTTCCTTTGTTTTTGCTTTGTACTTCCTTGTGATTTTACTTTGCTTACCTTCCTTATGATTCTAAATAAATACTCAGAGAAGCATGGCTTGGGGCCTTCAGTCATGGGAACTGTTGGCCCCCTGTTTTTCACACTCTCTGTTCTATGTCATTCCTGGTAGTCTGTCGCATTATTAATAATTATAAAATTATTTCATTCTTTGGACCCTCGGTCTGCAACACAAGCCTGCACGTTCAAGAGCAGAGCAAACCCCACACAGGACACACCCAGCAGAGTTCATGCTGAGACCTCCCAGCGACCAAAACCTGCTTCTGGCTCTGAGTCCGTATCTGTGCTGGCTGCTTCTGGCCCAGCAGGCTCAGAGGATGTGCTCGCTGCCTGGGGGGAGATGGAGGAGAGTCCAGGGCCCCAGGCTGTGTTTTGCACTGAATGCTTACTTTCTCCTTCTGCTAAGTCCATCGCTGTGCAGCCTGTATGTATTTATACCTTGAAAATGGACTTTGTGTTAGGTAGAAACCAGTGTTAATCCAGAACTCTTCAAAATGAACAATTTTTGAGATCATGACCTTTCGGGTACTTAGTGTTATTGTGATACAGAATTTTACTTAAAAACTGTTGTTTTTCTTTTACAGGACTTTAAAATGATAAATAAAGAATTAACAGCAACCAAGTTTGTGGAAGTCATAGCAGAGGATAATCCTTTCATACATGATGGAATTGACAGCAACTTTGAACTTGAGGTTCGTAAAAGTGTCACAAACGTTACAGATCAGATTCAGGGCTTCTGTTTTTCTGCCTTAGATTCCAAGAACCACAGTTTTACTGAAAAGAATTCCAGCCAAAATTCTAGAACTCCAAAGCCACTGAGTTGATTCTGGTCTTCGCAATCCCGTAGGGCAGTGTCCCTATCCCATAGGAACGGTGCCCAAGGCTGTAAATCTCCAGGGGACCCCACTGGGAACCACTACGCCATCTTCCTCCCAAGCAATGCCTGGTGGATTTGAACCACTGCCTTTCGGTTATCAGGCTGGGTCCTAACCAGTGCATCCCTTGGACTCCAGGGACCATGGAAAGCTTCAGGAAACGTGGTGATGGCTGCATAGCACGGCAAATGATGGTGAAATGAAGTGAAAACAACCCTAGCAATCCTTTCCTGGCTTCACTGTTGCTGTCACTTCTCCCCTAGTTCCCTTTTCCCCATTTAACAAGCTTTTTTGTGAGAGTTTTGTGAACCTGTTATCTCAAAATCCTCACCGCCTTACTTGAGAGAAAATCGACACAACAGGCATTCTGGGGGGAAGGTGCCGCGAGCGGGTTCACAGCCCTCCCTGCAGGCACACTGAGGAAAGCAGGGAGGAGGAATCGAGGGACTCGGGATGTGTGGGCAGGGGACACAGCAGGTGCTGCAGATGCACGTGAGGACAGATTGGAAGAACAGAACAGAAAAACATGAGTCAAGATCCAGGAACAAGTGCAGCACAGAAATGAACTTGGGACATCGGGAGCGTGATGTGAGAGCACAGCCGTCACACGGACGCCAGTGAGATCGTCCATGTCTCAGCAACCTGGCGGCCAGGGGGCTACAGAACAACACTGATCAAGAGTAACGGGGTCTAACCAAACTGTCCCGTAAGAATGAGGACAAAAGTTGGGACATTGCCAGATAAAAGCTCCAAGTGTGGAATCCTTGGCCTCCTGGGGGAAGGCAGAGGGTCAGCACACAAGTGGAAGACCCTCCTTGAGCTGGACCGACCTGGGGGCTGCCACAGTGGGCTCAAGTGCCGCAGAGATGGCGGGCAGGGTCCACTCTGCTGGGCATGGGCTCACCGTGTGCTGGACTGGACGTGACAGCACCTCACTACAGACGTGCCTTACGAGAAATGCTCCAGAGTCCTTCAGGTGGGAAAGGAAAAAGACCTCCATGAAATTGTGACCCAGCAGCCTTGGGAACCATGTGGGCCAGCCAGCCATACTGTCCTGTAGGGGTTGCTATGAGTTGAAATCAGTTAAGTATCAAGTGGGTGAGTTTGCCATGCTTTATAATGGCAAATGTATAAAAATAAGTGTGAATGTCTGTGGGAGGGCAGATGATAAGATTTGATAACATCAACCAGAGGGGTGGGTTTGTGTGTGAAAGGAATAGTGTTTAAGTACAGAGTTTTGGGGTGCTACTGAAGTTAAATTAGTATCAGTTTAATCCAAGTTGTCATAAATTTAAGATGTTAAAAGCAATGCTTACAGTATCCATAGGGAGCTCTGGTGACCAAGTGGTAAGAAGCTGCGCTGTAATCCCAGACATGAACTTCCTTCTCCATGGACCAATCAATCCTGACAACGTGCCCCCAGGATGTGAGAACCACCCCAGCTGCATTTCTTCCACCAAACAAAATCATTCTTTCAACTCTAAGGACAGAATTAATCTTCAGTGGTGTTTCTGCTGCAGAATGTTCTCTAGCTGATGCCCAACCATCCTGAGACAGTATTCTAACTGGATCTCTGGTCCCGTCTGGTGGGCAGGAATGAACACGGTTCTGTTTTCTCACATTGCAGCTGGTTTTCCTGGAATTCTTCGAAGCACTCTTAAGCTTTGCGCTCGTCTCCATCACGGACCAAATGACCAGGTCATACACCAACACTGCAAACGAAGAGCTGTCTGCAAACAAATACGGGAGCATCCTCTGCAGTCAGGTGAGGGCAGGCCTCGGGCTCCGCGAGCCAGCATCACAGCCTCCTGGGCTCTTACAAACCTCCAGGAAAAGGTTCTAGGAGATGTCAGCGTCCTTTCACTTACAGCTGACAGCAGGGAGGTTCCCATGCAGTGGTCTGTGCTGTGATGGTGAATGCGTTTTCCTCAACACGTGTACATGTTCTGTCTCCATCATGTCCCTCCCTGCACCCTTAGCTTCTCATTTTACAGCTCCCTGGTCACTGTGACTCGGACCATGCCGTGCCCTCCCAGGAGGCAGTGGCTCTCACTGTACCATGTGGTCCCTGGGCACTGTGGCTCCTGCCATGTGCCCCCTGGCGGCATTCTTTCTGCTGTGTGTCAGTGTGAGCTGAGCTCCGAGGTGGCCCGGTTCACTTCAAGGTTTAGAGATTATCTCGGGACAGCAGGCACAGAAGCCCTTGAGTCTCACTCCCGGAACGTAAAGGGTCTTTTTGCCTTTTGAGAGGAGTGTGACCGATTTCCTGGTTTTTTCGCAGGTGCTCTGAGCCCTGGTGCAGAGCAGGCTAAACTGCAGTCGGTTAACTAAACATGAGCTGTTCCTTCGGAGAAAGATAGGTCGTCTCATTTCTCAGAAAACCCTTTAAGTCCTCGGTGTTGGGTCCGTTGGGTCAGAGCCAACGCAGAGCTGAGACTCTATCGGGTCTTCAGAGGCTGGAAAGTGCATGGGAGGCAACTGCCCATCTTCTCACCTAAGAGCAGCTTGGAAGATTTGAACTGCCCACCTTTGGGTTGGCAGCATTACTCTCTGCTCCCCAGGCCACCAGAGCTCCCTTGCAAGGATCACAGCCTCAGAAATGGACGGAGGGACGCAGTGGGTCTGGCTTGGATCTGTCCCCAGGCCAACGAGAACCACTCAAGTCTCGACCTTTGTGCTTAGAATTTGCAGACCCAAAGCCAGAGTGCCCTGGGGAGCCGCGAGACCGTGCACTTCGCCAGCACCAAGTCTTCGAGCAAGCTGGGCCTCCTGCTGGACATCATCAAGACCCGGAAGTCGGAGGTTTGTATGGGCAGGTGACCGACAGGGACACGTGTGGGAGCAGCTGTCATCGCCCAGCTCCTGGAGCCATCCCGCCCCCCACTCCAGGCACCATCCCACCATGTGGTGGCGAGGAGAGCAGGGTGGCACCACGGAATCTCCTCCAGGGAGCCCGGCACAGACCACCTTTGTGACTGGCCACCACGGATGTCTCAGTTCTCCGGTGCTGCTGTGGCAGGGATACCATAGAGGGTGGTTTTACCAAACTGATTGATACATTAGAAGGCCAGACGGCTGAAGTCAGGGTGCATGCTCTCTGCTGGTTCTGGAGGAAGGTCTCTGAGTTTAGCATCTTGGGCTCCCTGGGGACCTCCCACAGGGCCAGCATCCAAAGTGCCACCTTGACAGCTGGTGCTGTGGTGTCCCCTCTCAGCGCACTCTCCTCCCCTTTCTCTCTAGTGAGTTGACTCTAGGTGAACCTCCTCTCCCAGCAGACAAGAGGGTGAGATGGGGCTGAGGAGAACTGCGTTTCACCCTTTGATAACTATACAGCTTATCGGAATATTTGTTAGGGAATCATTAGAAAGCTTCCATGTTGTACCATTGTTTTTTTTTTGTTTTTTTTTTCTTTCTATAATTATATTAATTTTCATAAACATTTACAGAGATTTTTGGGCTTCCACTCATTCATTGTTGCACTATTCTCTCTACCCTCCTCCCAGTTT